TAGAACATTGAGGCCGTGTTGCCTGTGAGAACTCTGACTACACGGCCTGCAAGGCACAAGCGAAAGGCCACGCAGGCCAGACGGACCCCCCCGGAGCTCCTTGGTGTTTATGTGCAGGCCTAGTTCCTGTGCAGACCATGGGCCTTGGGTCTGGAGGTCCCCCACATGGGATCTCCACCCCAAGTCAGACCCAGTGGTGAGCTGGAGCCGGTTCCCACCGGTTTGCTAGAGCCGGTTGTTAAATTTAGAAGCCCTTTCAGAACTGATTGTTCCGCGAGGGAGATCCGGCTCTAACAGGGCTTCTAAATTTAACCGGGCAAAAGTGGCGCCTTAGGTGCCGACTCCATGGGTGCTCCAGGGCTGGAGCACCCAAGGGGAAAATATGGAGGGTGCAGAGCACCCACCGGCAGTTCCCCGCCCCACCCCCAGCTCACCTCCGCTCTGCCTCCGGCTCCTTCCCTGAATGCGCCTCCCCGCCTGGCTTCTCCGCGCCCTTCCCCCCCCCCCCCGGCTTCCCGCGAATCAGCTGTTCACGCGGGAAGCCGGGGCGGGCTGAGAAGCAGGCGGTGGCTTCCTGCTCAGGCCCAGGGAGGCGGAGGTGAGCTGGGGTGGGGGGGGGGGGCGCGAGGAGGGCCGTCCACGCTGCAGTAGGTAACCCGGGGGGGCCGTGCAGGGGAACCGCTCCCCACCCCAGCTCACCTCCGCCACCCTCAGCCTGAGCAGGAAGCCACCGCCTGCTTCTCAGCCCTCCCTGGCTTCCTGTGCGAACAGCTGATTTGCAGGAAGCCCGGGGGGGGGGGGGTGCAGAGAAGCAGAGCGGGGTGGCGCGTTTAGGGGAGGAGGCGGAGCGGAGGTGGGGCCAGGGAGCTGCCTGTGGGTGCTCTGCACCCACCAAATTTTCCCCGTGGGTGCTCCAGCCTAAGATGCCACTTTTGATGTGATCAGTGGGGGGAGCAGCCGCTCCCCCTGCTCCCCCCCAGCTAAGCTACCGCGTCCCTAGGAGCCAGAGGGACCTTTCAGATGCTTCCTGGGAGCTGCCCCAGGTAAACACCGCTGGGACTCCCCACCTCGCCCCCCGTCAGGTGCCTCTGGCTCTTAGGGGTGGGGTGGGCACCCACTACGGTGGCTCACGAGACCCTCCTGCCCGGTTCTGGGGGAAGTCAGGGGACAGGGGAGGATGGGGCAGGGGTCCTGGGGGGGGCATCAAGGAACACGGGGGGTTGGATGAGGAAGGAGTCCCGGGGGGCGGGGGTGGGCCACAACCCCCTTGTGGGGTGAGGAGGGAACCAGTTGTTAAGATTTTGGCAGCTCATCACTGGTCAGACCCATCAGACACCAATTCTAGGTTGGGGAGCAGGTCCTGAGCGGGACCCCTTGGAGCACGTTCTCCGGGGTGGCCCACCAAAGGTGGGAAGCTAGTACAGACTCAGGTATGGTGAGGATCTTGTCCAACCTGTCTTTGGACTGGGAGAACATCGAGGCCAACCAGAGCTGAAGGGGCCGCATCCTGAGTCTGGCGTGGCGTACCACATACATGCATGCCGACATATGCCCCAGGAGTTGGAGGCATGCCCTGCCGTTGTCATGGGAACCCTCGTGAGCGCCTTGGTGAGATCCCTCAAGGTTTTGAACCTTTCCGGCGGGAGGGAAGCTCTGGCCGAAGTCGTGTCGAGAATCGCGCCAATGAACTCTATTAGTTGTACCAGTATCAATGTGGGTTTTAGGTTGTTTACCAACAGCCCCAGTGTGGTGCACGTGGACAGGAGGAGCGTTACGTGGTCCTGTACCTGTGACCTGGAGCTGCCTTTGACCAGTCGTCGAGGTAGGGGGAGATCTGGACCCCCCCGCCTGATGCCTGAGGTAGGCCGCCACCACAGACATACGCTTTGTGAAGACTCTGGGTGCCGTGGAGAGGCCAAACGGGAGGACGGTGACTTGGCCGTGCTCCTGCCCAACCGTGAAGTGGAGGAAACGCCTGTGGTCCTCGAATATGTGGATGTGGAAGTACGCGTCCTGGAGATCGAGGGTGGCGTACCAGTCCCCGGGATCCAGGGAGGGAATGATGGAAGCCAGGGAGACCACGCGGAACTTGAGTTTTACCATGTACTGGTTCAGACCTCGCAGGTCCAGGATGGGCCTGAGGCCCCCTTCGGCCTTCGGGATAAGGAAGTAGCAGGAGAAGAAGCCTTTGTACCTGAACTCTGCAGGCACCACCTCCACCACGCCCAGGTGAAGGAACCGCTTCACCTCTTGCTCAAGTAGGCCCTCCTGAGAGGGGACGGGGAAGGAGGGTGGGTAGGTGGGGTAGAGAGAAATTGGTGGATATAGCTCCGGGAGAGGGTGTTGAGGACCCAGCAGTCTGAGGTCAGCAGCGACCACTCCGTGACTGTGAGTGGTACCGTCCGGGTGGTGACTGCGGTGGTCCGAGAGTCGGTTTACTTCTGGACCGGGGGGCTGCTGGGGTCGGTACAGCCGGTATCGGAAGAGACATTACATCTCGAGCTGCCTGCAGGGCCTCCAGCGTGGAGGGCACTCATATGTGGCCACTGGCATCCGGAGAAGTCAGCTCAGAGTGGGCCGGGCTACTCCGCTCAATCTGAGTCAGAGGCTGCAAGCCTGAGGGGGATCGAGAGCTGCCCAGCATGGGTCTAGCCTCACCCCCAGCCTTGTCCCGGTGCCTTGACGGGGAAGATCGCTTCTTCGCCTTCTTGGAGTGTCCCATGGATGGGGAGTGGTGCCGGCTGGTTGGAGGCACCGATGGGTCGCCATGCACTGATCGGTGCTGACTTGGAGCAGTGCAGCAGTGTCGGGGTCAGGGCCGACTCCATCAATATGGCCCGGAGCCGTATATCCTGCTCCTTCTTAGTCCGGGGCTTAAATGATCTTCAGACTTCCCAGCGGTTGCTGACGTGGGTTTCCCCAAGACAGCATAAGTGACTCGTGTGCAGGCCACTTATGGGCGAAGGTTGTTTACAAGTGTCACCCGACTTAAAGCCCGGGGCACGGGGCACGCCCTGACCCGGGTGCAGTTCTTCTACTCTGCTATTATTCTTTTTACTTTTAAACTACAGGTACTAACTATCTACAGAACTAAACAACCCTGCACACAGGGAAGCTACCGCAGAGAGCTGGAGCAGAGCAGTTCCGAAGCACCGTCCCTGGTGGAAAGAAGGAACTGGGGGTGGGGAGAGCGCCCAGTGCCCCTTATATTGCGCCATGGCGGCGCCATTCCAAGGGTCGCGCGGGGCGCTCCCCTACAGGTACTGCTAAGGGAAAAACTTCCGGCACCGGTACAGGTGGTGAATGCGAACACCTACTGTGGAATGGACACGAGCCATCACTCGAAGACGAACTGTAGGGGATGGATAGATGGAGATGGGTGGAAAGATCTGTAGGGGATGGATAGATAGAGATGGGTGGGGAGATCTGTAGGTGATGGATAGATAGAGATGGGTGGAGAGATCTGTAGGGGATGGATAGATGGAGATGGGTGGAGAGGTCTGTAGGGGATGGATAGATGGAGATGGGCAGAGAGATCTGTAGGGGATGGATAGATGGAGAGGGATGGATAGACCTAAAGGAGATGGATGGATGGAGAAGGGCAGATAGATCTATATGGGAATGGATAGATGGAGGTGGATGGAGAGATCTGTATAGGGATGGAAAGACGGACATGGGTAGATAGGTTTGTATGAGGATGCCATAGGTATAGATGGGTGGAGAGATCTGTATGGGATTGAAAGATGGAGAGGGATGGAGAGATCTATAGGGGATGGATAGACAGAGAGGGATGGAGAGATCTATAGGGGATGGATACATGGAGAAGGGTGGAGAGATCTCTAGGGGATGGATAGATGGAGATGGGTAGAGACATCTATATGGGGTGAATAGATAGAGATGGGTGGAGAGATCTGTAGGGGATGAATAGATAAAGATGGGTGGAGAGATCTATAGGGGATGGATAGATGGAGCTGGGTGGAGAGATCTGTAGGGGATGGATAGACAGAGATGGGACAGAGATCTGTAGAGGGTCGATAGATAGAGATCGGTGGAGAGTTCTGTATAGGGATGGACAGATAGAGATGGGGGCAGAGATCTGTAGGGGGTCGATAGACAGAGATGGGTGGAGAGCTCCCCCATGGAGGTGGATGTACGGAGGGATGGATGGATGGAAGGTTTGTTAGTAACCAAAGAAGGACCGAGCCCAAGGACTCCCATCTGTTAGTTTGTACTTGAAAAGCTTCTGTCCACTTTGCTATTGCTGTGCAGTAACAAGCCAGGCCTTGGGGGCTCGGTTTGCAGTGTCATTGTGCACAGCATTCCTGTTCTCCTTTAAACAGCTGTTCCCAAACCTTATGACGCCAAGCCCCGCCTGTGGGAAGGGGAACCCAACGTGCCGCTGAAGGCCTTGCCCAAACCAGAAGCCATGCAGGGCAAGTAATGGTAGTTTAGTTAAGACTGGAACCAGGAACGGTTTGTTCTGTTTGTACAGGGCCAAGCACAGTGGCGTTTTGGGCCAGGCCGGGGGCTGCTAAGTGCTACCAATTCACCTACCCAGCAATGTACAGCCCTCAGCACGCTGGGGTCCTGCAATACCAGTAAGAACATATTGTGTTGATCGTCCCAGCGCGATCCTCCTGCACTTTTACTCAGGGATTTGATGGGCAGCGAAAGAGTTAACACTACTGACATCTCAAGTTATCATTGTTGGTATCTGAGTCAACCACCTATGACATAAGCAGGACAGTTCCCCGCTCTGGGCTGTCGGTTCAGGCTCTCAGCAGACTCAGGCTCACAGTAGTGGTCAGATTTTCAAGATTTTCTTCACTGTAACAGCTGCAGCCTTTCTTGCTAGACTGAAAGATGAGATGTGGCTGAACAATCTGGAGGTGAGACCCCTCAGGTTGGACCCTTCAGCCGGGGGGAGGAAGAGCTATGTCACTGCATGTTCTAGGGAGAGAGCAAACTCTCAGAGCATTTCACACCAAGAACTGAGAACATTTCAATCAAAAATTCCTTTTTTTAATTTTTTTAGGGTTTTTGTGTGTGTTTTTTCTCATTTGTTTCTTTTAACGTTTTTTTTTTGTAGTTTTCTCATGCAATATTTCACAGTCCCAATCCCACGGGGGTGTTTTTCTTTTAATTTTTTTTCTCAAACAAAATAGGAAAAAGGAAAAGAAGCCAAGGACTTTTTTTTTCTTTTTTCGTTTTCGGGTTTTTTGTTTTGTTAGTTTCAAGCAGGACCAAAATGTCGGAAGAAAAATGCTTTCCCCTCCCCCCCCAATTATTATTTTTGTCTTTTTTCTTTCTGTTTAGTTGTATTTGTTTATTTCTCATTTTTGTGTGTGTGGGGGGGTTCTGTTTGTTTATCTCTGCAGGCAGTAATAATTAGGGTTTGGTATAACCAGCAAGCACTCCTTTGTGTGTGTGTGTGTGTGTGTCGGGGTTGTGCACGTGCGTGTCCTTCAAAATGGCAGGCCACAAACTTTACTTGTTTTGAAGTTAACCAGGTAAGTCGAGATGATAAAACTCATCAATAGAAGTTCAGAAAAAAATACTTTTGTCTTTTTCCCCCCTCCTTTTTACTGATATATTTTTTTTTTTGTCGAGATTTGTTGCTGTTGTTATTTCTGGTGTGGAATTTTTGTCAAAACTTCTTTGTTGAGGGTGGAGGGTCACATCCAAGCACATCCCTCCCCTCCCCACCCTGCCATGCCAAGCACCCGAGGAAAACCGGTCTGCTGTCTCAGGGCCACAGACAGATGCTGCATGTGGGAGAGGCTACCTGAGAGCATTTTGCATGGATTGTAGTCCCTTCTCCCGTTTTTTTAAAATCTTCTTTAGATTCTGAAGAACTGGGTGGTTCCCCCCCCCCACCACACACAACTTGATCTGTAAAAGATAAACATGCTCTGGTTCCTAGATACCCTTGTCCTCCCCCATCCCAAAACCCTGTCCCCCACCCCACCCCGAGAAAACCCCTCCAACCAAAGTTACTTCCCTCTCTGCAATTTGAGCACTCTCTCTCAGACACCTCCCCATAGGGCAGATTGTTGTGATTTCCATGTTCTTTTCCTCCCCCCGCCCCCCCACCCATCTGGTAATGTCGTCTCTGTCCAGTGTGTGTGTGTGTGTTGCAAGTGTGCGTGTGTGTGTCAAACCGCTTCCAGGTTAGCAGCAGTCATCTTCGTCAGTTTCGCTAGAGGGTTCATGCAGTCCTTGGCGGGAGCGTGGCTTGGCTGCTCCATGGGAGTGGTAATATCCGTTAGGAAGTCGCCGCCCAGGCCTGGAGGGTGAAGAGCCGCCTCCCGCCCGGGAAGTCCTGGGCGAACGCCCTGAGCTGCTGACGTGCGTGGTCTCGTAGGAGAAGGCTTCCTTGCTGGGGGGTGCGGCGCAGTCCGGACTCCGGTAATAACCGCCACGACGGGGTCCCGGGTGCGGCTCGGAGACATGGGGTACCGACCACCGGCTGCTGGCGTGGCGGTAGGCTCGGGGCGAATCGTTCCGCGGCGGGACCGTGTGTCTCTCCATGGCGGGCGATCTGCCGGGCCGCTCCGCCACCTGGGGGTCGGCGGGGAGCGAGGGGTATCGTCTCGGCGCGGGGGTGGATATCCTGCTGGGGTGATGCACTGACTGCGGCTGCTGCTGGGGGCCTGCACTGATGACCTTACGGACCACAGGGGAATAGGACACGTGTGGCCGGGGTGTCGGAGGGGTCTGTGGGAGCTGGCGGCGTCCTCGCCTTGGGGTACTGGTGCCGGATGTTGAAAGGACTGGACTGCCACTTACGGGACTACTGCCCTACATGAAAATTGAAACAAAGGAAATCAAAAAGAAAATATACAAGGAAAATTAACCAAGAAGAGACAGAAAGGGAAGGGGGGTTGGGAGGGGCAGGGAAGGTGACACAGAAACGAGGACGAGAAAAGAAGGCAGGGGATTTGGGGGTGAAGGAACCAAAGAAGGGGGGGAAATAATGGAGGGGGGAGAAGAAAAAGCAACAGCCACGGAAGGGAGGACGGGAAGAGGGGGATCGAGAGACCAACGGAGAAGAAAAGAAACCAAAAGAGAAAACAAACAAAAGAAGGGGGAAAAAAAGTGAGAAGAGAAATGAGAAATGGAGTTTTTGTAAGTTTTGGGGTTTTTAAAAAGTAGCAGAAAACTTCTAAAAATTACTCACACGCTTCGAAAGCAAGAGAGGAAAGGGTTAAAAGCAAGCAAGCAAGCGAGAGAGAGAGAGAGAGAACCCGCAGGGCCTGCAGAGCATGAATTGTTCTGTGCGTTACCAAAGGTGATTCCAAAAGGAACTCAAAAGAAAATAAACAGCTGGAGTTGAAAAAAAATAGGTGAGGGAGGGTGGGGTGGGGAAACTGGGGTGGAAAGGGCGAGGGGGCGTCCGGCAAGGAAAGAGGAGGGGAGAGCACTGGGTCTGGAGAAGTTTGGAACAGAGCGGACCCCATTGGGAGAGCCAGTGTGTGCGGCTTGCTTACAGCCGCAGGGCTTCGCGAGTGAGAGCTGCTTGCTGGTGGGTGTCTGCTGTTGGCTGGAAGGTCCACGGACCGGGGTACTTACCCGCTGCAGAGTGAGGTGACGTCCCCAGAATCGGACCGCGGGAGGAGGGCCAGTAGCCGACAATGGAATCACCTGCCCAGGAGGACATCCTTTGCTGGCCCCAGCAGTCAGGCGGTGATTGGCTCATGCCCTGAAGCAGAAGGGCCTTTATCTTTTATACATCCTTCACCCTCTGGAACCTGAAGCTATGTCTACACTACAGCCTAGGTCGGCACAGCTTCGCTTGCTCAGGGGTGTGACTATTCTACCCCCCGAGCGTGCTCTGTCGGCGGGGGGGAGGGGGGCATCGTTTCTGCCACGCGTAGAGGTGGGTTTTGTGCGCTCTCCTGTCGGCACAGCGCGTCGTCACCAGACGTGCTGCAGAAATGCAGCTCCACCCAGGCCGCTGCGCGTGTAGACGTGGCCTCGGTGCGGATGTTGTTATCACCTGTTCGTGCCCCACTGGCCTGGCTCGACTGGCTTCCGCAAGGCAAAGGCGTGTGGGTGAGGGGTTTGGCTGAGCAACAGCAAAGAAGAAAGGGCAAAGGGGCGGCTCCGAGTTGTCCTGAATTTCTCCACTCTTCGTGCTTCCCACACAGATCCTCTCCCGCTCTCGCACAGGCGGATCCTGCCAGCCTTTGGGGAAGCTGGGATCCGGACCTGCCACATTGCCAATGCTTGGGCCTCTCTGACACCCTCTAGAAGGCGAGAGAGAAGGACAGTCCAGTGGACGAGACACTGGTGCCCTCTTACAGGCTCTGCTCAGGCCACCACAGTCTTGCTGCTCCACCAGGCAGAGTGACTCATTCAGGGTGAGTCGTCTCCTGCTCAAATCCGGTTTGTGTCTCTCCAACTGTCTCAGACTAGTGGGGCAAGCTCCATCCTGGTTTAGGAATGGGCTGCCCTCGTCTGCACTGGGGAAAAGAGGAGCGGTCCTGTGCCTGACAGGCCTTGCCGGACTGAGCATGTATTTGGGGGAAGTGCAAAGAGCAGGAGAAACAGCTGGAAATCCAGCTCAGCTGGGGAAAGGAATCTGGCAACAGGCTGTAGAATTAGCTTGTCTGCAACAGTGGATTGGACACAAAAGCCTGACATGTGCAGAGGTCGTGGCCAAAGCAATGCAGGGCAAACACGTGGGAAGCTGTTGAAGATTGATGGGAAGCCCTTGGTTGGTTGTCCCAGGTCTAGCTGTGGTCAACAAAGTCAGAGAACCACATGAAAACCACAGGCTCTAGGTTTAGCTCCAAGCTCGACAGACTCTGGACGTTCGTGGTCCCTCCAGCTCTGGCAAAATGTGACTTCCGGGCTGCTCTGGTTCTTAAAAGATTTGATCCCTGGCTAGTTCTCATCCTAGGAAGCAGGTAGGAATGTCTCCCCAACGAGAACCTCTGTCTGCTTCACACTGGCCTCCTCAGGACCAGGTCCATTCTCAGTGTGACCAGGGTGGACTCACACCCATCTCACTCCCCTGGAGTCAGTCTGGGTTTACACCTATCAGAACCCTGACGACCCACGAGTCCTGCATCAATGGCCACCAGATCTGCCAGGGCACCTTTGACAGATGGAAACAGCTTCCAGCAGGATTTCTCTGGAGAGGATCCCCAAACCAAGGGGATGGGGCAGGAAAGCAGCGAGTTAGCCTGAACCCCACTGCCTCCACTCCGCTCAGAATGAGAGGTTACCTGGAAACGCTACAGCAGGTCAGTAGGCGTTGACCCAGGAGAGTGGGCGTAAGCAATGGTGGCGAAGCTCCTTTGTGATGTTCCGTGTGTGAGTAGAGACAGGCAGCTCTGAGCAGATCCAGGATTTCCTCTGAGGTTGTTCCACATTTTTCAGCTCTAAGGAGGGCAGAGCACGGGCCCTCCTGCTCCAAAAGCCAGGCTCCTAAAGGAGACTCCCCCCTCAACCATATAGGGGAGGTGACACACAGCTCAGCTGCTCCAATAATCCGCTAGGGGGCAAGGGTTCATACGCAGGCTAGCCCCTGGGGAAGTGCTGTATCTGGCTCTCTCTGGCTAGCCCCTATGGTCAGATACCTCTATACAAGTGCCCTGGATCGGAAAAAAGAAGCAGGCCGGATGCCTTGATCCAGCAAGGCACCTGGGGTCTGATTCTCCTCGGCCCACTGCAGCTCCACAGTGCTCGAGGGCTGTCACAGGGGCCTGGGGAACAGACAGAGCCTGGGGGCCCTGTGTTAGCTCTCAGCAGAGATAATGTGATGGGGCTGAACTGTCTGTGTGCCGTGTATCCACCCGCACTTACACATGCCATGTATGTTCCCAGGTCTATGCGGATGCCGTCTGTGCCCGTGTTTGCACTTGCGTGTGCCACACATGTGCCTGAATATCCGTGTGCTCTCTGCCGTGCCATGCACGTGTCAGTGTCTGCCAGGTGTGTGTCCCGCATGCCTATGCGTCTGCATGAGTGTGCCCTGAGCGTGCCCACTGGATGGATGACACACATGTGCCTTACCCATGTCTGCATATGCTATGTATGTGCCCAGCTGTACATATATGCCATGCGTGTGGGTGCAGGTGCGCTACCTGTGTTCCCACATCTCGGGGGGTGTCAGGTGTGTGCCTGTGAGCAGGTATCCTGTGTGTGCCTGTGACTCTGGTCATGTGCCACACAGGTGCCCATAGCTATGCATGTGCCATGTGTTCCTGTAGCTCCCTGTGTGTGACATCTCTGTCCATAGCCCTGGGTGTGTCACGCACGGGCCTGGAGCTCCGTGTGCGTGGGCCAGGCATGGGCCCGGAGCTCCGTGTGCGTGGGTCACGCATGGGCCCGTAGCTCCGTGTGCGTGGGCCAGGCATGGCCCGTAGCTCCGTGTGCGTGGGTCACGGCATGGGCCCGGAGCTCCGTGTGCGTGGGCCAGGCATGGGCCTGGAGCTCCGTGTGCGTGGGCCACGCATGGGCCCGTAGCTCCGTGTGCGTGGGCCAGGCATGGGCCTGGAGCTCCGTGTGCGTGGGCCAGGCATGGCCTGTAGCTCCGTGTGCGTGGGCCAGGCATGGGCCCGGAGCTCCGTGTGCGTGGGCCCGGCATGGGCCCGTAGCTCCGTGTGCGTGGGTCACGGCATGGGCCCGGAGCTCCGTGTGCGTGGGCCAGGCATGGGCCTGGAGCTCCGTGTGCGTGGGCCACGCATGGGCCTGGAGCTCCGTGTGCGTGTGTCACGCATGGGCCTGGAGCTCCGTGTGCGTGGGCCAGGCATGGCCTGGAGCTCCGTGTGCGTGGGCCAGGCATGGGCCTGGAGCTCCGTGTGCGTGGGCCCGGCATGGGCCTGTAGCTCCGTGTGCGTGGGCCAGGCATGGGCCTGTAGCTCCGTGTGCGTGGGCCAGGCATGGGCCTGTAGCTCCGTGTGCGTGGGCCAGGCATGGGCCTGGAGCTCCGTGTGCGTGGGCCAGGCATGGGCCTGTAGCTCCGTGTGCGTGGGCCAGGCATGGGCCCGGAGCTCCGTGTGCGTGGGCCACGCATGGGCCCGGAGCTCCGTGTGCGTGGGCCAGGCATGGGCCTGGAGCTCCGTGTGCGTGGGCCAGGCATGGGCCTGGAGCTCCGTGTGCGTGGGCCAGGCATGGGCCTGTAGCTCCGTGTGCGTGGGCCAGGCATGGGCCTGGAGCTCCGTGTGCGTGGGCCAGGCATGGGCCCGGAGCTCCGTGTGCGTGGGCCACGCATGGGCCTGTAGCTCCGTGTGCGTGGGCCAGGCATGGGCCCGGAGCTCCGTGTGCGTGGGCCCGGCATGGGCCCGGAGCTCCGTGTGCGTGGGCCAGGCATGGGCCCGGAGCTCCGTGTGCGTGGGCCAGGCATGGGCCTGGAGCTCCGTGTGCGTGGGCCAGGCATGGCCTGTAGCTCCGTGTGCGTGGGCCAGGCATGGGCCTGGAGCTCCGTGTGCGTGGGCCAGGCATGGGCCCGGAGCTCCGTGTGCGTGGGCCAGGCATGGGCCCGTAGCTCCGTGTGCGTGGGCCCGGCATGGCCCGGAGCTCCGTGTGCGTGGGCCAGGCATGGGCCCGGAGCTCCGTGTGCGTGGGCCAGGCATGGCCCGGAGCTCCGTGTGCGTGGGCCAGGCATGGGCCCGGAGCTCCGTGTGCGTGGGCCAGGCATGGGCCCGGAGCTCCGTGTGCGTGGGCCAGACATGGGCCCGTAGCTCCGTGTGCGTGGGCCCGGCATGGGCCCGGAGCTCCGTGTGCGTGGGCCAGGCATGGGCCTGGAGCTCCGTGTGCGTGGGCCAGGCATGGGCCCGGAGCTCCGTGTGCGTGGGCCAGGCATGGGCCTGGAGCTCCGTGTGCGTGGGCCAGGCATGTGGGCCTGGTTTAGGAGCAGCTTCATTCCAAACTTTCCAGAGTCACAAAACCCAGAGGCACCAGTGGCCACCAGCGTTAGCAACAAAGGGTTCACACCACAGACACTGGATGGCCGGTGGTTTTTGGGTCTCTGCTCACCAACCATCTTACCTGTGCCTGCCCCTTGCCGTGACAGCCAAGCCAAACACAATGGACACAGAAATAAAGATGGGACTCAAGGCCTGTCAGCATGGTGCTCCCGAGAAACAAGCGGGGAAGACCAATGGCTTGGGGAGGGGGGAGTGAGGGGTGAAAATAACCGAAATAAAGGGCTTGAAGAGAGTTCAAAGCAGTCGTCATTGTCCAAGTGACAGGCAGCCCCTCCTCAAGGCCCCCCCACCCTGAGCAGCCTCCCAACCCCCCCCCCCAGCTGGTGGTGGCAGCATGAGTCACAGCCAAGAACACAGGGGTGTGGAGGGCACATGGCTCAGCTACATCGTCCTATCCCTCTTTCGCTCACCCCGGTGTCAATCAGGTGAGGGGGTGCAGTTAGATGGATGTAAACGAGCGGGGCCCAGTTTTGATCCTCATGTCGGCGTCGCAGCAAGGGTGAGGGGAAGGGAAAATGCCCCCACTCGGGATTGCAGTGTTTCACCCCATGGTGCACAAGCGGGAGGCCGCGGGAGGCTAGGTTTTGCTCTTGGCTATGCCAGTGTAAATCTGGAGTCACTCCACCCACTTCAGTGGATTTACCCTGGTGTGTAAGTGAGCTCAGAATGGGGCCCACTGACTTCCGGCTCTTGGCAGTTTTACCTGATGGTCCCTTTAAATCCCCAGCTGTGACTCTTGCCCAGAGCTGCGATGGGCAGCCCATGGTTTTACCCTGGGTTATTGCCCACGTTTTTCAGAGCGCCCTCTGGTGGCTGAACTGCCCCAACTGCGCTGAGTGCCCCAGTGCCGGGCCCTAAATCTGAAAACTGGGTACTCCAGCTGCCAGGAGGAGCTTTTCCACCTCCATCAGTCTCCCCCACTTCCTTTGGAGAGTTGGGGAGGGGTGTGTGTGTGGACAGGAGTGAAGCTTACTCTGGCTCTGATCCTCCTAGCATCCCCTGGGCCCTTTCCCCATTTCCCACACCACTCCAATGACACATGGACCCCTGGTGCTCCTGTCGATCTCACTCCAGCCTAAGGAGCTCCCCGGGGCAGTTTGTTAGACTCACTGCTCTTCCCCTGGCTCTAAGGAAGCAGGTGGCGGAGAGGGGACGGGATCTTTGGGTCGATCAGCTGCTGGGGGCGAATAAGGGGGAAAGCCCTTCTGGGCCATGCCTTCCTCTGGCGCTCTGGATCTGGGAGTCACTCAGTCTGTCTGTGACTGGGGACAGCCCCCCCCCAGGACTGCCACTCAGGGATTGGCTGGCTGGGGCGTTATTTCAGTGGGGCTGATATTGTGGGATTCCCCTCCAGTCGGGGACAAGGGGATGCAGTGTCTGGCTGGGCTCCTGTTCCCCCAATAAATGCTCATGACGACGCCCTCATCCACAGGACGGACCCATAACTTCCCCGCACTCTTTGTCCCCACCACAGTCTCTGGTCCTTTAGACCAGGCAGCAGGGACTCCTGCTTTCTAGATGAAGAGGCCACTGGTCTGATCCCCCCTGACGGCCCCGCCACAGGCGGGGTTACAAAGTGGTGGCCTGTACAGGGAAATGGAATCTGTGCAGCCCTTTGATGTGTGGGCGGAGCTTCCCCATCCAGGGGGTGTGGCTAATTCTGGCTCATTGTCCCCCTCTAGTGGTTAGTGTGAAGGGGCATTTGTGTAGCTGAGAATTAGGCCCTATGAGTCTGTGGCTGCCTGGGAGGTTTGGGCTTTTAGATCCAGAGGCCAAGTGAGATAGAGCAGCTCCTCCACTCTGGCTCCCAGATCCCAGAGAACCAGCCCTTGCTGGATCTGCCCCAAGCTCCAGAGCTTGGGTTGGGATCAGCACCTGTGACAGATGTCTGGGTCGGTTCGGGCCTCCAACCTGCTCTGCTCCACCCTTGCTGAGATCCAGCAATGTTTGCTCAGCCTGCTGGACAACTGGAACTTGCTTCCCAAGGAGCGGGGAGCTCCAGGCTGGCTTTGCTTCACCCCCACTCCCCACCCCTGTGCCCATCCCTAGAGGTGAAGGGGGGAGTGGAAAGCCAGACCCACCTGCCTGTGGGGCATGTGCTCACGGCCCTCGCTGGGGGATCTGGACCAGCGCCTGTCTCTGGAGCGGGGCCGGCTGTGCTCGTGTCTCTCCTGCGAATAGCGCTCCTTGTCGGAGGAGGGGTGGGGATGCCGGTGATGGTGGTGATGGTGGTGATGCTTCCGGTCCTTGGGCCGTCCTCGCTCCTGGTCTCTTTCTTTGGGAGGTAGGTCGCCCGATGGCGTGGTCATGCTCAGGTCCGTGCCCAGCCCTGCCGTGGAGGGAGAGGGGGAGGCAGAGATTATTATGTTCCGGGAGACAGTTTGCCATCAATCCAGTTAGCATCTGTGGACAGGAAACACAACAGTCCTGTGGCACGTGGCGTGCAATTGCACTAGAGTCCGGTGGCCTGTTACTACCTGGACATTCGCACCATGCGCAATGGTATGATATCTCAGTACCTAGGGCTTACTCATACTGGTGTAAATCAGAAGTGACTCCAGGGAGGTCAATGGGCTGACCCTGGTATATAACTGGTGTAAGTGAGAGGAGAATCAGCCCATATAAACAAAATCTGATTTCAGTGGTGTTTACTCTGGATTTACATCAGCGTAGCAGATAGCAGACCCAATGGCATTTACTCCAGATTTACACCAGTGTAACAGAGATCAGGCCCAATGGAGCTTACTCTGGATTTACATCAAAGTAACAGAGATCACAGACTCTGACCCCGGTAAAACGACTGCAAAAAGGTTTGCCACTTGCCCACTGAAAGAGGCGGGAGGGTGGGGGGCGTAGTAGGACAGGCAGTTAACAGGAGGGGGCAGCACGCAGTGGGGTGCTCAAGGGCAGTGTTTTAGGTGTAGACAAGCCCTTGGGACCTCGATGACTATTCAGAAGGTAGCGGAAGCACTTGTGTGCGCTGAACTGGTCAGGAATGGCCAGGGGCCCAGGTGTCTTGGGAGATTTCTGCTGCTCCCTAGTGCTGGTCTGGCCAGAAATAAGAACCCGTATAGTCACCCCAATTAACCAGCCCTTCTCTATCCAAGGGTCTCCATGTGCTTCAATGAACTGGGCCTCTCAACCAGCCAGTGAGCTCCAAGCCAGACTCCCCTAACCCCAACCCCAGGGCAGCTGGCGAAGCGGATATAGAGCAGGACTGGCTGGCTCGGGGTGTGTGTGTGTTGGGAAATGAGATATGGAGCTTTTCCCGTTTCAGCAGCACCAGCTGATTTACACCGGCTGCGGATATGGCTCCTGATCTCACTCACACCCAGTTTGCACTGGGTAACTCCATGGACTTTGCTTCTGCAGTCCACGGCCACTCGAGGGCACCAGCTCACATGCTTGGGCTAGTCTGACTCCCTCCATGGCAAGAGCAGAGTGGGACTAACACAGCCTACAGACCGGGCATCCCCCCCAACAGCCGCACCACCTGTGCCCCCGTCCGCGTAGCGGCTGAGCGAGCGCTCCGAGGCCCGGTGGCTCCACTCCCTCCGCCGCTCATGATGCCGCTGGTTCTCCTCGGGAACGACCCTCTCCAAGGAGTAGTCGTCCAGCCGGATGCCTTTGGAGCGCGAGTGGCCCAGCATGGAAGCCGAGCGCTTCATGGGGCTGGTGTCCGTGATCGTCTGCAAAGGAAACGACAGACCCAGACCCATAGATTTATGCGGCACTGCAGGGGGACGGGGAAGCCTGTGGGAAGGGGGAGGGGTACAGGGATGGCGTTACAAACAAATGCCGACTAATCCTATTGAAACTATCCATGCATCTGTCTGTCCCTCCACCCTCATGTCTTCGTCACTCTCTCTCCATCCCTGGAGCTAAGGAACCACGGAGACCTGCAGAGATCTATCCTTCCACTCAAAGGTCTATGGAGCCATCTGTCCACCCATGGACCTATGACATTGCACCACTGGTTCTCCCTCATCCTAAGGGAGGCTGAATCACAGAATATCAGGGTTGGAAGGGACGTCAGGAGGTCATCTAGTCCAACCCCCTGCTCAAAGCAGGACCAACCCCAACGAAATCATCCCAGCCAGGGCTTTGTCAAGCCTGACCTTAAAAACTTCTAAGGATGGAGATTCCACCATCTCCCTAGGTAACCCATTCCAGTGCTTCACCACCCTCCTAGTGAAAAAGTTTTTCCTAATATCCAACCTAAACCTCCCCCACTGCAACTTGAGACCATTGCTCCTCGTTCTGTCATCTGCTACCACTGGGAACAGTCTAGAGCCATCCTCTTTGGAACCCCCTTTCAGGTAGTTGGAAGCAGCTATCAAATCCCCCCTCATTCTTCTCTTCCGCAGACGAAACAATCCCAGTTCCCTCAGCCTCTCCTAGTAAATCATGTGTTCCAGACCCCTAACCATTTTTGTTGCCCTCCGCTGGACGCTTTCCAATTTTTCCACATCCTTCTTGTAGTGTGGGGCCCAAAACTGGACACAGTACTCCAGATGAGTACCCTCCGTTCCCACTGAGCTCAGCACCTTGCAGGACTGGGCCCTAATCCAGGCCCCCAGACCTAGTCGAGGAAGGTCTAACACGATCCAATGGCTGGAAGTTGAAGCTAGGAAACTTCAGACTGGCAACAAGGCATTCATTTGTCATGGTGAGAGTAATTACCCACTGGAAGAATTCACCAAGGGTCATGGTGGCTTCTCCATCCCTGAGAATTTTTGAAATTAGAACTGGATGTGTTTCTAAAAGCACCGCTCTATGAATTCTTCAGCCTGAGTTATCCTGGGGGTCCGACTGGATGATCACAATGGTCCCTTCTGGCCTTGGCATCTACGACTCTATGAACACACCTTCGAAAGTCCTCATAGGTGGGATGGATGGGCTGCGGGAAGTGAGGGGGCCTCACCGCCATGGGGCCCTGGAGATTGAGGGGCTGCTTTGCCAGGCTCAGGAATGCCCCCTCCCTGGGCCCCTGGCCTGTGATGGCCACACCCACCCCTCAGTGTCATGTACTGTGCGGGGCTCGACTTGGCTCCTCTCCCAGGTGGATCAGTGGGTTGTCCCTTCCTGCAGGATGGACCCACCCATGAGCCTTCTGGGTTCTGGTGCTAGTTGTGGATTTCAGAGAGGGACCTATGACCCCAGGGTCCCAATTCCTGGGGCTCTTCGCCGCTTGGTATTGGGGACCTCAGCTGGGGAGCTAGCAGCTCTCAGTTCTAGGATCCTGTCATACTGGTGCTATGGGCTCATTACCTCTGTGAATCCTCTCCTCCATGAGGTTATTTGGGGGGTTGGGGAACCAATGCAGCTCAGCTCCCTGGAGTCTATGCTGCCCCCAGCAGCAGGGCCTGGCAGGGGGGTGATCTGATCAGCATTGCGGGGCTGGGTGAGATAAGAGTTTGGCTTTCTCTTACCTTGAAGATCTCAAATTACCACTCGTGAATTAAACCTCACAGACACGCCCCCAGCCCGCCCTGTTGGTAAGGACTGTTTTCCCTCATTGTATGGAGGGGGAAACTGAGGCACAGGGAAAGGCGATGACTCACCCAAAAACCAACAGCAAATCTGTGGTAGAGCTGGAAATGGAACCCAGGAATCCTGTGATCTAACCACTACACCACACTTAAGTCAGACAGAGAACCCAGGAAGCCTGGCTCCCGATTAAGCTTTAACCATTAGATATTCTGTTCTTCTCAGCCTGCTATGGCTCATTAGGTTTCACAGTCTAGGTGCCACTCTCCATAGCCAGGCAAACTGAGGGATTGTGTCTCCTGCTACTTGGGTTCCTTCCCGTGGGACGATCCTGTCCTGTCTATGGCTGGGATGGAGGTTGCTGTAAATGCCATGGGCAGGCCCGCAGGGAGCCCAGTCAAAGGCCTTTGCTGTCTGCAATGGCTCAGGCCGGTGAGATGGTTTGTGGCCACCTGGAGAGCCTGGGAAGCACAGCCCACAAAAATATCACATTCCCACCAACCGGGAGCCATCCTGTTCCTCTCCCCTGGTGAGGCCACCATGGCCGTCCAGCTGAGGGGCCCAAGCAGAGGTAGCATCAAGGGACTCGGTGGCCTCCAGTATGTCCGGGGGGCTCCACCACCCAGAGGGGATGTTGAACTGACCTCGACCACAACCCTCCTGGGAGTATCAGCTGTGCCCCTCCCCACAGCAGCAGGATCTACGGGTGAAGTGCCTCCAGAGACACACCATCGCCAGTGGCATCTACAGGCAAAGAGCTTCCAGGTACACCCAGGAGACACCATCGCCAGTGGCATCTACAGGCGAAGAGCTTCCAGGTACACCCAGGAGACACCATCGCCAGTGGCATCTACAGGCGAAGAGCTTCCAGGTACACCCAGGAGACACCATCGCCAGTGGCATCTACAGGCGAAGTGCCTCCAGAGACACCCAGGAGGCCTTATCATCTACACCCAAAGACCCTCCAGCAACGCTAGATGGAGCTGGTCAGGTGATGGGCCCCTGCAGCTCAGGGATACGATGGGGAAGAACCATGTCCTTAGAGCAGGGAGCTGAGAATCAGGCACATTGTACAGCAATCCCAGGGTCGATCTGTTCAAACCTGGGGGAGGGTGGGGGGGGATCAGTGCTACAGCATGGGAAGGAGAATCCCAGCACTGACGCCTCCCCTGCCCAGTCCCCGCTGCCCCTTCCCCTCTTCCCACACACAACCAGGATGGCTATTTCCATTCAAAAGAGCTATGGGACCACAAACCGGACTGCCCCATGGAGGAGCTCTGGCTGCCTCTCCCTGCTGTGGTGCAGAAGCATATACAGCAGACTGGGAGACACCTTCCTAGCACTAATTAAGCCTCACAAACACCCCCTGGGAGAGAGATCACAGTTACTGGAGGGTAAACTGAGGCACAGTGAGTGAGCAAGCTAGGAGTAGAATCCAGGAGTCATGAGTTCTAGTCCCCCTGATCTAGCCAAGAAACCCCACTCCTTCTTCCAGAGCTGGAATGGAATCCAGGAGTCCTGACTCCCAGCCCCCTGCTCTAACCACAAGACCCCACTCCCCTCTTAGAGACAGGAACAGAACCCAGGAGTCCTGGCGCCCAGCCCCTGCCCTAACCACTGGACTCTACTCTCCTCCCAGCACCAGGCACAGACCCCAGGTGTCCTGGCTCCCACCCCCTCTCTTTTAAACACTAGCTGCCTGTTTCCCTGTCGCCTGCACTTTGTGTGTCATTGACCTCTGGGTAGAGAACACTCCCACTCCGGAGCATTTCACGCCTGCCTTGCACGCACTGCTCCGGCAGCTGGCAAAGCCCCACAGCCCCCCGGGGAGAACTCCCCCACCACATGCCCCGCGGGGGGGGGCTTTCCACCCCTGGTTGGGAGGACACAGAGATGGTGGAAGCCAGTTTTGCCTCCTCCCCCCGTAGGCTGCACCTCCCTGGAGCCACAAGAGATTGCAAGAGCCTTGGGGCAGGGCCCGTCTTTCTGTTCTGTGTCTGTACAGCCCAGGGACAGTGGGGACCTCGGCCATAACGGGGGCTTCTGACCACTACCGTAATACACCTACTAAGAAACATACAGGCCCAGCACAATTAGGTCTTGGTTCATGACTAGGGCTTGTGGGCGCTACCGTAATACACCTAATAAATAATGTACAGTGCCTGGCGCTGTGGGGGCGTGGACCATGCCTGGGGCTCACAGGCCCCACCACAATCCACAGAATAACACAGACTCTCAGCCCCTTTGCCCTGGGATACGTGACACCCCAAGAGGAACTGTGAATGAGAACACACTGTGTAGACTCAGGGTGTTAGCAAACCCCTTTAAACTGACGTGGTTGGAAACAGCAGGGCAGGCTGACCTGCCAAATGCGCCAGCTGGTCACGGTCAGCCTGGGGGCATGGGGTGTTGAGACCAAGTATGTACGGGTGTAGCTAGACCAGGACCCTGTACCCGCAAAGCGCCCCTTATACACGCAACCCTGTGCCTTTTCCACTGTGGCTTATCCCAGCCCCAGCGAGCGAAACAAGCTAGCCCAGTGAAAACAGATTTGCCAATATTTGTGCTAGGGGATTCTGCCAGCACAACTGTGTTGATCTGGGAACCCCCCTCTTCGCACCCCCGGCAGGCAGAAATCTGTACTGTAGCCTTCGCCATAGCCTACACTAGTTGTCCTGGTTTAGCTACACTGGGTTGGTTAAAGCCATAAAACCCGAGTGTGGACGCAGTGATGTAGGGGTATAGCTTACTACCAGCCCCGCTTACTCGTACAGCTATTCCCTTTCAGGAAGAGGAATTCGCTCTACTGGTTACGACACCTTTATACCGGTTTAAGGCACCTTTATGCCAGTAAACCTGCATCCACACTAGGAGTTGTATCAGTATATTGGTAAAAACCCCTCCCTAGTGGAGATGGGTACCACAGGACAAACACTGCGTGGAGAGCTGGCTACGGACATGTCTACCCTGCAATCCTGGGGCATGCCGCAGCTCACATGGCCAGACCTGAGCTAGCGGTAATCTAGCTTGCCTGGGTACTCCAGGGGTCACTCCAGCGCAGGCTGGCTGCCCAAGTAATTACCCAGAGCTCCAGCCTGCACTGAGACCTGGGCAATTGCAGCTTCATGGTTCCAGGATCCACAGTCGCAGCCCGTGGCTGCAGTGTAGACATCCCCTTAGCGACAGTTCAGCCAGCTAATGTGGTTCCAGGAGTGTTCTCTTCTGTCCACACCAGTCTCTGGCAGCTTGCTAGAGGTTGCTGTGGTTTAATACAATGTGTTTGACTTCACATCTTTCAGCCTTGTCTTCATGGGGGGAGATTTCCTGGCACAGCTAGAGCAGACTAAAGCAGCCACTTCTGCCATGACATATCCTGGAATACCACAGCACCCCCCGCCCCCGGTGTGGATATTCCCGTCTGAAATGGAAGTGACTTTCCAAGAGAGCACCCAGCTAGGGATGCCAGTCAATTTCTGTAGGGAGACCAGCTGAGGGAAAGGGTGGACGGATGAGGCTTCAAACACATTAGCTACACTGGAAAGTTCATTTGGATTAAGGCAGGGGGTGAGCGAGAGCGATTGTGGAGTAACTCCGGGTGCAGACCAGCCGGGAGCTGACACCATCTGTTCTCTAGCCCAGCACGTGCTTTCCTCCAGAGCTGGGAGTAGACCCAGGTTCCGGGTGCCTGCTCCTCTCGCCATTCGACTGCGCTTCCTCCCCCCGAGCACATGGGGCCAAGGGCAGTTTGGAAGGATCCCCAAGGGAGGTCATGGAGTCACCTGGCCCCAGGATAAGGCGGGGGGAAGAGAGGAGGTGACAGCTGTGGAAGAAGCCCAGGATGGAGGGAGGGGAGGAGACCCCTGACGGGAAAGGGGCCTGGCTCCCAGCAGGACAGTAGCAGAGAGCAGGGTGGAGAAGGGCGGCGTAGATCAGACAATGGGAGCTGATGGCGACCAGCATCCAGCAGGGTCAGGTCTCGCAGACCACTCCTTCGCCATCCCCTCCCGACCTGTGATGAGAGGAGCTGGACCCCAGCAGGGGAGAGATGACAAGGGAGCCCTCAGAGGGGGATGGAGCAAAAGCCAGGGACAGAGGCAGCTAGAGAGGAGGTGAAATCAACACAGAGCAGTTCCCGAAAGGCTGCCCCCTCCTGGAGCCCTGGGGCTGCCTACGTAGCTGTCGTTGGCTGTGATGAAAGAGAGAGGAATGCAGCCCACTGCCAGGGCCACTAATCTAGGTGGTGTGCAATGAAACGGACGTGGCAGACAGAAGAGGATGGAGATCAGAGCGAGAGACGTGGAGAAGGGAAAGGGATGGATGGAGAGACAGACAGGCTAGCTAGATGTGTGTGGGGACAGATCAAGGAAGGGAGGGAGACCGGCTAGAGGCGAGCGGGGGATTGTGGGCGTGGAGTGAGTGGCACTGGAAAGCCCCCACCACGGTACATACACTGAGATTATTTCCTCGGGGTCGCACCTTCCTCCTCTGCCAGAGCCAGACAAGACGGTGCACACAGAAAGGGAAAGAGAGAGAGAAGAAAATAAATATAAAGGCAAAGAAGGGGGCTTGGGAGGGGGGCGGGAGGACACCAGGAAGGGCAGGGTGTGAGGGGTGGGCAGGGGAGGGGAGAAGAGACTCGGTTATCAGTCAGTTACGGATGGGGGCTTCTTCCATCCTGCAGCCGCGTGTGCTCCCAGCACCCAAGCCAAGCAGGGGCAGGCAGCGGCCCCAGAGGACGGAGGGGGAGCAGGACGCATGGAGCGAGCAGCGGAGGATGAAAGCAGTGCGGGCAGGAGCAGCCCCCCCCTCCCTAGCCCCCACTCCTGTGCATGCTGCAACAGAGCAGGCTCCAGCCCCCCTGTGTCCCAGCCGTGCCTTGGGCCGCTGTTAAAAGCTGCAGTGTCACTGTTCGGATCTACCTAGTCCCCCCTGCCCCTGTGGGGCCTGATCCAAAGCCTGCTGATCGCCAGGGAGATGCTTTGGGATGGGCCCTCCCTCCGCAGCCCCGGGGCTGGCATGCTGTGCCTCTGGCCTAGCCCCCCCGCCGCTGGGGAGTGCCGAAGTCAGAGCACCCAAAGGAGAGCACCCAACAGGCTCAGCTGCGGGGGAAGCAGCAGGGAGAACTGGCTGAGTCTGCAGACAGGCGGGATTTGATGACCCCCCTCAGCTGGCCCAAGGGGCATTAAATAATGCCGGGGGGGGAGGGCAGAGCATGGCAGAAGAGCCTCAAATTCACAGAGCTCCAGCCCCGACCCGCTGCGTGGGGGGGAAGTAGGAGGAACTTGGTTGCTACATAGTAGCAGCTACACAGCCATGCTGTTGGCTTTGGGAGAATCCCTTATCCCCCCCCCCCCGCCCCCCACTGGTGATTAGTGGGATCCAGCACCTGGGCCTGAGGGAAATGGAGCTGGCTGCCAAGTCCCTGTTCATCTCCCCGTTGACTCTGAAGGCTAAGGACTACATGTCCAGTCACTATTGCTAACTGTCCTTAAAACCATTCAGGGCAGAGGAACGACAGTAGAAGTGGCCCTTGCTCATTCACCACCTCTGCTCCTGGCTCATCTCAGAGTGATGCCTGCTGGGGTCACAAGCTCCGGCTGCCAGAGCTCCCCTGGGGGTACGGAAGGATTTTAGTGATGGGGAGATGGAGACGGAGAGGGGAAGAGACTCACCCAAGGTCACACACTGAGTTAGAGACAGAGACAGGAAAAAAACCCAGGAGTCCTGTCTCCCGGTCCCTGCTCTAACCACTACACCCCGCTCCCCTCCCAGAGCTGGATACTGAATCCAGGAATCTGGACTGCCAGTCCCCTCTGCTCTAACCTTTAGGCCACATGATGGGTAAGGAACACTGATCAGTTCAGCATCTCTTGGCTGGGCCCCTGGGTTGCCATGGGGGCAGGATGGAGCTGGACCAGCAATGTGGGAATCAGGCCTCCTGCTCCTGCTCCAGGAGCAGCCTCCCTGACCCCCCATCCCCTCGCTGTATGGGATGGTGCCTGGCCTGGGCCGCACTGTGCGCCCCACTCTCCTAGCCCAGCCAGGAGGGGAGACTCAAGGGTGCAGGGCCCAAGGGACAGTTTGAGGGGTGGAGGTGGACCCAAGACCCTTCCCCTCCTTCCTTCAGCCCCTAAGGAACAGTGCAGCCTTTAGCAGGTGTCTCGCCCCCCTCCCGCCCTGGCCCAAAGGTCAATGGTTACCCACAAAGCTCGCTAGAAAGCTCATGCAAAAAGGAAATGAAAATCAGAGCAGATCTCCTCCAGCACGTAAGTCACTCGCGGCCCCAGCCGCGTCAGCGTACAGCTGGGAGCCGTGCCAGGCGCCCAGCGGGCAGCTCAGCGAGGCCCACATCCAATGCCCGTGAGGATCTGGGCCCTAGTGCTGGTTTGACAGATCCTGCCTCAGAGTGGCCACTAGGTGTCCCTCTAACTCCACAGCAGCCAAGCCCAACCGTTATCTGGTAGTGGGACCCACCCCTGATTCCCTTAAAGGTAAGGCCATTTTTTGGGGACTCGCTCCTGGTAGCTCAGATTTGCCACCATCCGGGTAGAAACACCTGCCAGTCAAGGGCTGGGATGTGGATTCGCGCCCTCTGGGTCACGTTCTACCTCCGTTTACAGGGGCATAAACCGACGGAGAATTTGGCAGGTTAGACCCAAACTTTTCAGGCTAAAGAAGTATTGTAGGTGATGTGAGTTTTCAGTCTTGAAGTTGCGATACGTGGTTGCTGTCCTTCTCAGACACACGCCACCCACCATCCCACACATGTATACTTAGCTCATCGCTACGGAGATTGCCCCGGTAAATGCTCCTATGCTCCTCAGCACGCTAAGGGTGGCATCTGACATGCTCTGGGCATGCTTAACAACACCCCGTCCCCCCAGCCACTCTCAGGGTTGCGGCACTAGGAAGGCGCCCAAGATGGCCGGGGGCACCGCACCTCGGGGGTCTGGAGGGGGGTTCTGTTGCTCTGAAGCATGCTTCATGCCAACATGGGAAGCTCATGTTATAAGCTTGATGGAACCAGCAGCGGCAAATGGTCTTTGCTCAGATGGTGGCTGCGCTTGGATGAATCGCAACAGTATGAGTTCGCCTTCAGCGGAGGGACAGGGTCACGTGAGTCAGTGACGTGCACGTAACACGCAAGCATGGACAGGCCAGGATTGGCTCTCAGCCCTGTGTGGAACCGAGAGGTGAATCCCACCCAACAGCTCCAAAGAAACCGATGAATGTTAACACGTTACACCTCACAATGGTAAGCCAGATCACCCCCTGTTTTGAACTTGGAGGAAACTGAGGCAAAGACAGGGGAGGTGACTTGCCCCAGGTCACACGGGGAGGCAGCGGCAGAGCTGGGATGAGAACCCAGGAGTCCTGACTCCCAGTCCTCTGCTCTGACCATCAGAGATGATCTCTCCCATAGCCAAGGAAAGAGGCCAGGAGTGCATGGCTCAAAAAATCTCACGCTGAGTCTATTATGCTGCCTCTTAACATTTCATGCTATCCAAGAGCCTCCAACGCTTGGATCAGCTCTGAAACCCAGGCCTTGGCTCTGGCCTCCTGACCACAAAATCCTCCTCCCATTTTGTTGTTGCTCTCAAGGAAGGATTCTGCATCTTTACAAGATTCCTTTTTTTTTTTTTTTTTGGAGCCTTTAACCCTTTCATCTTCCCTGGGAGAAATAGCTCCATTCCCCGCTTAATTTCCCTCAGCTGCCCCTTGGTTACGGTGACCTCCCCTCTGGCCCAGGCTGTTGAACAAGGCTCTCTCTGGGGCCTGCCAGTGATGCTCCTTTGGTCACCAGAGGGGGGCGCTAGAAAAGTGACGACATAATATTATTAGCAAGCTTTGGTTACTGATACAAAGTGAGACAATGATTCTTGCGACTCATCGATATTCTGGAGGGGAAACTGCAGTGTCAGGGTTACTGAGTTGTTGTCCCAGCAACAGACTGCGACGTCATGGTAACAGAGACTGCAGTGTCACGGTAACATGGACCACGGCTTTGATCTCACAGTTATGGAGACCATAATGATATGGTTCTGGAGATGCTGTTGTCATGGTTACATGGGTTAAAGTGGGCTTGCACCTTCCATGCAATCGTTCTCGGGAGATGCAACACAGAATCTAGCTTTTCCCAAAGGAACGGTCAATTTCACCCATTGGTAAAATGCAGCCACCTCTGGGGTGGAGCACAGCAGCTGTTTAGTGCAGAGCAAAGCTACACAGCAGTTTAGGGAAAGACATGAAGAAAGAATTCTGCATCCAGCTGGAATCACAGGAGGAATTTAGAGAAGCAGCTGAAATTGAAATCTGGCTGGGACAAATGTCCCAACTCCTACGAATAGGACAATGGGATTTTAACAGCCTCATTTCAATGGATGGCGACTTTAAGCATCACCTCATGCAGCGTAGCACCCCCTAGTGTTATGCAGAGACCCTGGTGACTATACTGACTCAGAGAGGAGAGCCCCCCCAGTGACTGAGCCCCTCCATTTCCAGCAGCACAGCACCTTCTAGCACTCCTCCCCCCGTCCCCGTCCCCCACCATTTCCTGCTGAGTCAACAACACGTGCTGTGTTTTTTCATGCTGGAACTTTCCCGTGAGGTCTCCCAAGTGGTGACCCGGCCCACCAATGCTTCGCAAGTGAATTGCCATCACCTCTCAGCACAGGGTGGCAGAGCTGCTGGAGACAACGAAAGCAAATGTCCAAAGTCACTTTTCCTGAGTAGGAGCTGGGAGGTGATTTTTCTCCTGTCTAAGGCCTTGGTGAGACTGATACTGGAATAGTGGGTCCAGGTCTGGCGCGTCCACACTATAAAAACGATGCTGAAAAACTGGAAAAGGTGCAGAGGAGAGTTATAAAAATAATTTGGGGGCTGCAGAAAATTCCTGGCAGGGAGAGGTAAGGAGCTTATCAACAAGAAGATCGAGAAGTCGGAGGTGATTTGATTATGGGGCCCGGGGAAAGAATCCAGGGCACTGAAGGGTTCTTTATGCTAGCAGAGAAAGGCAGAAGAGCAACCACTGGCTGGAAGAGAAAGCCAGACAGTCCCACATTTGTAACCAGCTCCCAAGGGAAGCTCAGGATTCTCTATCCATTGAAGTCTTCAGATCAAGACTGGAGGCCTTTCTGGAAGATACTGACATGTTGACAGGTGCTCCTGGCTGCCAGCAGCTGAATTTCTGCACCAAAGGCAATCACAGACCACCTTAAAATGGTCATGCAATGGGTGTGCTGAGCTCCTTCAAACTCAAGGGAAGGAGCAATTAAGCCCCTTTGTGGAGTAGAGAGAGGTACAGACAATGGGGAGTCTGCCCAAGACAAAAGGCAGATCAGAGCTAACCTGTGTGGACTGGTCTGTCTTCTCTGCATGGTCAATTCATGTGTGAGCATCCCCACTGAAAAGCTTGACCTGAATTACTGTGTCCTCACTGGTTCTGCTCTCATCCAGGTGTGTCCTGGCTCTGTCTGCTGACATGCTGTAGGATTCTTTCCCAGTCAATCTGTCCTTTAGGAGGAACTGTGGGAAGGGCACCGAAGAACTAGCATGTTCCAGACTGAGTTAAAGCAGAGCCTGGGATCTAACTCACATCCCCAACTGAGTCAAATAGCCAGGACTTAAAGCACTTCCAAACCCAGGTCCGAGGCTTTTCTGTGTGGATGGTAGGACGGTTTGGGCTAAAACCCAGGTTAGAACCAGGGTTAAATGGGCAGTGAAGACATACGCAAAGAGACAGAAAGTCAGTAGCAGTAAAGCAGAGAGACAGAGCCCGCTGAAGCGGCAGACTGGGGATTCCTGAACAAGGAAACCGCCTGCCATTGTTCAGAGAAACAGGACTTGGTGTAAATATGTTTTGTAACTAAAACCAGATCACACCAAAGAACAGCCCTGGCTCGTACCATCAATTTCTTCTCTGAATGGAGACAGCCCTGCAAAGCTGCCACATGGGCCAAAGGGGCAACAAAATGCTTTGGCCAAACACAAGTTCTTGGGCTCAGTGCAGGGGTAACTGGGCAAGATTCTCTCCCCTGTGATGGGCGGGCGATCAGCCTAGATGATCTAATGGTATCTTCTGGTCTGACACTCTAGGGTGCTATGAATTTCAAAAGGCGTCTCTTGCAATCTGGGCCCAATCCTGAGTCCTGGCAAGGGATTGGTTCACTTTGTATCAGTCCAGGAGCGACTCCCCATTCGAAATGCACTTGAATGAGAAATTCCCCGTTTTCGGGGGACGACCCGAGCTCCCAGCAGGGGTGTCATTATGTTTGGCAGTGGAATCCCTGGATGGTTCCAAAAAAAAGCCCCTCACCTGGTTTTCAGCAGGGAGTCGTGGCATGGAGGCAGCCCGGCCGTGCCCTTCCATGGGGAGGTAGTGGTCGCTGTCTGAGTAGCCGTCCTTCCCAATTTCTCTCATCTCCACAGACTGCAGAGAGCAAGGCAAAAAGAGGGTCACCTGGTAAGTAGTGTCACCCCCATTTTACAAGTGGGGAAACTGAGGCACAGACAGAGGCAGGGACTTGTCAGAAGTCCTTCACAAGTCAGGGGTACCCTGGGAATAGAACACAGGAGTCCTGACTCCCAGCCCTCCTCCACTCTAACCCACTCCTCTCTCAGACTAGGGAACATAACCCAGCTCCCCGGGCTCTAACTACTAGACCCCACTCTCCTCCCGGAGCTGGGGATAGATCCCAGGAGTCCTGACTCCCAGTCCCTGGCTCTGTTCAGTACACACTGCTGCTGAAAATCATGATCCCTGGCTCAGTTCTTCCTCCCGGTGTCCTGGATTCCCTACCAGTCTGAAACCACCAGAGACACCCTGCACCTGAGCCTCCGGAGCTGCCTGTGGTGGGAAATCTGTCATCCTCATTCCCCCTGGAGAATGGCTAAGTGGTCAGCTGGGAGACCAGGCCAGCTCCATGCCTGACTAGCCCTCAGACTGGGCTTCTCCACATAACCCAGCCCTAAGGGGTCAGACCTGCCCCCAGCTCCTGAACAGGAGAGAGAGAGAGAGAGATAGATGGGTGTGTACTCGGATAGAGAGAGAGATGGGTGTGTATTCGGATAGAGAGAGAGATGGGTGTGTATTCGGATAGAGAGAGAGATAGGTGTGAATGGGGACAGACAGAGAGATGCGTGTGTACGGGGATAGATCAGGCTGGGCAAACTACAGCCTGGGGCCTCATCCAGCCCTTCAGACATTTTAATCTGGCTCTTGAGCTCCTGCTGGGGAGCGGGGTCGGGAGCTTGCAAATGGGGCCAATGGGAGCTGCAGGGGGAGGGGCAGTGCCTGTGGACAGGGCAGTGCGTAGAGTCGCCTGGGTGCACCTCCACGTAGGAGCTGGAGAGGGGACATATCGCTGCTTCCGGGAGCTGCTTGAGGTAAGTGCTGTCCAGAGCCTGCACGCCTGACCCCCTCCTGAGCCCCAACCCCCTGCCTTGATCCCCCTCCCACCCTTCTGCACCCCAGAGCCTGCATCCCCAGCTGGAGCCCTCACCCCCCAACTCCCCCCCCACCCCCTGCCCCAGTCTGGAGCCCCCTCCCGCACCCTGAACTCATTTCTGGCCCCACCTCAGAGCCTGTACCCCCAGACGAAGCCCTCACTCGCTCCTGCACCCAACCCCCAATTTTGTGAGCATTTGTGAGCCCACTGTACAATTTCCATACTCAGATGTGGCCCTCGGGTCAGAAAGTTTGCCCACCTCTGGGATAGACAGACAGATAGATAGATAGATAGAGGGGGTGTATGGGGATAGACGGATGGATAGATAGATAGAGGGGGTGTATGGGGATAGACGGATGGATAGATAGATAGATAGATAGATAGACAGATAGATAGAGGGGGTGTATAGGGATTGACAGATTATGTGCATATGGACATCGATCAATCGATCACCTGGGAATTGGGACGGCTGTTGGGCATGTCTTCGGGGCGACCTCGCTCTGGACTCCAGGTGCCTGTCTTCTGGAACATCTCCTGTGCCCGCTCGGTGACCCAGGACTGGCTCTCCTTGATGCCCCCTTCAGGCGCACTCCTGCCAGAGCAGACAGGACGTCAGGCCATAGCCACCCGTGCTGGCCTAGAGGGGCTAATCAGCAATGCAGGCAGCGCATCTGCCGTTAACGGAGCCACGCCAGCATCGCCCAGCTTCTCTGGCAGCTAGAAAGCTGCTCCAGTCCTGGGCTCTCCCACAGGGAGGCTCTGCAGGGTATGGTGATCTCCAGTCCTTGCCTCTCCCAGCAGGGGGCGCTGTGGGGAGTGGGGCAGGAGAGCTGGCTGTGGGAGGAGCTCCCGGCTATGCCAGTCCTGGGCTCTCCAGCAAGGGCAGGACAACCAGATAGCGAATGCTCAGGACTTACAGGCCACCCCCTTGGTCCAGATGGGAGGACGGGAGAGCGTTCGGCCCCGGGACCCCCTCCTGGGTGGGCGACGGCGGCTCCATACGCTGGAACATGAGCGGCGTTCGATTCTGCAGGGAAGACAGGAGGCATCAGACCAGCTTATGGGAAGGGAACAAAAGCTGTGAGCAGGCCCCCAAGCCAGCCTGGGCCGGGCACCCTCCTTCCCCCTGGCTGGGAACCTGGGCTCAAACCTCCCGCCCAGGGTAGGAGCATTTCACTGTGGTAGCGGCTTTCACCTGAGGGTCTCAATGCACTTCTCAGGCAGCTCCACCCTACCCGCTCGCGGAGGTGAGTCTGCCTGACCAGCCCCATGTGCGGGGGAAACTGAGGCACAGAGTGGCAAAGGGGCTTACTCAAGTGAGTCAGTGGGAGAGCCAGGAATTGAAAACCCCAGGGGATGTACCTGCTCCTCCCTCATGGCCTGGAGCTTCTTGGCCTTGCTTTGCCGGTAGTACTCCATGATCATCATAGCGGCGTAGATCTTCCCAACTGTCAGGTCCGTGGCTGGGGGAGGCAGGAAGGGAGAGAGGCTGAGCATTATCAGCAGCCCCACCCCTGCCCTGGCCCAGCACGAAGCAGCCCAACTCCCCCCAGAATTTCAACCCTCTCAGCCTCTGGTCCCCAAAGCTGAGTGCCCCCATTGATGGTGGGGAAGATGGGGACACAGACTCTGGGCCCACACAGGTCTTGGCCCTGGGCACAACAAGGCGTAGAGATGCCAGAGAGATAAGGGGCTTTACAGACCAGACAGATCCCTGGGGATGGATGGACGGATAGACAGACCTCTGTGCTGAGTGGCTGGGAGTCTCCAGGGCTCAGCTTGCCAAAAGTCACCCAGAAAGTCAGTGGCACATTGGGATAGAACCCAGGAGTCCTGATGCTCTAACCACTAGACACCACTCCCTTCCCACACCCCAGGAGTCCTGACTCCCAGCCCCCCCAGCACACACATCTCTCCCCCAACGCACAGAATGGGCACGGGACAGCGCGAGCCCCCGTGGTGCGAACGGGATGCTTAGCCCTGCACAGCTCACCCTGCTGGGCAGCAGTGACCTGGTTAATGGGGGGCGGGCATGCTGTCTGGACATGGGTGCTATGCCCATCCCGGGGAAGTTCCCATGCCAGGGCTGGGGCTGGCTGCCCCTACAGCAGAAGCCAGGCAGTCTGCCGAGCTTGGGGACAGTGCGGGGAACAAGCAGGGATGCTCACATTTGTGAGGGGTGACAAGGAGATCCAGGTTCTTGTGGGAGAGGTTGGGCCAGATGGCCATCATCTCCTTCCGGAGCTCGGCATCCATCTGCTGCTTGTCGGCTCCTCCTGGAAGGCACAAGCCGGGGGGAAGATCAGTGGCTGGGCATCGGAGCCCCGAAATATCAGATCCCCAGTGAAAGTGTTACTATCCTGCTCCCTGGAGTAGCCAGAAGCTCCCCCCACAGCCAGCGCTCCTGCCCTGCTCCCTGCAGTGCCCCCTGCTGGGAGAGAGCAGGACTGGAGCAGTTGTGGATTTCCTTTTGAAGGTGGGGTGCAGAGCGGTGCCCTGCTGGTAAGCCCCCATCCTGCACAGAGGAGCCAGCTCCCCACCACCACTGCCCCAGAGCCTCGCACTTGCCTTTGGCGATCTTGATGTCCAGTGCGGTCCTGATCAGAGCCATGAGGGTTGAGTTGAAGTGGACGGTGTTGTCGTCAGCCACGGGCAGGTCCATGCGGAGCAGCCTCTGCAGAGAGGCAAGCAGAAGCGCGTCACCCTCACGGTCCCCGCACCTGAGACCGGCGTGACTTTCAAAACAGGGGAGCCCTGGGGAGAACTCTGAGGTGTCACCGGGTTCAGTACTTGGGGGATCCCCAGCTCTTGCTTACCAACACCCCTCCCCACATCCCCTCTGGATGCTGATGGGCCTATGAAGGTGCCCAGTGCCAATGAATGAGGCACTCCCTTTACAACAGTCATCCCTGGCCTATACCTGTCTCTGTCCAGCTGAGGATCTCAGAGTGTGTTGCTGGCATTTAGGGATTAAACCTCAGCCACTGGTGGGCAGGCCAGAATTGTCCCCAATTTAGAGGTGGGGAAACTGAGGCAACTGTCTCCCTGTTATACACAGTGTCAGTGGCAGAACTGGGAATAGGACCCAGGAGTCCTGGCTCAGGCTCCTGCTTTAACCACTATTCAACAGTTCCATCCCAGAGCCAAGATTAGAACCCAGGAGACCTGACTCCCAACTCTACCCATTAGACCACATCCACTCCTAAAGCCAGGAGTAGAACCTAGGAGCCCTGACGTCTAGCTCCCTTCTCTAACCAGTAGACACACTCCCCTCCAACAGCTGGGCAGAGAAACCAGAAGTCCTGTTCCAACCTCTAGACCCCACCTCTCCTCTCTGGGTTGCATCCCTCCCTGCCTTCCCCAGAGTTCTTTCCAAAGAGCTCACTGACTTTTTAAAAAAATTTAAATTAAGATAAAGAAATCAACAAAGAAAGAAACACAAACTCCATGTTGCAAGGCAGCAGTGCACTCGGCATCAGCAAAGGGAAACAGGGGAGGTGTAGTTAATGCTCACTGCACAGGATGCAGCCAGTACCATCCAACAAAGCGCGTTCCTCCCAGTGCCAAGGCAAGACAGCGCCACGCCAGGGCTCATGCAGCGGGCATGCAGCATGCGGCAGAAAGCATTCCCAGAGGACACATTGAGACTCATTCATAGCTCTGGTATAGACTGCTCTAGAGAGGCCCGCAGTTTTTGTGCTCTCGGTGCAAAGAATGGGTGCGTCCTCAAGGTGCGAAGGGAAGAAATGAAAAAATCGACAGAAACTCGGCATTCCTCAGAGTTCAGGCTGTTGGGCAACAAGATGCTCAGGGTTGGATTGGACACTGGCCGACCAGTTAGTGCATTAGCTACGATAAGGCTGTGGACCGTATGGAGATGGGGTTAGTGGGGAGGTCTCTTCTGGTCTTTAAAGGGATGTAACTGACGAAGGCGGGGGAGGGACAGCAAAACAAGAAGGGAAAAAGACAGAGAGGGGGGAGTAGGACTGACAGGGAGGATGAAGAGAAAATTAGCATGAAGGTCCATCCGAGCATGATGTCCAGAAAACTGGGCCCTACAGAGATTGGCCTGAAGCACAGAGGGGGAGTGCAGCTCCACACTGCCCCATGGTTTGTGGAAGTAGCCCCCATCTTCACCCTCCAGGCTCAGGACACTTCCACCCGTGCTGCGTTCTCAACCTGTCAGCAATCGGGCACCCGAGGCCCCAGCAATAGCGTTATGTGGTCCCGATTGCTGCTCCATGGTTTGGATAATGGGACATTTGCCACATCCCTGATCTAGGTTCAAATCTGACTTGGGCTGGTCCCCCCGATACAGTTGCAAACAGGACCCTGCATGATTATCCAGGTGTGTCCATGCTCCACGCAGGTCAGGGTAGTTGGACATACCCAGCCTCCCAGGACTCTGCCAGACCTTCCCAAAATGCATTGCGCTGTGTGAAAAGCACCCACAATCCTCCATGGCAAAGCATGATAGGATAGTTCCCCGGATTTTCCCAGAATGCCCTGGCACATGCATGGCTCAGCAGGGAGGGCGACATGGACAGGCCAAACCAGGTTATCCTGTAACCTTGTCGAGTGACCCTGGAAGAGCCAGGTCACCCGCAAGGCTGGGGGCAGCATGCTGCACTCATCAGGCAGGATTGGCCCATAACACGGTTCTCTTGAGGGAGAAGGGACCAGGCTGGGTTTGGGATGGAGCTGCCTGGGTGAGGGGAACGCAATCAGCCATGACCCCTCTGCGGGGGGCGCTGTTCCACACGGCACCAGTGCTCCTCTCGCAATGGTTTTCTGGACAGCAGCTGTCATGGAGGAGTGAGCCAAGAGAAAAGGGGGTGAACGGGAGGGCACAGAAAAGACTCAGCGGGTATGAGATACCCAGGAGGACTGAATGGAGAGCCCAGCGGGTTTTAGACAGAGTGAGGGGAGCGGAGGAGCAAGGACTGATGGGCAGGCTGAGGAGAGGCTACTGAGGAGTAAAAGCAACATGGTGAAAAACTTTTGCACCTGCCGTCTGAGGAGCTCTGTAAAATGGGGAAACTGAGGCACAACCAGGGGACGTGACTTACCCAGGGAGCAAATGGAAGAGCTGGAAATAGAACCTGGGAATCCTCACACTCAATTCAATCCTCTAACCACACTCCCACCTCAAGCCAAGAACAAAACCTGGGAGTCCTGATTCCCTGCTCTGACCACTAGACATCACCCTCCTCTCAGATGCAGGAAGAGAGACGAGTCCTTAGTCCCATAGCTCCACTAGCGTCTGATACATCAGCCTTCTCCTTTTCTGCTGGGTCCCGGTAATACAGTACAATCCCCTAGTGTGGACGCACCATATACAGCTGCTTATACCAGTAAAGCTATTCACATAAGGGAAAGGCAGTAAGTTATACTGCTTTAAGATGCTTTTATCTCAGTATAGCTGTGTCCACACTAGGAGTTCTACTGTTATAGCTACAGTCGCTAAAACCCACTCCCGTAACCGATGTGGTTCACCAGGACAAACACCTCAGTCAATTTCCAGTGTGAAGTCTCAGGGTAGAACCCTTGCCTGCCCTGAGCTGCTCCGTGCATCTCTCTTAAAGCCCCAGCTCCTGGAGTCATGGGACAACCTCAGCTTTCATGCAAAAGAAAAAAGGAAGTTCCCAACCCTTGTGGTGCTGGAGGAAAATGTGGACCTGGGCATAACTCTAAAGGCTCAGAAAGTAGGAGGCAAAGACAAGGCCAGGTCAATGTTAAAGGCTTTTGTTGGCATAGCTCTGTCAGTCAGGGATGTGAAGAGGTGGGAACCCGACAGAGCTGTGCCAGCCTCCTCAAGTGATCCTGTTTGCCCCACGGAACTCAGACCTACACCTCCTTTCCTTCGCCCATACCTCACTGGGCTCTCTTCAGTTTCTCTGTAGTGCCCACCACTGTGGGAGCTAAGGCACTAGGGGCCTGATTCCCGTTTAGGCCCGGTTGACACAGCGTTTGTCCTAGTGACAGCACATCCTGTAGGGGGGTGACTTTTACCGATAGCGCTACCCCGGTACGCCCCCCAGTACGATGCAATTCTACCAATATAAAGGCACCTTGTGTCAATATGGCTTATTTCCTTTCCCGTAGGGGGATAGCTACAAGGCACCTTCACATCCATGTAGCAGTGTCCCTGCTAGGAATCATGCTGGCACCTCATAACAAAACCACCCCCCGACGCAGCTGAACAGGCATCAGCGTGGGGAGCCAGGCTCAGGCCTGCGCAGAAACTGTTGCTTCTCCAGTAACGACACTTGGGGATGTGATTTTTTTAACGCTATTTCTACACTGGCAAAAGCCCTAGTCTAGACACGGTTACACCGGCAGAGAATATAGCTGATTTCGTTTGGGAAACTGGTCTAAGCTGTCTTGTCAGGCGCTGCATCTCCAGTAGGCAGGTTTGCCAGTATAGCTCTTAGACCCGGCCTAAAGTGGATGCGAGAGTCAGGGCCTGACACAACTTGCTCCTTAGAAGCCCCTGCCGCCTGGCCAGTCGGCCGTGTGCGATCCTGGCTGGCCTGGCTGTTCCTTTACCGCAGATGGGAGAGGCCTGTGGGTCGGGTGCTGGACAGACTCGGGTTCTATTCTGGCTGGCAGCCTGGGATAGGGGCAGGAGCAAACGCTCTGCTTCTGAGAACGCACCCTGGGACCAGCCTTCCCACCCCCGCGTCTCTCCCAGACAGCAGCAGCCCGGTGCAGGGACAGTGCACTTTGCCAATGGGCTGAGCCCTATTGGGCAAGGACCAGACAGACGCACAGGGACACCACGCATGGGGGATAGATAAGGCGAGCTCTGGGTGTCTGAAGGAGCAATGAGGGGGCCTGCGACAGCGGAAGAAAAGAGAGAGAGGCAAGCAGTGGGTTATGGATCCTCAGTCATAAATGGGAACCCTCCAAAACCGCTCTGTAGGGCAGTTCTAGCTTTGAAGCCGGGGGAAAGGCAGGAGTGGGGCAGGGAGAGAGAATGGAGGCGAGGTGAGAACCAGAGATGGGAAAGACTGAATGTGACGGGAAGAGGAGAGAAGCTGCTAGCCAGGTTAGAACTGCATTGACAGAGAAGGGGGTCTGGGGACGGGGAGGAAAAGGGGGTGAGAAAGAAAGGTTAGTAGCTGTTAATATTGTCTCTGGTGGAGGATATTTTTGAAAGCAGCAAAAGGGAGTTCCCCATAGGGCTGATTAAAGATGGGGACCAGCTTCCTGGGCAGAGAACTGGGGCTTTCGAAGGAGGTGTAAGACACTTGCTGGGTGAGCCATTCTGAGAAGACCTATCTTATGCCCCAGGCCTTGTAAATGAGCCTGGAGATCACAAGCGCTTGGTCTCTGACACTGGGACCATGTTCACCCCTGGCCTGAACAGACTCATCTGCAACTAAAGCTGCTGCAGTTTCACCTGCTTAATCCCAGGATGAATTTAGCTCCTGCCAAGCTGATCACGTGGGTAGAACTCTGCACCTTTGTGGAAGCCCCCTGATTTCTCTGCTTCAGTGTCTGCCCGTGTGCATCCAACTGCAAAATTGGGGCCTTAGAGCTTGTCTCTGTAGGGAGATTGACCGGCACAGCTATGGCAGAATCACTATTCCGACGCAGCTAGTCCAGAACAGCTAGAACAAGAACACCTAGCTCTTCTCCATCAGATCTCAAAGCACGTAACTCTCATTATCACTGAGGCAAAGAGAGGGGAAGTGACTGGCCCACAATCACCCAGCAGGCTAGTTACAGAGCTGGAACCCAGCTCTCCTGAGTCCCACTTCAGTGGCTCTTACCTCTAGGCCACACTAAATTCACACTCTACCAGATTCCACAAGAACTTCCCTCTGCAGCCAAGCCCTGAGCCCAGCGTTCCAGACCACTGACTTGAGCTAAACAAAAACCAGCCTAGTTTCAAGTCCACACAGCCTTTCCCATTGGTTTTTCATAGAATTTCAATCCTAGATCCTGCAGCCAGAGGGGCCCTTTTCAATCATCCAGTTTGACCCTCCTTTAGAACTCAGGCCATGGGACTTCCCTGAATTAATTCCTGTTTGAACTCAAGCCACTATTTTAGAAAAAACATCCAATCTTGATTTAAACAGGGCCAATGCTGGAGAATCCATCCCAACCCCTGGTAAGTCATGCCAACGGTTAATTATCCTGTTAAAAATTTGTACCTAAATCTACACCTGTCCAGCTTCAAATTCCAGCAATAGGATCTTGTTACATCTTTAGCTACATGTTTCAAATCACACCTTTAGGCCTTGGGCAGGTCTTCACTGCAGTTAGCTCGAGTTATCCACACTCAAGTGACTCCTCTTGAGTCAACCCAGCTTGACTGAGAGTGACTATAACAGTCGAATTGCAGCACCCACACATCTGTGGGTGTCACTAGGACTTCTGGGGCACTTGCCATGGTTCTTTGTACAGCAATAAGCTGAGCCACTTTAAGGATTCTTTTCCAGCGAACGGAGGGAGAACTGGTCTGTCCCTTCTGGGCACATCAGGGGGAGTTATGAGAAGGGAATGGATCAGCAGCGCTAGCCTGCATCCACATTACAGAAGGGTCATGTTAGCAGCTGACAAGTTGTGCTCACTTGAGTTTTAGCCTGTAGCCACCGATGCACCACTGCATTTGAATGTAGGGTTTGTACGTGTGGATGGGGCAACGCTTGAGTTATAACTCGAGTTCACTTCGCAGCTAAGACCTGGTGCACCCTCTCCTCAGCTTCCACCATTGCACTGCAGGAGCGTGCTGGATCTCCCACAATGCCCTGTGGTCAGAAATACGGTGTCACTGGTTTAAAGAGATATTGTCAGGCAAAAAAAGCCAAACAAATCTGATATTTTGCAAACAAACTGCCCATCTAGCTTACAAATCACAATTAAGATGATCAAAACTGGAAAGAAACTAAGCATCTAATTTCCTTTCTACCACGGAGGATGTTTAGCTTCTCATACTTTGAAAGGGGAGGAAACCGAGGCACAGAGCCAAGACTAGCTTATGTTCACGCAGCGAATCTAAGACACTGCAAGGAACTGAACCAAGTTCTGCTGTACCCCACCATGTTGCCTGAATCACTAGGCACAGCAGCCTCCAAGAGTCAATTTCACTCCCAGGATCTAACCCTCAGCAGCAATGTTGGAAACACTGCAGTGGGATCTTTGCATCCAAGCAAACAGCTTCCACTGGATCCCAGAGAAATGATGGGGAATGCCTACGGATGGGTAGACTGGGTGAAATCTAAGCATTGGCCAGATTTCCCAGTTCTCAGCACTCACACTGGACCCAGCTTGTCCAACGAGGCCCGAACTCAGCAGCTCACTCCTGGGTAGGCATCAGAATTGTTTGAAAATCTGGCTACTTACTTCCGTGCCTGAGCGCTCGTCTACCTGGGGCGATTTACCCGCGTAACTACACTGGTATACCTATACCGCGAGCAACACACCAGTGCAACTCCCAACTCTTATTCCTTAATCAGAGTGCCTTTGTCTGGTTTCTGTTGCTTCTTCAAAATAACCCAGAGAATGGCACTCTAATGTTGGAATTCGAGGTTCCACAAGGGATGTTATACCACTGTGGCTATGCCAGTAAATGTCTCTGTGTGAACAGACTCTAAATTGGTGCTGAGCTCTTTTGAAAAGTCTGGCCTGTATGTTTATACAGCACCAAGCACAATGGTCCCCGATCTTGACTGTGCTGTCTACAAGCTCCTCTGATGCTAATGAGAGCAACCCTTTAAAATTCACTGCCTTTACTGTTCCCTCCTACCCCAGGACTTGCAATCAGTCCTCACTGATCATTCCATGAAAGGAATGGACCAGATACTCTGAGCCATGGTGCCGCTATCTCACCTGAATCGCCTTTCCTTCCCTGGCCTCCTATGGGATTCTCATCCCAGGCCTGACCTAAAGCACGACAAACTCAGTGGAAAGGCTCCCACTGACTTCAATGGGTTCTAGATCAGGCCCACAAGGGATTTCTGACCCCTGACATCTTCCCACTGTCCAGTTTTGAACTGGAACCTTTCAGTTTCCACCCACCTGTCTCCCACCCATTGAGGAAATCTTTAATGACTGAAAAGTGACAGGTCGATCAGAGCTGTATGGCTCATCCTACAGAGAAAGGTTTGACCGGGTGGGGTGGGGGAATTCAACGTTTTAAAGCAATGTTTCTTCCACTGAATAAAAAAAGGTAGGGAAGAAGGAATCCTTAAAAAGGGGCTTGTAGAGAATTAACATGCACCTTGCACTTCAGTTCTTACCCACCCCAGCTGACTTGCCATAATGGAGTCTCTGAAACATGAAATGCTAACGGACTCAAACGGACACACCGTACTATTTAAGAGATTTGATCAAGGAAAAAAAAACACAAAGAAATGTATAAAAAGATATTGTATAGGCTGATTTTTTAAAAAAATGTTTTGGTTAAAAAAAAATTAAAAAAAATTAAGTGAATTTGATTTGCATGTTTTTGTCTTTTTAATTTATTCTACCTTATAAGCAACCCGGGGTGGGCATTTCTTCCCTAACCCAAGGGGTGGAGACATATGCCTCAGCATCTCATACATATCCGTGAAAGTCATCCGGCCCCTGGTAGCGGAAAGAAAAAAAAAAGGCACGAAAAAATAGACAAGAGGGAGATGCAAAGAAGAAAAAAAATATTTTAAATCAATTTAAAAAGGACGGGAAAAAAATGGAAGAAAAAATGCAAAGATTACTTCGCTGCTTCTCAGCAGACAGAGTGAGAGCTCACACATCTTTCATTCCTATGTGTAACTAGACAGCTTCCGGGGTGGGGGGAAGGCAACAGTTGATTCAGCAAAGCACTTAAGCTCCCCATCGATCCACTGCCCAATGAAATCAATGGCAGTTTGTCCATTGCCTTCAGGGGGCACTGCGTTCTGCCCTTGCTTAAGAGAAACTGGAGTAGGCACATGCTTAAGTGATTTGCTGGGGTCCTGGAGTCCTTTAGGCAAAATTCCTCCTGGTGTTCTGGGAGGGAGGACTGCAGGATCGGGGCCACCTTTGTAGCGAAGAACAGGAAAGAGAGAGAGAGAGATTTAGCTTAGAGCACGCCTCTTTGCCAATGCTGGAGGGGGGGGGGGTAAGGTGGTGGACGGGGGGAGGGGAAGGGAAGGGATAAATGGCAGAGGTGTCAATGCAGTTTCCGTCCTCCCCAGATGAAAAAACTCAACGTGCGAAGGGTGGTGGGGGTGTGTGTGTAGAGACACAGTGGTACAAATCCTCAGGGCCTAGCTTCAGCTGACAGCAAGCAGAAAGGGTTCAAAATCACCGATATGCTCCATGCGGTACTGGGCGGACGGCATCCTCGTATGCATTCTGTTTGCTAAGTAGGTGACTGGATTACTTCTTGAAAAGTGCAGGATACCGAGATGTGTGTGTATACATATATATATATATATATGAAATATATATATTAAAGAAACCATAAGCAACATTCATTCCGTTGATGCTAGCAGGTTTTAGTGTAAGTCAAACCTTGCAAGCAACCCTATGAGGGCATTTCTTGCCTAAGCCCAGTGGGGGAGATATAACACGTAATAAACTGTACATATCCTTATAATGAATTCGGCCACTGCAAGAAGAATACAGGGGGTTAGTGCAGATGCTACTACAGGGTGAGAGAAACACACAAACTGTCATGTACACATAGATCACAGCAAGGCTGCCGGGAATGGGCGCCTAGGCCAGCTACAACAATAGTGCCTGGTTTTACCTTAGGGCTGGGGGTTTGGACACGCATTCCTGGGGGCTCCAGCAGGAGCTGAAAGTGCTTGGCCTTTGCAGAGTAGAGGCCTGGTGTTAAAATTGCTACTACTGAGCAGCTGGCAGACCACAGCTGGCTACGATGTCCTGGGAGGTGCATCTGTTATTGGGGAAACTGAGGCATAGAGCTACAGGGTGGGGGAGAGTGACTTTTTCAAGGTCACACAGGGAGCCCTCAGCAGAATTGGCGACAGAACCCAAGAGTCCTGGCTCCCAGCCCCCTCTGCTCTAATCCACTAGACCCCACATCCCATCCCGAGCTGGGGACAGAACCAGGGCTCCAGACTCCCAGCTCTCTTTTCAGATCCATAGGCCTCTCCCAGGGCCTGATGCAAAGCCCAGTGAAGTCAATACAAAGGCTGCCATTGACTCCAGTGGGATTGGGATCAGGACCCGACATTTTGCTTTCTTTTTACTGGGGGAGGGGTGTCACTCATATGCAAAGGACCCTCGTGCCAAGGCGGGGGCAGGGTTGTGTCTACCCCCCAGTGGCACGAGATAGGACTCGGGGGGCCGGTTGGGAGCTCCTCCTGCTGGGCTTGGCAGGGCCTGCCAGGTAGGGTTGGCAGCGTAGACAAACACGTTAAACCTGGAAACAACGGGAGTTTACTAGAAACGGAACAGGGCACAGGGACGACGTGGGACAGCACGATGCCTGGGGTGGCGGCCCCCCAGCACAGAACCAAACACAACGCGCCAGGAATCCTCCGCGAGAGCAGGCTGGCCCCACCCCAGTGCCTCAATGGTGCAGCACCAGCCCAGCCCCAACGCAGTTCCCGGCTCCAGAGGATACACAGGGGCAGAGGAGTCATAATGTCACAGAGCCGGGGTGGGACTACGTCCCCTAGCGGCCTGTGTCTAGCTAGTGGCGTCTCCCTGGCGGCGCTGATTGTGTCATCTAGCCCTGAGAGCGTGGTGTCTCTGAATAGCATATGGGGACTCATCAGGGCGTGGGAGGAAAACAGCCCTGTGTTTTCCATCCAGCCTCTCTTCTGCAAGCTGTTACCCACTTCACAATGTGCATTAATAATGGGACAGCCCGGGGCACCACGGGACATCCCCAGGACGTGGCAGGGACACCCCCAGGGCCCTTCGATTGGCTTGGGAAAGGGGGAGGGTTGGAGAGAATCCAGCTGCAAAAACCTAAAATTGAAAAAGGAAACATTAAACACCAACAAGATCCAAGAGCCTGCGTTTGCAGGGCCCCGTGGGGGACACAGACCCAGCCCAGGAGGGGTGGACGGGCTTTGGGGTCCGCTCTCACTAGCGTACAGCTGGGTTAGTGCTCAGTGGGAACTGGTCCTGTCTTCCCCGAATCCTGGAGAGACTACGTGGGAGGGATTTGCTCTAATCTCTGCACCAGCTGAGCTGTGGAAGCCCTGCCAGCACACCAGAGCAGCACCTGCCCCGGAGAGTTGGCATTCAGCGATGAGAGAGGCCTCCATGTGTCGCCCCTCCTGGCAACCGGAGGAACACAGCCCCCTGCCTGCAGGCCAGAGGACATGATGATCTGTCAGGGGATGGAAGGAGGCAGCCGGGCAGATAACTTACTGTTCTGTGTGACTAACAAGGGCTGCTTCTAGGAGCTTTGTCCATCTTTGTCCAGGAACTAACCAAAGGCAGCAGCTGCCCAGCAAACCAGGGTAGTGACTAGGATCCAACCCCTTCCCCCCTACAGTGCAAAGGGGTCTCGGCCCAGGAGACCCTGGCTAATGGCTCCTTCCCATGGTGCTTGGACCCCAGGGTGCCCTGCACCCCCTTCCCAAAGCCCTGGAAACTTCCAGGTGGGCCTGGAAACTTCAGACCCTACAAGAACCCAGGAATCCGAGCCGATGTCTGCGCTGGATTGTCCAGAGCAGGCCATCTAGCTCAGTATCCCCATGGCACTGAATCAGATCCAAGGCCCACCAAGCCAAGTAACTGCTCATCCCTGGAATAGTGGATTAGAGCAAGGGCATCTGGGTCCAGTATCCACTCCTCGTCCCAAGCTGGGCATGGAATCCAGGAGTCCTGACACCCAGCCCCAGCCAGGCTCTGACAGCTAGACCCCACTCCTCCTTGCCCTGGTTCTTTCTGCTCCTCACCCCCCTTTCCCCAGCCCTCGACAGTCAGTTCTCTGCTGATCAAGGAGGCTTATCTCGGCTCCCCCGGAGACATGGACAAATCCGAGCCCTCCAATATTCCCCTCGAAGGAGGGAGGGGAGCCCTGGCTGCTGGGCGGGGGCAGGAGGTGCGGGATGAGGGTGAGGTCCTTACCAAGCAGCAGGGTCGTACTCTGCCCACACACGCACGTACTCGTCCAGATGGTGGGGCCCCAGGATGGAGGAGTCTCGGGTCAGGTACTCAAAGTTGTCCATGATGACGGCCACAAACAGGTTCAGCATCTGCAGTGGGATGGGTTGGGGCGCGGAGACAGAGGCGTATTGGACAAGTAGTCCAGTGCAGACAAGACCCCAGGGGTCAAATCCCGCAGTCCTTGCCGTGGGCTGGGCTCTGGGCACTCCAGCGCCTCCTCTGTCCATGTGTCTCTCGCTCATGTTTTTGGTCCTTCTCCCACTCCCCAACTTCCCTTTACGCATTCCGCTATGCACACACCCGTCATCATACACACGCCAACACACACAGAGGCACGCCAACAAGTGCATCCATGTACACATGCATCAACACATACCAAAATGAATGCACAACCGGCATAAACGTGCAACACACACACACTTCCCACATACACACACCACATCCGTGCATTGCATACATGCAACTCACAAACCATCATAGGCCAATGTGCACATGTGTGTACTCACACAGCACACGCACACGTGTACACACGCCAATGTGTACCCACAGGTACCTACAGATCACACACACGTGTACACATGCCAATGTGTACCCACAGGTACCTACAGATCACACACACGTGTACACACGCCAATGTGTACCCACAGGTACCCACCCATCACACACACGTGTACACACGCCAATGTGTACCCACAGGTACCCACAGATCACACACACGTGTACACACGCCAATGTGCATACACCTGTACTCATACAACACATGCACACGTGTACACACATACCAACGTGCATACACGTACTCACACATCTGCTAACATGCAAACCCCCCTATACAAGTCACCACACACAACTCGTGCACGCACAGATACACTTGTCAACAACAACTGACTCTGGTGCACACAGAGCACAGATTCTCGCCAAGGTGCACACACCTATGAATAGCTCCGACACGCGGCTTTCACACTTGCCAACCCGCACGCACATACACACCTGTCAACGCACACCCAGCTCACACATGCCGCACGTACGCTGCACGCCTGGCCCCACACACGTCAGCACACTCCCAACTCACGCAGCGCACGCGCACCCCTGTGGCTGCTGCCGGCCCGGCTCCCCGCAGACTCACCAGGAAGGAGCAGAAGAAAATGAAGGAGACAAAATAAAAATAGGCGAACTCGTTGCCACACTCATGCTCCTTGATCCCCGAGTTCTCGTCGCAGGGCTTCCCGCTCAGACACGACAGCATGATCTCGTGCCACGCCTCGCCGGTGGCACTCCTGCAGCCGCACAGAGGGGAGAGGGGAAGTGCATTGGGAAGGCAGGGCAGGGGTGGGGGAGCAAACCAGGCAGCTCTGTCCCAGTCCCCTCAGGCACCTGGGTGCCATTAATGATGCTTTGCACTTCTACAGCATCATTCAGCCCCGAGCACTTACAGGGATGGGGCTTACAGTTTATACTCGGATCCCTCACCTGGCACTGAGATGCAGCCACCTCTGGGGCGAAGTGCGGGGGCTGTTTATACTGGGATTCCTTGCCTGGTGCTGAGGTGCAGCCAGCTCTGGGGTGGGGCTTGGGGGGGCTGATTAACAGCCGGACAACCCACTGCATTAGAGCAAGGTATACGAGGAGGTCAGTTTCCTTGCAGTTGCAGTGGGGATGGGACACGGATCTCTGCTCAGTCCAGCTTCTGCCCGGGGCAGGGTCTCACCTGAACAGAAGCATGAGGGCCTGGAAGAAAGTGCGGAAGTTGTTGTGCTCTGTGATAGCCGAGTCCTCCTCTTCGTCTTCGATGCCAATGTTACCGAACACCTGCAAAGGCAGAGGGCCCTCAGACAGCAATGGGGATGGGGCCTCATCTCTCTCCTGCAGACAGCCTGCTCCAGCACCCAGGTACAGCATGACATGCCGGGCCTGGAGCCCGGCACAGTCCTAACCCCCATGTGTGTGCGGAGGAGTCACTCCCAATCCAAGGCACGAGTGCTCGGATTCCCACGCCCGGTCTCCGCACTGCAAAACGGCCTGTGACAGTGTGTACCGTCCCCCCGAGCTGGCCTGCCTGACACTCACCTGCATGCCGATGATGGCGTAGATGAAGAAGAGCATGGCAATCAGCAGACAGACATAGGGAAGGGCCTAGGGAGAGAAGCAGAGCAGGGCACGTCACTCGCAGGGGGCTTTAAACCTTGCGCCCTGCCAGGCAAATAGCATCCCCCTGTACTGGGCCACGGCAGCTTCTCCATTCAATGCAGCAAAATGCAGCTCACACCCCACATCTGTACCATTGGCTGGCTCGCAGGGAGAGCATGCTGGGAGCTTCTCTCCTCGCCCGTGTCTCCTCCAGCACTCAGCACCTCAAAGGCACCGACGGGGAATGCCACTACAACACCAACCCAAACCACAGCCAACTGAACCCAGAGCAAAGGCTGCCATTGCTTCACCAGGCACCCGCTCAGGGCCAGGGGAGTCAGCGACTGAGGTGGGCATAGCACCTGGATGCCACCCTGCTGAGACACTCTGAGATAGAGAGAGAGAGAGAGAGAGAGGGTGTATGGGGGTAGATAGATGTGTATGGGGACGGACAGATGGAAGGGTGTGTATGGGATGGCTGGATAGACAGAGTACAAGTGGATGGATGGGTCTATGTGGGGACAGACAGAAAGAGATAGCTAGAGGGGTCTGTATAGGGACAAACAGACAGATATGGAATCAATACATCTTCAGAGCCAAGGTCCAGCCCGCATACGCTAAACCTTGGATCAGTCATTCTAAGAGTCAGTTGCTGGGTTCCTGGCCCCCTGGCCCAACCCCTTCCCCCTTCCCCTCCCTCCCCGTCCCCAGTCACCTTGAAGGACTGGACGAAGGTCCACAGCAGGATGCGGATGGTGTAGCCCTGGCGAAGGAGCTTGATGAGGCGGGTAGCACGGAAGAGCCGCAGGAAGCTCAGGTTGATGAAGTTGTTCTGAGGGGATGAAAGGAAGGAGAGGTGAGCGCTACCTGCGGGCGCAAGAGGGGAGATCCCCACCCCCAGGGGAGACTGCCCTGGACGTGTGCCTGCATCCACGCAGCACCGCAGGGCAGGGCAATAACCCAGGGAAACATCATCTCAATGCAGATGATTAACCCACCAACTCACAACTAAAACGAAATCCACGGAGAACTCAATAAAGTAGTAATAAAATAATAACAACACCATCAATTGTGATCATTATTAGCAATCAACAGCAACTGTTGATAACAACCAATAATAATTATTATTATTCACAATGCTATTAATTAATACCTAATGATAAATAGCAGCAATGCATAATAATATTAATAAATAATAGATAATAAATGATTATAATACATAATGCTATTAATAACTGCTATAAGAGAAATAAATAATGAATAGTATTATTAAACCAATGATATAACCAATAATACTACTGATAAATAATAAATGATATTGCAATGCATATTGATAAAGAATAGTAACAGAACACACAGTACTATTAATATAAACAATACCCAATAGTGATCATTATAATACATAATAAATAAAATAAATAGAATGATTATAATGCATTGGATACTATTAAGAATAAAATGAATATTAATGAATTAATAGTGCTGTTAATAATTTAATAAAAATAGATGATAAATAATATGAATACAAATAATGATAATCAACCAGGACAATGAATGATAACACCATTAACAAATCACAGCATGAAAGCCACCCAGCAATCTCCATCCACCAGCCATCCCTGAAAAAGGGGAAAGGAACATAAAGGAAACTAACAAGCTGGGCTCATCCAATGGGGAACTCAATGGCTATTCGTTAATATCAGGGTTATACTGTAACTATCCCAACAACCAAATGCACTGATATTTTCTGACACAAGCAGGTAGAGCATTGTGGGGTCACATCGCACGTGTACTATGCACACACAACCAGAGAGAATTGAAGCAGGATAAGTGCCGGGGGAGGGGAAGGTGTCTGGGGACTTGCAACATGTTACAGATCGCATGTGATGATTGGGACCTCAAATGCATCTGTCTCTGTGCACCCAACAGCCACGCCGGGATGCTCCCTGGAATGACTTCTTGAGGCTGGCTGCGGGGGCTCAGCCTGCAAGCACGGACGACATTCAGTGGGGTTTTGCTCCAAGGGATGGGGAGGGGAGGGCCAAGAGGCTGGGAGGCGCCACTCGTCCTGTTGGTTTCACGAAGATGCATTTTGGACCCCTCTCCCCCGGGAGGGGATGGCACGTGGCTTCTGGGACTGGGCCGAGCAGTGCGAAGCCTGTGGTAGGCTCTGGAGTTCCCATAGTGCACTGGCTGCTGGAGCTGGGCAATGCGGCCTGGCTTGTTGGGCTGGAGTTCCAGTTAACGGGTGGCATAGGCTGCATGACGCAGCTCCTAGGTTAACCTCAGACCAACAACCTTTGCACCCTTGAGGTCACCCCGTCTTTTCTAAGAGACAAACTCGCTCATGGTACGTGGACTCTGTTCTGGCTGAGATCTGGGGTCTGGTCTGGCAGATCCATTGCAGACCAGGAGTCAGCTGTGAAGTTCTGACCTCGAGCCCAAGGACTCCCCTTCCCTCTGCCAATCAATGCACAAGTCAGCAGTGCGGCTAGGATCCCAGCTCCTCAGGCACAGCACCGATCCAGGGTTCTAATCCCACCCTGGAAATTAAAGGCCTTGGCTCCTACACCCATTGCTGTGTTTCCAGCCTGGATCAGTCTGATCCCTTCTCTCCACATTCAGAGCGGGAGAGGGACAAATGGAGCAGTGGGGCTGTACTGGGTGACCCCCTGGCTTCAGTGGAAGGTACTCGGATACACGAAGTGTCCAGGGGCCTTGCCTTGGTGCTGCCTAATGGGGAATTCTCCCCAGCAGCCAAGAGTGCGGGTGGACTCCCTCGCTGCGGTCTGTGGGAAGCCCAGCCGGGCAAGAAGAAACCCCTTTGTTTCCAGGGAGCAGCTGTGTAGCTGCACAACACTCACCACAGGACGTGTGCAACCGCACAGCAGACATCACAAGACGTATGTGGCCACACAACATGCACCATGACTCATGTACAGTCGCACAACACATGCCACGGGACCCTTGTGTCATCTCAGGACCCAGGCTGTGTGATCCTTGTGCAACAGCCAAACGTGCCAGAAAAAGCTTGTGCAATCGCACAACGTGAGCCACAAGGCTTGTGCCACCACATAACATGCACGACCAGGGCTCCGTACCCAACAAACACCCCACGTGACTCTCATCATTGCACAGAACAGGCCACGTGACTCATACAGAACACAGCCCAGAGACCCTTGAGTAGTTACACAATGCACAGCAGGGAACTTCTGTGTAATTAACACCAGGTCCAAGGGCCTGGCTGTATAATTACACAACAGATACCGTGGAGCTGTTGTGTAACTACACAATATACAACATAGGCCAATGCACCAATCCATGGTTCCCTGTATGTGGGCATTTCTCTCCAGTCCGTTCCCCCCACCCCTGGACATGGGGAGGTCTGCCTGCTCCCTTCCCTAGAGAAGCTGCCCTGGTGTGTGTTCCCAGAAGCTGTGAGCCATCCCTCCAAGGAGTGAGTGTAACATACGGATTCCGGGGAGGGGGGGGAGCATGCGTCAGCACCCTCTGGGGGCGGCGGCACCGATTTATCAGCCTCCCAAACCAACTGAGAAATCAAACAGTGAGGCTCATGCGGGAGCACGGAAGAAAAAGGCCCCCCACCTCTGCAGAGAGAGAGAGAGAGAGAGAGAGAGAGAGAAACGGGGTCAGGGGGAATGGAGTAGGGAGGGGATCTTCCATCGTCCCACCCAGGCAGCTCTTCCAGTATTCTCAGCTCCTTTCTGCCCTCCTCTCCATGCCTTTGCCCCGTTCTCCCCTCTCTTGGATCTTATGTCTGAATGAAGCTACAGGGTCCCTCCCCTTCAGCCCTTGTGCCCTACCCCCTTTGGTTAATCCCAGAGGACGCAAGGCAGAGTTGCTGACCTGGTTTCAAGCTTGCCCCGGACGCTTCCCTCTGGTAGGGCTCAGTCCAGGTCCTGCTGGGATGGGGGGAGGGATCTGTGTCACCCATGGCAAAGATGGCAGCCCCATGCAGTCCCCTCGGCAGAGAGGGGCCTGGGGAGGAGAGAGCAGTGGGGAACAGCAGCAGAAGGGCATGGAGGGAGGGAGAGCATGAGAGGTCTGGAGGCTGGGGAGGGAAACACCTAACAAGGGAAGCGGGCAGCGTGTGCGCGCACGGATCTGCCTGTGAATGTGTGCAAGGTGCGTGGACAGGCAGCAGGGCCTGAACGGGGATGGGTCGGGGGAATAGGTGTGCGTGGGATGTGTGTACACGCCTGGGGGAGGTGTCCACGTGCGATGGATGTGTGTATAGGAGGCCATTTCCTGTGCACATGTGGGGCCCAGACAGGTATATGCCCTTCTTTGCTCCTTTCTGGTTTCCATCTCCCCTGCCCATCCTGCATTGCCTCTCAACCAACAGCGAGGCGGGGAGTGGTCCCTGCAGGTGTCAGCTGCTCTCCAGTGAGGCAGCCTTGCCCTCTTGGTTCCTTCTTCCCTCCAGTGTGCTCGTGATCCCAGCCCCCAACCCTCAGAGGGTCAGCGCCGGGTCCCTGAGAGTCCTCAGCTAGCTGTAGATCTGAGCCAATACCTTGTGCAGAGGGAGAGGTTAGAAGCCTGGGGACCTGCTGTCCCCACTCTGTGCACCCACTGGATCCCTCTATCTGGACATCCACCCGTCCACCTGGGGTCTATCCCTTGGTCCACCCACATCTCTACCTAAGGATCTCTCCGTCTCCCTGAGAATCCAGCCAACCCTTTCTCAGGAGATCAACCCCTGGATCTGGGGAATCTCTCGCCCTCCGACTCAGAGCCAGCCCCCAGTTTGTAACACTGTATCACTCAGCCTACACTAGGCCCTTTGAAGAGAAAGGCACAAGTGCAGAGACTTTTTCTTTTTTGCTGCTTTGTTTCAAAGGGACGTACATCTGGAGGAAAGAAGAAGGGAGAGAGAGCGAGAGAGAGAGGAAGGAAGAAAAGAGAGCAGGTAGCCAGCTAGCTGCAGGCAGCTCCCGTGCAGTAACTTATGCAATGCAGAGATGAGAGAGCGCTCTTAGGCAATGCGTTTAGGCTTCAGAAAGATATTAAACCAACCGGATTCTAGATGTAGATGTTGAGATGAATAGGAGGAGAGGAGTTGGGGGCAGAGGGAGAGATTTGAGGGGGTTGTTTAGTGTCACAGGTTGATTGGCAACCAGCGTAATACACAGAGATGGAGCGACAGATTGGGGACGGGGTGTTTTGTCGTGGGGGTGGGGGTGGGAGGCGGAAGAAGTTCAGAAATATTAGTTGGCATGGATACACAGACCGATTCATAGATGGACACATGGATTTTTCATAGTGCATTTTGATTGGATGACATTTTCAGAGGGTGTCACCCCAAAATAGCACAGTATAAAGAGACAGCATGGAAGGAAGGTAAGACAAGAGAGACAGGCATTATAGAGAGCACACAGCATGAGGCAGGAGACTCCCAGCCCACCCGCACAGGGCAGTGCCAGCACCCAACCCCACTCCCCTGCCTGCTGAGGGGCCGCTCTGATGCAGGGGAGCGAAGGGCAGGGGCTCCCCCCGGTGCTTGGGACCATGCCCTCTGGCGCAGGCCCAAGCATCCAGTCTCCATGGCTTTGCCACCTCAGGCCGAGGTCTTCATCCTCACGGCTCCTCCCTCCCTCGACTCTGGGAGATGGGTCAGGAAACTGAGGCACAGAGAGGGGAAGAGATGCCCCCAAGATCAAACAGCAAGTCAGTGGCAGAGCTGGGACGAGAACCCAGGAGTCCTAGTTCCCAGCCCTGTGCTGCAGGTACTAGCCTCTTCTGCCTTCTCTGGGGCTATCAGCCCTCTGTGTACGGTTCCACTGGGCTGGAGGGTTTCCAGAGGCCAACAGGTTCTAGGTTATTTCTGAAGGAAGGGCCCGCGGGTCATGTTCCCTGTCTCCCCCAGCCCTCCAGAGTTTGCCCTGCCGCAGAGCTCTCCTGCCAGTTCAGGTCTATTGCGTTTGCATGGTACGAGCCATCGAGGGCAAGAGCAGGTAGAGAAGGCAAAGTTGTGCAACGGGCCAGCCCCTGACATAGGCATCACCCCTGGCATGCAATGGCCTGGCAGGGCGAGGAGGGGCCTTCGAAAGGAACTTGTGTGCTGAGCTGGATTGGCAAAGGTCCACCCACCAGCAAACCCCACACCTTGCTGCCAGGTCCTGGCCCCTCGTTCTGCCTGCCTCTAGGGATCCCATTGGATGCCTTGAGCAATGCCAGCCCCCGCCTATCCCCAGACCCACAGACCAGGAGAACCCAAACCTCACAAGTGCCAGGAAGCAAAGACCCCATTTTGGTAGAGATGAGCGCGAGGGCAGGCTATGTGGCGGCTGGATATGGGTGGGCAGACAGGTGTGTGAAACGCCAAGGGGAGTGGCTTACACTCCTTTTGCACACCCACTGACTAGTGTGTTTTGCACACTCGGGGTTGGAAGGCAGCTCTCGGAAGATAGTAAGACCCTTTAGAGCAGCTTCACTGAGATCAGTATCTGGGTCTCTGTCACCAGGGGATCCCAGGAGGGATAGGCCTTGCCTGGGGTCGGAGTCAGGACACCTGAGTTCTATTCCCAGTGCTGGGGGTGTGGCCTAGTGTTTACAGCAGGAAGGAAGAGAGGTTTAGGACACCTGGGTTCCCAGCCACTGGGTGGGAGGGAGTGTGTCATAGTGGTTACAGGAGGAGACTGGGAGGGAGGTCTTCTGGGTATTATTCCCAACTCTGCCATTGGCTCTCTCTGTGACCTTGGGTGACTCACTGCCCTGCTCTGTGCCTCAGTTTCCTCATCTGTAAAATGAGGGATAATTATACAGACCCCATCCTGGAGGATTAATTAACACTGGGGGAAGGGCTCTCCAGGCACTAGTTGGTGGCAGAGATGGAGGAGACCTGCTAGATCATTCAGTTCGTCTCCTCAATCCACCCAGGGCTGCTTCCTGCAGCTCTATACCAGGGCTAGTGCCAGTTAGATCACAGGCATTGCCCCTGCTCCTGTACCCTGCTGCCTCCCACCCCCTACACTGCACTGAATTGCAGATTTCCCTCAAGTTTGCCCAAGGTATTTTCTCCATGACGTTCACTCCACAAACAGGATGATCCCCAGTCACGCCGGGAGAGGTTCCCTTGCCCACTGCCTTGAGTTTGGGCTGGCTGAATTCTCTCCAGGTGGGATTTGAACTCCGCCATTGGCGGCTACCAAGGGGTGAGGGCCTGAGCAGCAGGCTTTCTGCAGAGGGCGATGGCCCAGTTCAAATCCAACTGTCAGTAATGTGTGCGCGCCTGTGTGTGTGTTTCAGGGACTGTTCCCCTGCCTCCTGGGGAACATCCCAGGGCTGCTTTCAGTTTTCTCTGTCTCTGCCTTCCAGGGGCCAGGCTCTGCTCTCAGCTTCACCTGTGCAAATTTGGCATCACTCCAATGAACACTGAAAAGTGACTCTGGATTTATGCCGGCATACTGACGCCCAGTTAAGTGACTCCGGATTTATGTCGCCATGCCCACCCCTAGTGGAGTGACTCCGGATTTATGCCGGTATGCCCACCCCCAGTGGAGTGACTGGGGATATGGCGTGTGAGATCAGAACCTGGCCCTCACTGAATCCCTTTCAGGTGGGTAGGAATGCCCAGCTGGGTTTGGTTTTGACTCCATCTGCCTTGGCTTGGTCCCTCAGCACTTGGGGTTGTCCCCAGAACAAGAATTCTTGGGCCTCCTCATATAGAAACTGCATGGCTCTCTTCTCCTCTGGCTATCTGGGATGACATTGAATGTGGCTGCAACCCAGCTGTCTCCCTTGCCCGGCATCTGTCCTTCCTTGGGGTCAGGCACAATGGGGTAAAAGCCCAGACTGTAGTTCTCATGTCTTGTTCCCTGTGGTGCCCCCCTCTGGCGAGCGTCCCCCTCTGCTTAAGCTAAGGCCATAAGAGAGGAGACGGTGTTTCGAACTTACCCCAAACTCTGTCACTAAGATGTCTGTGATGCTACCCAGAACTGTGACAAAATCAAAGATATTCCAGGCATCACGGAAATAATTCTATAAAGAAAAACAAAAACAAAGGACGAAAAGGAACAGCAACACGGCAGCAAACATTCAACGACATTCACGACGGAAGCAACAGCAACGAGAACAGAGAGTCACCCCCCGACCCCAGCCCCATTTCCTCCCTGCCCCCAGTGCCCTGACGCCGGGAGAGCCCAGGTTACCTTTTCGGTGAGCTCCAATGGATCTGGCAGGCAAGAGGGGAGGGGGTCGAAAGGGTTAATTTAAAGGAGCGGTGGGGGTATTTCTTGGCACCTTGAAATGATCCTGGGGTGGCTGGTGTGACTGGGGCCTGATGCTGATCTCAGTTACCCTGCTGTGTCATTGGTGTAAGGGCCAGACCAAAACTCCACTGAGATCATTGGGAACCTCTCCACTGATTTAAAGGGGCTCTGGATCAGGATCCCACCCATGAGGAAAATCAAACCCAGGATCTCTGGCCCCCAGTATCAACCAGCTAAACCAAGGGGGCCCCCCCTTCCCCTCCAAAACTTTGGAAAGGTGCCCCCACCCTCGGCCCAATAGGAATGGACAGTTAGATGGACATTTAAAATGAAAGAATAAAACACACAGGACCAGAATATGTTACTGTTGCTGGGATCTTCCCAGCCAAGGGACAGAAATGTGTCCTTGGCTGGATTCCCCGAGCAGGAGAAGAAATCACAGCCCTCTCCCACCCCACCAGAGCCACCAGTCCCCGAGCTGTCCATAGCTCTGTGGAGCAAGCCACCAATTGAGAAATGAACCCAGCACGGCAAACACAAGGAATCATGAGAAAACAGCCCAGTTAAAATAAGGGAATGGGGTAGGATCAAAAATCAGCCACATTTTCTGCAGGAGATTCATTCTCTCTCTTCCTTTCTCCATCTGTCAGCGTCTGCTCTCCCTGCCAGACCAGCCTATGCTGCTCCTCAAATCCAGCCTCTTAACCTCCCTGAGCGCCCCTCTCACTGGCTTGGCTCCTGCCTGAACAGAAGCCCAGATCCCTCGTGCAGGATGGAGTGGGTTCCTTGCCCTGAGCACCTGCACCAACGATGGGAGCCTCAAACCCCCAGGGAGCTTCAGCGAGCCATGAATGGAGATTGGACTCCTTCATGTCTCTTGGGGAGACGATGCTAATGGACCTTACTGGTGGGACATTTCTCTTGTAGCCCCTCTTTATTTTGCTCCCTTTAATCCTCATTATAGTTCCCTGAACCACCCAGAACAACCTACCCCATTCCCTGAGCTGGGGTCAGCTTACAAAGTGCTTGGAGATGCCTTCAACAATCACCTCTTAGTTGCCAGTTGCCACCATCCCCAATCACTTGGTGGCAAGGTGTTCTGACACTTGCCTACAGGATGTGTGTGGGGGGGAAGACTGTTAAATCCCCGTCTGGTAAAGGGGTGAGGGTGGGCATGGGGTTGGAAGAACATGTGGGGAATCCCCTCCTGCTGAAGGAGCTGGGTTCTGTCTTTTATTTCCACGGTAACACCCCATGCTCCCTAGCGGAATTGGCTGTGGAGATACTTACCAGCACTCCAAAGGCCATGATCTTCAGCAGACACTCCAGGGAAAATAATGAAGTGAAGACGTGGTTGAACATCTTTAGCACGTCCTCATAAGCAGTTGAGGCCTTATCGAACTAAAGGCAAGAGAAGAGAGAGCAAAAAATCAGCCCCACAGGACAGGACAGGTCCCCAGGCCACAGATCAGCCCCACGGGACGGGCCAGGTCCCCAGGCCACAGATCATAGAATCATAGAATCATAGAATATCAGGGTTGGAAGGGACCCCTGAAGGTCATCTAGTCCAACCCCCTGCTCGAAGCAGGACCAATTCCCAGTTAAATCATCCCAGCCAGGGCTTTGTCAAGCCTGACCTTAAAAACCTCTAAGGAAGGAGATTCCATCACCTCCCTAGGTAACGCATTCCAGTGTTTCACCACCCTCTTAGTGAAAAAGTTTTTCCTAATATCCAATCTAAACCTCCCCCACTGCAGCTTGAGACCATTACTCCTCGTTCTGTCATCTGCTACCATTGAGAACAGTCTAGAGCCATCCTCTTTGGAACCCCCTTTCAGGTAGTTGAAAGCAGCTATCAAATCCCCCCTCATTCTTCTCTTCTGCAGGCTAAACAATCCCAGCTCCCTCAGCCTCTCCTCATAAGTCATGTGTTCTAGACCCCTAATCATTTTTGTTGCCCTTCGCTGGACTCTCTCCAATTTATCCACATCCTTCTTGTAGTGTGGGGCCCAAAACTGGACACAGTACTCCAGATGAGGCCTCACCAATGTCGAATAGAGGGGAATGATCACGTCCCTCGATCTGCCCCACAGGATGGGCCAGGTCCCCAGGCCACAGATCAGCTCCACGGGATGGGCCAGGTCCACAGGCCACAGATCAGCTCCACGGGATGGGCCAGGTCCCCAGGCCACAGATCATCCCCACGGGACGGGCCAGGTCCCCAGGCCACAGATCATCCCCACAGGACGGGACAGGTCCCCAGGCCACAGATCAGCCCCACAGGACGGGCCAGGTCCCCAGGCCACAGATCAGCCCCACGGGATGGGCCGGGTCCCCAGGCCACAGATCAGCCCCACGGGATGGGCCGGGTCCCCAGGCCACAGATCAGCCCCACGGGATGGGCCGGGTCCCCAGGCCACAGATCAGCCCCACGGGATGGGCCTGGTCCCCAGATCAGCCCCACGGGATCGGGGCGATGGGGGACATGCCGGCTATGCAGGAGGGGCCTGTGTTTGCTCAGCCAGGCTCGGTACAGCATGGCATCTCACACCCTGGTCAATACTGCCCCAGTCCCACAAGGGGGTCGCTCACCTTCATCATTAAGACAATGGTGTTGAGGGCGATCATGGCCATGATGGTGTACTCGAAGGGCGGCGACACCACGAACTGCCACATGCGGTACTGAAAGCTCTGCTTGTTCTGAGGCATGTGCCGGGTCAGGGGCTTGGCACTGATGGCAAAGTCGATGCAGGCTCTCTGCGGAGAGGACAGACACAGCCGCTAGGGTGGGAGGGGCTCCTGGCCACCGGCGTCAGGATGGGCGCAGGGGGAAGAGGATACAGGGGCAGTCCAGGCCGAGAGACTCTGAACTGGCTTAACCCCATGCGCGAAGGACAGCTCGACCGGCTGCCCTGGTCTAATGCTTCTCCGACCCCTTTGTGGTGGGTCAGAGGACGCTCTCTGGCCCGTGTGAAGCGGGAGATCAGTGCAGATGATCGTAACAGGGCCGGCGTAAATCAGCATTTCTCCCATGAAGTGAATGGAGATTTACACCAGCTGGCGACATGACCCTACGCACTGGTCATCATGGGGACCGTCCCAGCTCTCTCAACTGAAGCCCCCACAGGTTCTTCATGCCACCTGAAAGAGCTCAGAAGCCCCTGGTTTCCTGTGGCCCTTTAGGGAAGCTCCTTGCAAACCACTGGCCTTTCTCCAGTGCCCTCTTCTAAAGCTCACAACTGCTCCATGCCCTGATTCACAGATGCTACAGCCAGAAGGGACTCTGCTGTGACCTTCCTGTCTAACGTGGGCTATCCATATGCAGCTGCTGCAGTTCTCTCTCCCCTCCACTTGCTGTGGATTTGAACCGACAATCTCTAGCACCAGAAGCAGCAGCCAGACCCCTGTCCCACCAGGCCATCTAAACTGGGAAACTGAGGCATGGAGAGGGGAAGAGACTTGCCCAGGGTCACCCAGAACGCTGGGAATAGAGCTTGCTCATTAGAGAGCTTGCAGGGGGGCAATGGGGGAGCTCTCCCCAGTGGCTCAGTGGTGTAATCTGGCCTTGCGCCCTTCCAGGCAGCACATCAGCACCGGGGAAACAGCCTGAATTCCTTCTTCCATGATGGACACAGGCCCTGCAACAGCTGATCCAGGGCATGCCATGGTGCTAATGGCGAGATGCATGGTGGCTGGGGCATGGCCACTGGGAGCTGGTGTAGGGGCTGCTGTTGGGGAAGCAGGGACAGAGTGGCATGGTCCCCCTGACTTGGACTGCACCTCGTTCTTCTCCAGGCTGTATTCCTCCATCATCTTATCTCCCTGTTCCTGGAACGTGATGATGATCAAGGCCACAAAAATGTTCACGAAGAAAAATGGGAAGACCACGAAGTAGACAACGTAGAAGATGGACATCTCCATACGATAGCCGGGGCTGGGGCCCTGGTTCTCATAGGTGGCATCCACCGAGTGTTTGAGGACTCTGCAGTGGGGAAGGAAGGAAGGTGGAAAGGGAAGGAAGAAAGCGAGAAAATGGAAATAAGAAAGGGTAGGAGAGAGACAAATAGCAGCAAGGGGGAGTCAGTTCAGGCCCAATAAAAATTCCTGTCCCCAGCTAGGCTCATGCTGTGGTAATACCCTGGTCATATGGATGAGGAAAAAGCAGCCTAGAAGGTCCAAGGGCCAGATCTTCATCTGGTGTAACTCAGCACAGCTTCAATGAAGCTATGCATCTACAATAGCTAAGGAGTTGGCCCTACGCTCACGCAGCAGACGAGTGGCAGAACTGGGAACAGAACTCAAAAGTCCTGAAGCTCATGCACACGCCTGTCTTTCCTTTTCACCTATGCCTTGGGAAAACTTTACAAAGGTCAGGGGCTACCATTCTCCCCATTTTACAGATGGGGAAACTGAGGCATGGAGGGGGACATGACATGCTCAGGGTCACCCAGCAGGCCAGCGGCAGAGCTGGGAAGAGAACCCAGGTCTGCTGAGTCACAGTCTGGTGCTCTAGTCGTTACGTCTCACTGCTCCAGGCTGAAGCAGCTACATTCAGCTGCGATCTAAGTGATGCTTCACCCCATATCTCAGAGAGAAAAGGGTTAACCCCAGCCCTCTCCAGTACGCACTGGCCCGCCCCCTGGCCGCTGGCAGCTCCTTACTGTGGCCAGCCTTCCCCCGTGGACACAGTGAAGAGAGTCAGGAGTGCCCACAGCACGTTATCATAGTGGAACTCGTATTTCCTCCACTCCCGCTTCTGGGCTTTCACTTCGTTGTCCTTCTCGTAGACCAGGTACTCGCCCCTGGGGACGAACAGACACTGTCAGCTGGACAGCCAGGAGGGCTGGGGCATAGCACTGGGCTCCTAAGGCCAGCTCCTGATCTCACTCACTTGGGAGCAGGTCCTGAGTGACTGGCTTCACGCAGGCTAGGGGGCTCAGTTCTGCTCCCATTTGTGTCATGGCACTGCAGCAACTCCTGATCGACACCCCCGTCAGCGACTCGGAGCCTTTGCCGCGGGCTCAGTTCTCCACCCGGCCTGAGCAGAGCTTGGGTGCAGTTGGGTGTGGGAGGGCTGGCAAGGACCCGATCGCAGCACTCTGACCCCTCGCCCCCTGGCCCAGTGTAACTGAACCCGCAGGTAGCTCACTGGTACCAGGTCTTAAAAGGCGGAGGGCTCCTCACTCCACCACAGCCCCTTCCCTCCGCTATGTCAGCTGGGCCGGAGGGAACTCTGAAGGGGCACTCTCTGGCTGTTTTCAGATCGCTCTATATGCCTCATAATCCACCCCACGGACTTTAGAGCCTGATTCTGACCTAATTTTCTCCGGTGTCAATAAGCGTCACTTTACTGAATCCTGGGGGCTACCCCAGTGTGAGTGGAGAATCAGGCCACTAGAGTCAGACCTGCTGACCCACTTGGGGCCTCTCTTCCTGATGTAAATCTGAAATAGCCCCTCTGACTCCAACGGAGCAATGTCCCTTTACACCAGCTGGGATTCTGACCCCACTGACTCCAACGGAGCAATGTCCCTTTACATCAGCTGGGATTCTGACCCCTCTGACTCCAACGGAGCAATGTCCCTTTACACCAGCTGGGATTCTGACCCCACTGACTCCAACGGAGCAATGTCCCTTTACACCAGCTGGGATTCTGACCCCACTGACTCCAACGGAGCAATGTCCCTTTACACCAGCTGGGACTCTGACCCCACTGACTCCAACGGAGCAATGTCCCTTTACACCAGCTGGGATTCTGACCCCACTGACTCCAACGGAGCAATGTCCCTTTACACCAGCTGGGAATCTGACCCCTCTGACTCCAACGGAGCAATGTCCCTTTACACCAACTGGGATTCTGACCCCACTGACTCCAGCACAGTGATGCCAATTTACTCCAGGTGGGGAGTCACCCGGGTGTCACCCTGTCGTATGTGAGAGAAGCGGGCCATTGTAATTTCTACCCCATTCCTTACATGCCCGCTGTGGCTCTGTCCTTAAGCTCTGCCTTGCTCCGCCACGGGGCAAGGAAAGCTGCCAAGAGGAGGGTCATGATACCAGTAAGTAGGTGGGAGACACGAAGGGAGCGTAGGAACGAGCCGGGCTGTAAATCAGGAGTAACTCCACTGAAATCAGCGCCACTGGGCCAGTGCAAACTCAATGCTAAGTGAGCAGAGGTGAGGTCAGGCACTGCCTCTGCATTGGCCACCACCACTGTGTTGCTAGGCTTCCCGCCAAGCAAGCAGAGGAGCTTTGCTCTACTCCTGGAGGCCAAACAGGACTATGGGGAACAGTGAGGCCACCTGCTGAGAAGGTGGCTGGGGAAGCGGAAGTGTGAGGAGCCCAGGGATGGGTTGGGCCATGGCCAGGTGCTGAGAGACAGAGGAAGGTGGCTCCATACCTACAGTCCTTCTCAAACTCCTTGGACTCATCCGTGCAGTAGAAGAACTTGCCCTTGAAGAGCTGGACGGCCACCACAGCGAAGATGAACATGAAGAGCATGTAGACGATGAGGATGTTGAGGACGTTTTTGAGAGAGTTCACCACACAGTCAAAGACAGCCTGGAAAGGACAGGGGGGCCCCAGTCAGGACTGCATAAGGACTGCAGAGTCCAGACTAAACTTGGTCCACCCTCGAGTCCCACTTGGCCTGGTCCCATCTCCACATATCCAGAAAACAGCCCCTTTCCCAAGCATGGCGCTCTGCAGTCAGGTCCACCTGGCCCATTAGGAACTGGCTGCCTATTTTTGAGGGGTTAAATGCGCAGAGATTAGCCTCACTTAGGTCTCAGAGCAAGGCCGTGCCAGAGCTGGGGATAGAATCCAGGAGTCCTGGTCCTCAGGTCCCCTGCTCTACCCCACGAGACCTCCCAGAAACAAGAACAGAACCCAGGAGTTCTGACTCTGCACTAACAACTAGACACCACTCCTTCCCATAGCTGGGACTAGAACCTAATCTTCTGTCTCCCAGCCCCCTTTTCTGATCCCCCCACCTGCTCCTGCAAACCCCTGCCACTCCCCTCAGGCAGCCACAACTCCTTTATTTGCTCTCAACCATCCCTGCACCTACCTTGAGCTTTGGCAATCGCTTGATGGTTTTCAGGGGCCTGAGGACACGGAGGACACGCAGTGATTTGATGGTGTTAATGTCCTTCCCTTTGCTGCTGCCTCTGTAGAGACACGTTGGGTGGGGGTGGGAGAATGGGGAGAGAGAAGGACGATGAGGCCCAGGCCCCTTGTGCCATTCTAGACACAGGGTTCTTCACGGAGGTCCATTCCCTTGGGCGCGGGGCACCCATCTGTTGGTGGGAGACTCTGGGTTACTGGGTCACTCCCAAGTGACTCATCTACAAGCCTGGGCCACCCCTAGCCCTTTTGTCTCCTTCTCACCTCTTGCACTCATCAGCTGCCATTCGGAGGTGCTGTTATCACACACCACCAAGCTGGCCCTTTCCTCACTATCCCAGAGAAGGTGAAGTTCAAAACCCTAATCTATTTTTTTAATGTATTCTGTCTCTCCACCTATGTATCCGCAGTTTCTAACTAGCCATGCATCCATGGATCCATCCATACACTCTACTTACTTACCTATGGTGTCTTTCCATCCATCCACGCTACTTACTTACCTATCGTGTCTTTCCATCCATGGATGCATCCATCCATCCACTCTACCTATCTATCTATCCACTCTACCTACCTACCTATGATGTCTTTCCATCCATCCATAGACAGACCCTGTGTTTCTCTCTGGTTGCCTAGCTCCCAGTCTGTCCTGGCTGGCGTCACCCTATGTGCTGGTCCACAGTGAGCAGTCTTGACCACACAAATCCCACAGTTGAGGGGAGTGTAGGGTGATTTAGTTTGCCCAACTGATGGGTGGCATCCAGGACTGGGGAACACCTCCACTCCAGCACCCCACTAGAAAGAAAATTCTGACTCCTACTAGAAAAACCCAGTTCATTCTCCTCACGGGGACGTCGTCATTCAATGATGAAACGCCGCAGTCTGAACAACCACCTCGTTCTTTGTCTTAGAAGTCATTTCCACAGAGCCAGCAGAACTTACCAAACCGTGCTTTGCAGACACTTCCACAAAGAGAAAAGGCAAGGAAGAAGGAACTCCTCTGCTAGGGAGCGGGGAGGGGCCCTTCACCAGGTGTTTGCTCTTCTACAGCAGCTTTCATCCAGGGACCTCAAAGCTCTTTACCAAGGTCGGTATCATTATCCGCATTTGACACATGGGGAAACTGAGGCACTGAGTGGGGAAAGGACTTACCTATGGCTACTTCAGGAATTAGTGGCACAGGCGCAAACTGAACGCAGGAGTCCTGGCTTCTGATCCTCTGCTCTAACCACCAGAACACACCCCCACGCCCCTGGCTCCCAGTTCCCTGCACTAACCACTAAACTACATAGTCCCCACTTCTTACAAGCAGCTGTGGTAAACGGCAACCACCGTAAGAGCAATGGTGTGGGTCACATCCAGGGAGAGGGGGAATTCAGTCTGATCTATTCAGTAGTTTTCCCCACTGTGAAATTTCTTTAATCACCCGCCCCTCGCTGCACACACACAATTTTTTTTTATACCACTAGTGGAAGGGGCTTCAGCGTGGGCCCTGGAGCCTGAACATATCCTGTCTACGGGTACAAGCCAGGCAGCTTCCCCATGCACACCCTGCCAATTGTGATCCCTGTTGTGGGGAGCAGGGAGTGAAGCCTCCATGGCCCATTCAATCCTTGGCTTTGTTGGCGAGGCTGCCAATGAAAAGGGACAGGGATCGCTGATTGTGAGGGGAGTGGTTTGGGGCCATAGACATCTGTCCCACTAGGAACAAGGCTGAGACCCAGCAAATTCATTCCTCACAGAGGCCTCATTATCCACATTTTATAGACAGGGAAACTGAGGCACAGAGTGGCTATGCAACTTACCTAAGGCTACTTCGGGAGTTAACAGCACAGGCCAAACAGAACCTAGGAGTGCTGTGGCTGGCAGATGGGACCGATGTCTGGTGATAGGAAAAGTCCCTATTTATTATTAGCTGCACCCTAAGAACCCGTGTACTAATGGCTCGGTCCCTAGAAGGGCCAGGACGGGAACTCCTTCCAGCCCCAGATCTCAGCACAGACTGCTGGGCACTCTCAGTTGCTCTTCTCCCCAGCACTGATTGGGCCATATGGGCAGATCCAGTCCAGAAGGTGCTGGATGTAGTATAATCCAATAACACCGGGCCTGAGTCCCAGCCTGGGACAGGGGCTACACGATGATCATGGGTGCCTCCGGTATATGGGACGGCGGAGAGCTGGGCCACAATCTCACCCAAAGCCAGCCCCAGCCCGGAGGGCTGGAGTGGAACTGCTTCATGCCAAGCTGATGGGGAACTGGTGATTTTCCCACAGGGCTTCTCACTGCTGCTACTCACTGCGAGCTGCCCTGCTGCTCAGAACAACACTTTATCCATCACTAGCCCCTGTAAGGGACTTTGCAAACGTTCATTCTTCACCCTCACACCATCCACTGGGCGGGGGGGGGGGTGTCAATCAGTATTATCCCCATTTCAGAGAAGGGAAAAGTGAAGCACAGAGAGAGAAACTCATTTGACCTAGATCACACAGCACATCAGTGGCAGAGCTGGGGATAGAACCCAGGAGTCTTAGCCCCAGTTCCCTATGTTCTAATCACTAGACCCCACTCCCCTACCAGAACTGGGAACAGAACACAGGCATTCTGCCTCCCAGCTTCCCCAGATAACTATCAGACACTTGGCAAGTCTCTCTCCTGGGAAAAGAACCCAGGCACCCTGACTCCCAGTTCCCCGCCCTTAGCACTGGACCCCACTCCCTCTTCTCAGTATAAGGTCACCAGGTTTGAGTTTCACAGGAACAATGCTGCGAAAGGCAACACAGTATTCTGTACAAGGAAATCATTTCCTTAGAGGGGACCCACTGTCCCATTTTGGGAGACCCCATTCCAGCACAGGACCGAGACAGAGGCAACAAGGTGCCTTATGCCTGGGGGACAGAGAAATCTGGGTGGGTGTCCAGCAGAGGGGCCAATGACAAGAACCGACCTAAACGAGTGATGGACAGATCCTCCCATTCAAAGCAACGCATGATCATGAACACAGGGAAATAAAGAGAACATAGGCAGAATGTGTACGAGAGAGAGAGAGAGACTTTACCGTGAGCTGCTCCTGTGTCAGGTGGCAGTGAAAGGGGAAAGACAAGGAGAGGTGAGTGACAATCAGAAAGAAAACACACGAGACGCACCCCAACAAAAACCACCAAATGGGTTGTCCCCACCCCGGCACTGCTCTTGGAACCCCCAGCGCCCTGCTCAGAGCTTCACTCAAGCTCCCCCTCTTTCACCTCCTGGCCAGGAGATGGACTGAGCTGATGGACCAAGCTGGGCTGAGCAAGGTCAGGATGCTGGTGTCAGGAGAACCTGAAAGCCAGGTCAAGGCTTGACAACTGGATCCAAACTCTGGTACCAAACAGGGCATTTTCCAACAGCTGGAGGATTCCCTGCATGTGGATGAGCTTTAAAATCATGAAGAGAGGACAAATCCTCAGGGTTTACTCCTCCCTTACCCAGCATTCATTCCTCCCTTACTCTGGGTTTGGCCTTTCCTTACTCCAACAGAACTACTAGTGAAATAAAATAAACTGAGGATAACTAACCAAATTGTGAATTCATTACTCCAGGTTTACTCACTCCCTACTCCAGGTTTACTCACGCCTTACTTGGGAAAAGCTCCCAGTGAAGTCAAATAAATTGAGGGTGGTGTAAATCGGCAGAGCTGCATTGACTTCAATACAGCTGTGTTACTGACACCAGCTCTTGGCCCCCTGGGGACATAGCCTCGGCTCTCAGTTACATTGGTGTAACTCCGCTGACTTCAGTGAAGGTACCCTGGATTTCTGCCCGTGTGGAAGGAGAATCGGGCCAGGCATCACATACAAAAGCAAGCCCAAGTGTAGCAATCAGCTCCTCAGGCCTCTTGTCACCAGCCCAGCTCAGAATAACCGTGGTCAGAGTAGCTTGTGGCAGAGCTAGAATCCAGCTGTCGAGACCCTGGGACGGCTGGTACTGATGCAGCAGCATGATCTAATGTGGTACGGAGGAGACCAGAATACACAACCAGGTGAGACCGTAATGCAGCACAGCAGAACATCAATAGAGATACTTCGCTTGTGTTACCAAAATGGCTCAAACATTGGCTCAAACTGGTTCTAGGCTGGTGATGGAATCTTATGAAACTGACACGAAACATGTGACATAAACAAGGCTAACAGTGGGGAGCAAGGTGGGGAGGGGGAAAGCTGAAAGCTCTCTTTAGGGGGAAAGGCGGGTGGATTCAACCCATGGGGGAAAAGCCTCTCCGGCAGGGGTGAGCAAACTGGCTGGAAAAGATTCCCACGCGACTCCCACCCCAGAGCCCTTTCGGATGGGTCTGAAATGTTCAGTTAACCCTTTAAAACCCATTCTTCCCTATATCTGCATTGCTGCTTGATGGATTAAATGCAAAATGGGTCTTGGCCCCACCAACACATTCCACTCCCCGAAATTACACAGCCCAGCTGCTGCCCAGTTCATGCCCCCCCCGACAATGGATTCCACCCATGATTTCACCAAACACTCCTAGAGGCATGCTGGTCATACCACCCGGCCTCAAGTTCAAGGGGAAAAAGGCAGGTCTGGGGAGATCTCCCTGGTCGGCATGCTTTGGAGGGTCACCCTGAAGTAGCCACTACTACAGGCCTCTGGGCTAGCCCAGCCCACATCCCTGCCGTTACAACTACCATGGGCTACTGCAGGGGTACAGAACCACTGGGGCACAGGTTTGCCCTAGCCACCCATTCTTCTCTTCTGCCCCTCCCTCCTCCTCTACATCTCCCTGAACCGTGGACATGGGCCTCTGGTGAAGACGGCAGAGCCAGTCTCGGGCTCCCTGCAGTGGAGGGTGCTCTTTGGGAGGAAGGGAATGGCTGTGCCTGCCCCAAGGCCCCTTCGCACCAGCCAAGCTAGCCCCCAGGGACCAGGGTGCAAGGCTACGGATGGCCCTGACTCTCATCTACATCAGTGTCACTCCAGAGGCATGACTCCGGGGTGGGGGAAAGGGGAACCAGGTGCCAGAGCTCTGCTTCAGCCCAGTTCAGAACAAACTCTCTCTAGAGTCAGGATATTTAACGAGCGGGGGCCCCCCTCTCTGCCTCACCTCACTGCAGTGGCAGCTGCCTCCAGCCTCGGCTGCTAGTCCTGGATGGGGACACAGCATTCACAACCTGAACTTTCCATTCCCCTCCCTGCTCCTGCACAGGCCAGGGCACACCAACCCTGCAAACCCTCGGTTTCCCCAGGGAACGGACAGACCCTGAAGCCTGGGGGATGCATCGAGACCACTGGGCTCTGGTCCGAACCCTGGCCGTGCCCAGTGGTACCAGCTGGGAAGGTGTCTCTGATTCACTGATGATGAACAGCCCTGGAGACTGCTGTCTCCTGATCTCCCATTCAGCACCGGGCATGCCCTCTCCATGCCCTGCCGGGCTAACATGCTCACAGTCTTAACCCAAAGGACCAACCTCTCCAGGGAGCTCAGGTTCTGTGGCCCATTTTGGCTTCTGTGCCAATGAGGCATCCAATTAAGGCCGCCGGCAATGGTGTTTCATGGATGGGAAGTGGGTGTCTGGTCCCACTGGGGAAAGGGCTGAGACCCCTCAGACTCATCTCACACACAGGCCATCAGATCATAGAATCATAAAATATCAGGGTTGGAAGGGACCCCTGAAGGTCATTTAGTCCAACCCCCTGCTCGAAGCAGGACCAATTCCCAGTTAAATCATCCCAGCCAGGGCTTTGTCAAGCCTGACCTTAAAAGCCTCTAAGGAAGGAGATTCTACCACCTCCCTAGGTAACGCATTCCAGTGTTTCACCACCCTCTTAGTGAAAAAGTTTTTCCTAATATCCAATCTAAACCTCCCCCACTGCAACTTGAGACCATTACTCCTCGTTCTGTCATCTGCTACCATTGAGAACAGTCTAGAGCCATCCTCTTTGGAACCCCCTTTCAGGTAGTTGAAAGCAGCTATCAAATCCCCCCTCATTCTTCTCTTCTGCAGGCTAAACAATCCCAGCTCCCTCAGCCTCTCCTCATAAGTCATGTGTTCTAGACCCCTAATCATTTTTGTTGCCCTTCGCTGGACTCTCTCCAATTTATCCACATCCTTCTTGTAGTGTGGGGCCCAAAACTGGACACAGTACTCCAGAGGAGGCCTCACCAATGTCGAATAGAGGGGAACGATCACGTCCCTCGATCTGCTCGCTATGCCCCTACTTATACATCCCAAAATGCCATTGGCCTTCTTGGCAACAAGGGCACACTGCTGACTCATATCCAGCTTCTCGTCCACTGTCACCCCTAGGTCCTTTTCCGCAGAACTGCTGCCTAGCCATTCGGTCCCTAGTCTGTAGCAGTGCATTGGGTTCTTCCGTCCTAAGTGCAGGACCCTGCACTTATCCTTATTGAACCTCATCAGATTTCTTTTGGCCCAATCCTCCAATTTGTCTAGGTGCTTCTGTATCCTATCCCTCCCCTCCAGCGTATCTACCACTCCTCCCAGTTTAGAATCATCCGCAAATTTGCTGAGAGTGCAATCCACACTATCCTCCAGATCATTTATGAAGATATTGAACAAAACCGGCCCCAGGACCGACCCTTGGGGCACTCCACTTGATGGCCATTACCAACCCAGCCTCGATTGCTCTCGTGACCTCCAAGTGAGAAGGCAGCATCAAATGCCCTGACACGGCCAGTCCTCGGGCACGGCAGGCCCTGAAAAGGGACGGCTTGTCCAACAGCCCCAGCAGTTTGCCCAGCTCCACACAGAGGGTCAGGAATGGTGGGGGAAGCCCCCGTGCCTCCCAGCACAGACCATGCAGGGGGGAGGATCAATCGGTGGGACAGCGCCAGGCATGCGCGGGGGAGATGCACATTCGGGGGGTGCAGGGGGCGCTGGGAGCTGGACCCTTTGGCAATGCCCACTAGCAGCGACGCTCAGGGGTCCCAGCAGGCAGGCATGAGAGAGGTTGCTCAGCATGCTGTTTCCCTGCAGCAGGGGAGCTCGCCACTGGGGGTGGCACAGGGGGGCTGGAGATGACCCACCAGGACCCTGAGGGCTCTGCTGGCTCATGTGTCTGTTTACATCCATCCTCCTGTAATAACCACTGACCCCACCGTCTGCTGACCCCTGTGCATTGCTTCACCAGGGCACAGAAGCTGCTCATGGGCTGAGCAAATCAACACTGGAAACTCAGTTCGTAATCCCCGGAACTGGTGCCGTGCTCGCCTTCTCTAGCTGTACACGCCCGGATGGGCTGGCTCTCACAACCTGCCTGGAGCGACTGGGCCCAGCATCCTCTCAGCACGTGAGAGATGGACAAGCAGCGGGGCCCAGCGTTACCCGCCATGTCAGTCACAGAGCTGGGAAGGAGAACCCAGAAGTGCTCTAATGACCCCAGCACACTCCTTTCCAGAGCCAGGGCTAGAATCCAGGAGTCCTGACTCCCAGACACCCGCTCCCCCCCCGCTCTAACCCCGGACCGCACTCTCCTCCCGGAGCTGAGGAAAGTAACAGGAGCCACCCTGCTCTAACTACGAGACCCCAGTCCTGCACTTGAGGCTCACCCAGGAGTTGGCACTCCAGATTTACTGAGCCGCTCCTGCTGGGCTCGGACTAGCAGAGAGAAACCCTTTCTCCAAACTGGGCCTCGCTGCCCCATGGCTTTTGTTCAGTAAGGGATCTGCTGGGCCAGTCCTCGGGTGGCAGCGGAATATCACTGTGCTAATGGCTTGGGTGGCATCATAGTGCAAGGCCCTGAGAATCCTGCTCCCGAAGCCAACAGCGCTGGGCCTGACTGGGGCTGCGTGCACCAGCCTCCCTTTCGGGGAGCTCCTGCTCGGGACCACGCTTCTTTGTCCTGCGGACGAGGCCTCGGTTGTGGGCACTGCATGGCTAGGATGGACAGACATTATCTGGACCTTGGGAGCAGCTCCACATGCTAGGGGCATCCCAAGCTGGTGGGGAGGTTGCTCCGCCATTCCATGCATGCTCTGTGATTGGCTGGGGGGGTTGGCAGCGAATGGGGGTGCCCTGTCATGCAACGAGCCAGGAGCCGGGTCTGGGGAGGAGTGCAAGTGAGAGAGCTCCAGCAAGTAACTCACGTGAAGGCAAAGGCCACCAGTGCTCCGCTGACCACGATGAAATCCAGGATGTTCCACAGGTCCCGGAAATAGGCGCCTTGGTGAAGGACCAGCCCCAGGTCGACCATCTGTGGCAGGGAGCAAAGCTCAGGCAGAGGGTCCGCAAGGCGGCTCGCTCTGTGCAGGCTGCTGCTGAGGGTGAAAAGGCTGCTCCCCTTTCCAATCGCACCTCGCTCTGCTCAGCCCCAGGTCCCAATGAGCTCAGCAGAGCAGGGGCCATCCCACTTTCTTCCTTTCACAGAGAGGGAAACTGAGGCACGGTGTGGGGATGTGACTTACTCAGGGGAGGGCTGGGACCAAGTCTCCTGAGTCTAGAAGGAGTTGGGCCTGTTCTGCTAGCCAGATGGAGGGACAAGAGCTACCCAGCAGCTGGCATCATCTGGGCTTTAAGGGACAATTTGCTCTTAATTCAAAGCTTAATTCAAACTAACCCAGAGGCAAACCCTGTCACTGCTGAGAGCCCTCAGTGACTGAGAGGGGGAACTTGGTCTCCAGCTCCCTGCTCCTTGTCCAGGGCCCCCATCTCCTCAGCACTCTCTGCTGCTGCTTCCTGGGGTGCTTCGTTTCGTAAGTCAGCCCTGCTGTCACATGAAGGAGATGGGGCCCTGGTGGCCTGCCCCTGGCTCCTTCCATCCCTGCCTCCACCTCAGCAGATAGTCCCGCCTTTGCACACAGGATCCCCCCACCCCTGAGTTCTCCAGGGGTCAATCCGGTGTTCAACGTGCCCCTTTGCACAGCCTCAGGCATCCCTCTGCCGCTACCCTGCCTAGCCCTTCCTGGGCTGGATTCCAGACCTCCACCCCTCCGTTATGGGTTTGCCCCACACCTGCCCTCCCCTCACAAGTTTCATAGATTCATAGATATTTAGGTCAGAAGGGACCATTATGATCATCTAGTCTGACCTCCTGCACAACGCAGGCCACAGAATCTCACCCACCCACTCCTGCAAAAAACCTCTCACCTATGTCTGAGCTATTGAAGGCCTCAAATGTTGTGGTTTAAAGGCTTCAAGGAGCAGAGAATCCTCCAGCAAGTGACCTGTGTCTCATGCTACAGAGGAAGGCGAAAAACCTCCAGGGCCTCTTCCAATCTGCCCTGGAGGAAAATTCCTTCCCGACCCCAAATATGGCGATCAGCTGAACCCTGAGCATATGGGCAAGATTCACCAACCAGATACTACAGAAAATTCTTTCCTGGGTAACTCAGATCCCACCCCATCTAACATCCCATCACAGGCCATTGGGCCTATTTACCATGAATATTTAATTACCAAAACCATCTTATCCCATCATACTATCTCCTCCATAAACTTATTGAGTTTAATCTTAAAGCCAGATAGATCTTTTGCCCCCACTGCTTCCCTTGGAAGGCTATTCCAAAACTTCACTCCTCTGATGGTTAGAAACCTTCGTCTAATTTCAAGTCTAAACTTCTTGGTGGCCAGTTTATATCCATTTGTTCTTGTGTCCACATTGGTACTGAGCTTAAATAATTCCTCTCCCTCTCTGGTATTTATCCCTCTGATATATTTATAGAGAGCAATCATATCTCCTCCCATCCCTCTTTTGGTTAGGCTAAACAAGCCAAGCTCCTTGAGTCTCTTTTCATAAGACAGGTTTTCCATTCCTCGGATCATCCTAGTAGCCCTTCTCTGTACCTGTTCCAGTTTGAATTCATCCTTCTTAAACATGGGAGACCAGAACTGCACCCAGGATTCCAGGTGAGGTCTCACCAGGGCCTTGTATAATGGTACTAACACCTCCTTATCCCTAGTGGAAATACCTCTCCTGATGCATCCCAAGACCGCATTAGCTTTTTTCACGGCAAGTTCTACCCTTCCAGCTCTGCACACCTCATCCCCCAACAGCTGCGCAGTAAGGAAATGCCGGCAGAGCCACTGGGAGGGACCAGTCTCCTCTCTCAGCTTCTCCCTCTCCAAGTCACTCCTTCCCTGTCCTGGTGACGGGGAATGGACAAGCTCCAAGATGGGGCTCCAGACCTATTGGGCCACTCCATCCCCTCCTCCCAGGCTGGAGGCCCCCCGGGGAACAACTGACAGGTGGTCCATACATGCAGAGAGTTGGGGGGGGAGGGGGCAAGGGCTGTATTTAATGGACTGATGGGCTGTTGGCCTGGTGCCTTCTGTGGCTAATGGCAGAAGGATGCCTTGGCCATCCTGGCCAGGGGTGGGATGAGAAACAAGCTGTTAGGAATTAGAGGAGCTGCTAACACAGGGGATTCCAGGGCAGCGTCCGCCCCGTGACACTGATCCCCACCTAGGGTGGTAACGTGGGAGGATGAGCTCATCCTTTCTCTGCAGCAACACCGGGGGAACCCACAGGGCTGGCGGCTGGGTCAGACACTGTGGAGATCTCTCCTGCCCCAGCTGCTATGGGTAAATCCACCCCACCCCGCGATATGGCCCAGGCCTCGGTCCCTGCCAGACTCACCTTAATGACCATCTCAAAGGTGAAGACGCCCGTGAAGACATAGTCAAAATAGCGCAGAACCTTTGGGGGAGAAGAGAGGGAGGATCTCAAATGCCCCTCTGGCTCCTCTAGCTAGCACCCCAGGGCAGGAGGAGACGCTGCCTTAATCACACTGCAGCCAGGGTCCGGCCGAGCCAGTCCAGGAGCCCCAGCTGATGCTGGCACAAGGGGGCCAGGAGTGATTTGGGGAGGCTGTCTGAGATCCACCAGGGTCACAGCGCGCAGAAGCCACTAAGTAAGTGTTCCAAGGGGAACGGCCCAGATTCAGACCAGCGATAGCCCATTCCCAACCCCTGTGCTGCCTAGCGCTTGGCCTCCAGGACCAAAGCAGGGCCTATGGATGCAGGCGTTGCATCTCCCCACGGGTCTCTGGTGGGTGCTCCCCATTTCCCCCATCACTCTTCCATGGGGATGGCCTTTGGATGGGGTTTTCACCCCCCCCCGTGGCCTTAGGCTCCCCACTCAAAAATTTAGGGTGGGTGCAACCTGTGGTCATAGATAACCCGGGCACTCCCAGCGAGTGGCCAGGTGGGAACCCAGGTGTCCTACTCAGACTGCAACATGGGTCCTTTCTGTTCCGTCTCCCTCAAACTCCTCCTGCAGCAGTTCCAGGCAGATAAAGGATTCTTCTTCACTTCCTGACCCGTCATGCTCTGCTACTTTGGCACCTGGCTGTTAAACAGCTGCTGTGCCCCACCTTAGAAAGGGGTGAACTTCCATGGTGCGTGAGTGATCCCTACGAGGTGCTGCTGCATGGCTGTTGAACAGCTCCTGTGCCCCACCCCAGAGGGGGCTGCATACTAGCGCCAGGCAGAGCCACGCTTTGTGTTCAGTTCACACAAGGCTTTAGGAGCCCTCCTTTGGAGACACACCAGCTTGTTATCAGGCTCATCAGGGTCTGCAGAAGTTGCGTGCAGGGAAGGGGAAAGCGGAGGAGGCACGGGACTTGGCTGAGACCTGCTTCCCCTCCCCTTTGGGGATGCTGCTCTAATTCTTTCACTCTGCTCTCTCCAGCAGGCCCATGCATGCGGGAGTTGGCCAGCGTGGCTCTCAGAGAGGAAACTGCAGTGTCAGCTGGCGGGAGAGCTGGGTGGTGATTTATGGAGCTCTCACTCCCGGCTGCCTCCCTCCTAACCTACTTTAGCACAGCTGCAGTGCTGCAGAAAAGCAAGAGGAAGGGGAGAGGCCTTTGGTTTTACTTTGGGAAGGGGCGGGTGCTAACAGTTGCACCTCGCGTGCTGGGCTCCATTGCCAGAAGACTGGCACCGGGGCAGCCTGCTTTCTGTTCACTCCCCAGGCATTGCCTCTCTAGCTTTCAGCGTCAGTTTAGACCTGAGGAAAGTTGCCAGTTTGGCACCCCTAGAGACTGGAGGGCACAGCCGGTGTGGCGGGGGCAAGCTCCCCCCATATGCCACCCCCACCAATATGCCTCAGCCATGATGCAGAGATCCCTTGTTAGGGGTGTTAAGAACATAAGAACGGCCACAATAGGTCAGACCAAAGGTCCATCTAGCCCAGTATCCTGTCTACCGACAGTGGCCAATGCCAGGTGCCCCAGAGGGAACGAACAGAGCAGGGAATCATCCAGAGATCCATCCCCTGTTGCCCATTCCCAGCTTCTGGCAAACAGAGGCTAGGGACACCATCCCTGCCCATCCTGGCTAATAGTCATTGATGGACCTAGCCTCCAGGAACTTCTCTAGCTCTTTTTTGAACCCTGTTATAGTCTCTGTGTCCTGTGGAGGCCTGTCCTTGGCCTCTCTCCTGAGACTGCCAATAAGGAGCCCAGGAAGTGTCAGCTGTGGTGTGAGTGCCTAGAAAATGGTCTGAGAAGCCTGAACCCACGGTTCACAGGCCACCAGGCAGTGATGACATCTCGGGGATAGGTTTTGACTGGATTGCCTAGAAGGGCAGAAGCCTTCAGCCCCCCTGGGGTAGGGCGGGCTCAGCTCAGCGGTGGGACATACGTTGTTCCGGGTAGCATTGGGCTGCACGGGGTCCTCAGCGGCCAGCGCGATGCTGCTCATGGCGATCACCATCAGGATGCACATCTCAAAGTAGCGCAGGTTCACGATGTAATGGCAGAGCCTGCGGAACCTGGGCCAGGCAAAGACGGCACATGGCACCCAGACTCACTGTGTCCCCCCACCCTGGGGCAGACCAATGCGCCCCTCTGGCCTGGTAACCTCCCCACCCTGGAGCAGACCAATGGGCCCCTCTGGCCTGGTATCCACCCCCCGCCCTGGAGCAGACCAATGGGCCCCTCTGGGCCAGCAATCCCCCGTCCTTGCCACACCAGATCAGGATCACAATTCACAAAGCCAATAGCTGACCCCCAGTCATGGCCAATGCTTGATGTTTCAGAGGAAGGCGCAAACCCCCACAATGCACCTGGCCAGCTACGCATGCTGCCGGGGTCCCCCACCCCCGCAGGCCAGATGCTCACTCCTAAGTCTGAAGCAGGGAATTCAAACACAGGAGGGTTGGATGCCCATTGGCTGGCTTCCCTCACTTAGGGGTGAGGGGTACTAATAGCCAGGACATTCCTGGCATGTGCCCACCGTCTGCCCGCGGGCACTGGTTGGCTCAGTTCCCCGCCCCGACGAGAGCTGTACTCACGGATTGGTGGTGGAGAGGATGAACATGGAGCTGTAGGGAACCATGGGCTTGGGCCCATTCTCCTCCTGCTCGCCATCCTCCTCCTCTTTCTTCTCGTCCTCCTTCTTTGGCAGTGGGTCTGGATTGGCATTTTTATTCACTGCACAGGAAAGAAGGGTGAAGTGAAGTGAAGTGAAGTGGTCAGCACTGACCTGGGACCCTGGAACCAGACACGGCACAGCTGCTGCCTTCCTGCCAGCTTACAGGGGAGTGAGTGTCATCCCTGCAGGCACGGGCAGGGAGACCAAGGCCTGGCAGAGGTCACCTGAGACTAGTGCTGCCGATGGGGAGATGGCTCTGGGGGCGCCCCTTGGGCCCTGTGCTGCCTGGCTCTTTAACGCTAACAGCATGCTGCCTCCCCACGCGTGGTGCTAGGGTTAAGGCCAGAGAGCTCCTTGACCCTCCTTAGGAAGGGGAGCTCAGGGGAGACACACACACAAGCACTCCCAGTGTGTGAAGCCTCAGCAATGGCAGGGAACTGATTAGGAGAGACCTGCCCAGAGGGACCCAGCAGGTGCCCCACGCCCCATGCAGCAGAGTAGGTGAACCCCCCACCCCCAAAAGTCCCTGCCAATCTGACCTGGGGGAAATTCCTCTCCACCCCAGATCGGGCAACCCTGAGCATGTGAGCCAGACCCAGAGCCAGGCATCTAGCCAGAGAATTCTCTGTACTCTCTTGGAGCACTGACCCACCAAACCGGTGCCTGTTTCGGTCTATGGTTGAGCTCTGATCCCTTAGGGCTGATTTGTCTTCGAGAGGTCCCATCTAATGGGCATGGGCTACTCCCTCTAAATTGGGACCAGCCCTGAATCTCAGGAGAGATGCCCCCACGGATCTCACTCCCACACGTAAGAACATAAGAGCGGCCATACTGGGTCAGACCAAAGGTCCATCTATCCCAGTATCCTGTCTTCTGACAGTGGCCAGTGCCAGGTGCTTCAAAGGGAATTAACAGAACAGGGCAATTATCAAGTGATCCATCCCCTGTCACCCACTTCCAGCTTCTGGCAAACAGAAGGCTACGGACACCATCCCTGCCCATCCTGGCTAATAGCCATTGATGGACCTATCCTCCATGAATTTATCCAGTTCTTTTCTGAACCCTGTTATAGTCTTGGCCTTCACAACATCCTCTGGCAAGGAGTTCCACAGGTTGACTGTGCGTTGTGTGAAAAAATACTTCCTTTTGTTTGTTTTAAACCTGCTGCCTATTAATTTCATTTGGTGGCCCTTAGTTCTTGTGTTATGAGAAGGAGTAAATAACACTCCCTTATTTACTTTCTCCACACCAGCAATGATTTTATAGACCTACGTCACATCCCTCCTTAGTCGTCTCTTTTCCAGGCTGAAGAGTCCCCGTTTTATTAATCTATCCTCATACGGAAGCCGCTCCATACCCCTAATCATTTTTGTTGCCCTTTTCTGAACCATTTCCAAGTCCAATAGATCTTTTTTGAATTGGGGTGACCACATCTGCCTGCAGTATTCAAGATGTGGTCAAAAAGTTTGAAAATGTTTGAAAACCACTGCACTAAGCAGTCCCACTTCCCCTAGGGCCTACGCTGGGGGCGGATCGAGCGCTGCCCCGTGGCGAATATGCTGGGGGCGGATCGAGCGCTGCCCTGAGTTACCCCCCACCCAGTGCCTACCTTGCACGACGGTGTTGTTGATGGGTGGTGTGAAGGTGGCTGGGATATCCACTGTGGTGTGCTCGGGCTTCTTGGCAGCCTTGGCTGGGTTGTTCTGGGTGCTGGGGTTGGTGACTATAAGGCTGTTCTCGGGGGTTTTCGGGGGCCCTGGCTGGGGCAGGTTGCTGGGTGCCTGGCGGTTGGCAGCATTCTGGGAGCTGGGGGGCGGCTGGCCCAGGGTGCCAGGAAGGTTGTGGGATGCCCGGATGGCCATGCAGTTGGCATGGTGGCCCACCTTGGCTGGGCTCTGGAGGTGGCTGGTATTGTGGGGGATCGAGGGCTCCGTGGTGGCTAGTTTGTTGTTCTTCATGTTGTCTATGTCCTCCGCCACCTGTGGCTCGTGGCGCCCCATGTCCTGCTGGATCGGCCGCGTGGTGGAGAGGTTCGGGCCGGGCACTGGGCTGGGGCCTTGGTTCTCTCTACGGCAGCAACCCAAAGGAAAAGACCCAGATCAGAGCCAGGGAGTAGGAGGCCTCGTCTCCCTTCTGAACAATCTAAACAGCCTGCTGCTATGACCCCACTGAACTGCTGGCTCAGGTGATCAGGGAATGGGACATGGGACCTTCCCTTCTAGGGGCACCAGCTCCAATTTGGCCCCAGGGTGGTGGTGCGGGACTGGCTGACTGCTGGGGCAGTGCTGGTCAATGACTGACAATCACCTCCATCTGTGATGGCCGTTCGCTGGCCTGTATGGAACCAGTTCTTGGATCTCAGCCCAGTTCCCAGAAGGACAAGCGTCAGGAGGATGTGGCCAAGAAGACGTTGGTGCCTGTCTGAAATGCTCCCAGCAGAGAGGGGGAGGCGAAGGGCCCTGGGCTTGATAGTTGATACAACCCCTGTTGAGCGGGGAGCCAGCTGGCTCTATCCCTTGCTTCCCTTTTCCCAGCCCCTTGGTCCTTCCTTGGCCCCTTTCTCCAGCCCCAGCCCTGTGCCCACTGCTGGCTGAGCGAGGGCCCTGCACTCTGAAAATGGGGGGGTCCTGTCTCTGAAATAACTCCGATCTGGCTTCCGATCACCACAGCACCCCTCCCCCATGGTACACCTCCAATCCTCTGGACAGAAGCGAGGAGATCGGGGGGCAGAGTTCCCAATTCCCCCCAGCCCCGTCCCCCCCCCCGCCTCATCGATCCCTGGCGGCTGTCGTGCCCGGGGACCCTCCCACCCCACCCCCAGGCGCCCCCACTCACTTCCTGCGCCGGTGCCGCCTCTCCCTGTCGTCCCTCTTGCCGCCGGTGTCATAGGTGGACTGCGCGGCATGCCGGTGGCGCCGACGTCTCTCCCCGTCGGGCTGCTCACCCTCCACGTTCCCGCAGGAGGGCCGGCTCCCTTCCCGGTGCCGCAGTCGCCGCTCCACCTTGCTGCCCTCGTCCCTGCCCCGCCGCCCTCCTCTCCAATCCGGCGGTGAGCCCGGTGCCGCCGATGATCCCGCTCGCCCTCGGCCAGCCGGGGCGACCCGCTGCGGCTCTCTTTGCTGCCCCCTTGACAGCGCTGGTGCCTGCGGTGGGGGTCGACAGCTCTGATCCGCTCCGAGGCGCTGTCGCGGTAACCCTGCTCCTGGCTGCTCTCCTGAGCCTGGCTGGGATAGTCCAGGTCCCGGTAGGTGCCGTCCTGGTTCAGATCAGCCTCCTTGCTCCCGCCGCGCTGCCGTCGGGCCTCAAGACCCTCTGCATCAGGCTGCTCGTAGCTGCGGGAGCTGCTAAACTCCCGCGAGCGCTCGTGGTAACGGGCCTGCTTGCGCAGGAAATCCTCGGCCCGCTGCTGGCTGAAGCGCTGCTCCATGGAGGGCTCGCTGGGCCGGGTCTTGTTGGTGTTGTTGTTGCGATTCTCCTGGGGGTCAACCACCAGCGGCCGGTCCAGGTGGGTCTTGATGTCAGGCCGCATGGCCCGGGCATAGGTCACCTTCCACTGGTCCTCGGGGTCCATCTCATTGTACAGGGCTTCCCGGCTCGCCAGCAGATTGTGCTTCCGCATCTCGCTCGTTCTCTGTTCCCAGACAGACTTGGAGGATTTTTGGTTCTTCTGCTGCTCTTTCCTGAAGCCGAAACAGGGACAGATTCTTGAAACACCATTAGAATTGAGCTGCTTTTCCTCCCCCACCACAGCCAGCGCCCTGCCCCGCTCCCCACGGCGCCCCCTGCTGCGAGGAGCTGGGACTGGAGTAGCCGGGAGCTCCTCCCACAGCCAGCGCCCTGCCCCGCTCCCCACGGCGCCCCCTGCTGCGAGGAGCTGGGACTGGAGTAGCCGGGAGCTCCTCCCACAGCCAGTGCTCCTGCCCCGCTCCCCACGGCGCCCCCTGCTGCGAGGAGCTGGGACTGGAGTAGCCGGGAGCTCCTCCCACAGCCAGCGCCCTGCCCCCCTCCCCACGGCGCCCCCTGCTGCGAGGAGCTGGGACTGGAGTAGCCGGGAGCTCCTCCCACAGCCAGTGCTCCTGCCCCGCTCCCCACGGCGCCCCCTGCTGCGAGGAGCTGGGACTGGAGTAGCCGGGAGCTCCTCCCACAGCCAGCGCCCTGCCCTGCTCCCCCACGGCGCCCCCTGCTGGGAGGAGCTGGGACTGGAGTAGCCGGGAGCTCCTCCCACAGCCAGCGCCCTGCCCCGCTCCCCACGGCGCCCCCTGCTGGGAGGAGCTGGGACTGGAGTAGCCGGGAGCTCCTCCCACAGCCAGCGCCCTGCCCCGCTCCCCACGGCGCCCCCTGCTGGGAGGAGCTGGGACTGGAGTAGCCGGGAGCTCCTCCCACAGCCAGCGCCCCTGCCCCGCTCCCCACGGCGCCCCCTGCTGGGAGGAGCTGGGACTGGAGTAGCCGGGAGCTCCTCCCACAGCCAGAGCCCTGCCCTGCTCCCCACGGCGCCCCCTGCTGGGAGGAGCTGGGACTGGAGTAGCCGGGAGCTCCTCCCACAGCCAGCGCCCTGCCCCCTCCCCACGGCGCCCCCTGCTGGGAGGAGCTGGGACTGGAGTAGCCGGGAGCTCCTCCCACAGCCAGCGCCCTGCCCCCTCCCCACGGCGCCCCCTGCTGGGAGGAGCTGGGACTGGAGTAGCCGGGAGCTCCTCCCACAGCCAGAGCCCTGCCCCCTCCCCACGGCGCCCCCTGCTGGGAGGAGCTGGGACTGGAGTAGCCGGGAGCTCCTCCCACAGCCAGCGCCCTGCCCCCTCCCCACGGCGCCCCCTGCTGGGAGGAGCTGGGACTGGAGTAGCCGGGAGCTCCTCCCACAGCCAGCGCCCTGCCCTGCTCCCCTTGTGTCTAGCTGTCCTGAGAACAGACCCTGCAACATGAGCCAGTGCCGAGGCTCAGCAGCCCACGGTCAGACACAGCGCCATGGAACAAGAGAGCTTGAGGGCTCCGGTACGTGCCCTGGCCGCCGGTGTCGCTACCTACGGCACTTACACCGCTATAGACATGCTGGCTGCAGACAGGGGGCTCACTTCCGCCACCTCCTTGGCTTTCTGTAGTGCAAGTTTTTGGTTGGCCACCTCCTCCTCTTCTTGTTCATCCTGATAGGCACAGACACGGGTGAGCATTAGCGGCGTTTGATCCCCATCAACCCTGTCCCTTTGGCGACAGAACCATTGGTGTGTAACTCAGCCCCCCCTTTCGGGGGTGGTGGTGTGTGAGACCACACAAAGGGTGACAAGCCTGCTGCAGCCTTGGCAAACCGCTCAGGCATAGGTGCTGACTCCGCGGATGGAGCACCCCCGGGGAAAAAATGGTCCCCCTCTGTCAGCACCCCCCTCCCTCCCCACACCTCCTGCCAAGGATCAGCTGGCAGGCAGGAGGCTCTGTAGGGGAGGGGGAGCAGTCAGGGTGGGGGAGGGGGCGCGAAGAGGCAGGGTTGGGCTTGGGGAAGGGGTGGAGCAGGGGTGGGGCCTGGGGCGCAATAGGGGTCTAGCCCCCCCCAGGGAAAGGACCAAGTTGGCGCCTGTGAGCCCAGGAGACTCCTGCTTCAAGATCCAGGGCGATACTTGCAGCTCCCCAGCCGGGTGTGGCCGCAAGGCGAGGATGCCCATCCTCCCGCTCCACGAGCTAAGGGAGAATTCAGGAGCCCCAGGTCAGACCACGGGACCATCAGCTCCTCTGGTGTAAGCTCCTGGCTAGCACAGGGCACCACCAGCACCCGCACAGCCAGCCCAGCAACTGGGATTTGACCGAAGTATCCCAGCCCGCAAGAGCCTGAACTGGTGTGTGCTGTGGATGGAGAACAGGCAGGAACAAATTCTGCCAATGCTCGAGCCTCAGCAATGGCAGGGAACGGATTAGGTGAGATGAGCCCAAGTGATCCCAGCGGGCACCCCGCGCTGCAGAGGAAATTGAAAAAACCACAAGAGTCCTACCAATCTGACCTGGAAGGGAAGTTCCTTCCCCACCCCAGATCTGTAGACCCCAAGAACAAAAGCCAGGCTCACCAGCCTGGCATTTAGACACAGGATTCTCTGTACCACCTCGGAGGACTGGGCCCACCCCAACCAGTGTCCTGTCTCCAGCTGTAGCTGGTCTCGTTTGCTTCAGAGGAAGGTGAAAACCTCTCAGAATACATCATCCCTAGCTGCTAGCTGTGTAGGCCCTAGGACACACAGCTGAGGAATCCTGATGCCACCGCTCCCATGGACTCCAGGGAGGAGTGTGTGATCTGCGTCTCTCTGGGGCAAAGGAGAGGCTGGGGCTGAGGGGCGGACAGGGGAGTGTGTTTCTCTTATTGCGTAAGGAAGCCAGGAGTCCAACAAGCTCCCGGGGGTGAGAGGTAGGAAACAGGTGACGGAAGATTAGCCAGAAAGCCCAGGGGCTGGGGCAACTCCTGCGCTGGAAAGAGCAGTGTTAGCAGCCGAGCCACGAGCCCACTCCTCACCTAGAACAAGGGGGCAGCACCACCATGTTGCGCAATGGACACTTGACAAAATTACTGGACGTAGTGATGGACATTGGCGGGGGACAGGAGGGGGCTCCGGGCTGAGGCAGGGGGTTGGGGTGTGGGAGGGGGTACGGACTCTGGGCTGGGGGTGCGGGTTCTGGGGTGGGACCAGAAATGAGGGGTTCAGGGTGAGGGAGGGGACTCTGGGTTGAGACAGAGGGTTGGTGGGCGGGTGTGTGTGAGGGCTCCAGCTGGGGGTGCAGGCTCTGGGGTGGGGCTGAGGATGAGGGGGTGGGGTGCAGGAGGGTGCTCCGGGCTGGGACCAAGGGGTTCAGCGGGTGGGAGGGGGATCAGGACTGGGAAAGGGGAGTGGAGCGCAGGGGTCTGTGTGTGCAGGCTCCATGCAGTGCTTACCTCAAGCAGCTCCCAGAAGCAGCAGCATGTCCCCGGTCCAGCTCCTATGCAGAGGTGTGGCCAGGCGGCTCTGTCCACTGCCCCGTCCGCAGGTGCCGCCCCTGCAGCTCCCATTGGCCGTGGTTCCCGGCCAATGGGCTGGGAGCCGCGGAGTCAGTGCTTGGGGAGGGAGGAAGAGGCAGTGTGCAGAGCTGCCTGGCTGCGCCTCCACCCGCAACAGCAGGGACGGGGAGCTGCTTGTGGGGAGCTGCCCGTGAGCACCCCCCACGGACCTCAACATTTTTACCATGGACACTTGTGTCTGTGTACGGACACGTTGCTGACCCCTGCGAGGACACTGCTCGCGGTTCAGCCCTCAGGACGCTCCCTAAGGAAGTTCGACTTCCAAAGGGGCCCCTAGGGCTGCTCTGAGATCTCAGGGCTCCTGAATCCCCCACTTCCCGATCATCCGGCCCTGGCCCTGCCAGGCAAGCCAGGGAAGTTGCTCCCACCTTGGTGAGCTCCTGTGCGTTAGCCAGGTTATCCACGGCGATAGCCAAAAACACGTTCAGCAGGGTATCTGGTCACCCAGTCAAGGCAGAGCCAGCTCCAAACACCTCTGAGGCCAAGGGCAACCATCCTTGCCCCAGCTCAAGCCACGCCTGGCTTTCAGCATATTCCCAGGGCTCTCTCAGCATAGGGGGCGTGGTCTGTGATGCACATGCAGAGCTCGCTTGCGCCCGCAGCACCTGGGGTTTCCTTACAGGTCTCCCATCCAAGGACTGGCCCAGTGTACCAAGGACTAGTTTCACAGCCCCAAGCTCCAGCTGCTCCAGGCCTGATCCAGAGAATCGCTCTCTTCCCTTTGCCTACCGAGACAGCTAGCTATTTCTAATGCACCCATCACTGGGGCGTCTGAGCCCCACAAGGAACACCACTTCACCCTTCACTGACGAGCCCAAAGCACTCCTTCACACAGGTGTCCACTAATCCTCACAACCCTGGAACGTCCCGCCACTGAGGGAAAGGTCGCCATTATCCTAATATAACAGATGGGGACGCAGAGGCACAGAGAGACGGAACTGACTAGTCCATGGTTGCACAATAAGCCAGAGGCAGAACTGGGAACAGAACCTAGGAATCCTGGCTCCCAGCCCCTCCTGCTCTAAGCACTAGACCCCCACTCCCCGCCCAGAGCTGGGGTTAGAACCTAGGAGTTGGATTCCCTCTAGAGCCTGCTTTCTTTCTCTCCTGGGGCCACCGAGCAAAGGATACAGTTACCAAACAAGGTCAGAACAATGAAATAGACCGAGTACACCATCCCCTGATGGACTCCGCCCTGAGATTTGATACCATCGTACATTACCATGTTCCAGTCTTCGCCAGTCAAGATCTGAAAGGGAAAAGAACAAGGCACCACAGGAGGCAGAGAATCCTTTCAGACTGTGCGCAGGGGCCCACGCCACCCCCATGACCAACCCTGAGATGGGAAGACAGGTCTCCAACCCTCTCTGAGCCATGGTGAACATCGCACCATCAAAATGGGGGCGGGTGAGGGAGTGGGTGCAGTCTGTTTTTGCTGGATGGCTTACTGGAAATCTTGGAAATGGGGCCTGGGAACTTTCTTGACCCATCATGGAAATAGTGGGGCATCTTTTAACCCAGTGTGTTTCCTCCCAAAGGGTTCAGCAGGCATTTGAGTTCAATAGGTGCCCACAACATTGGCCTGCTAAACCCAAGGTTGTGAGTTCAATCCTCGAGGGGGCCATTTAGGGATCCGGGGCAAAAATTGGGGATTGGTCCTACTTTGAGCAGGGGGTTGGACTAGACGACCTCCTGAGGTCCCTTCCAACCCTGATATTCTATGAGTCTATGAACACAGTGAATGACAATCGCTTCCCCTTTGTGGGCCTTTCCCCTAAGTTCACGCCGTGATGCCTCTTCCTGTTTCCCTGCCCAGCTCTAACCGCCTGCGACAGCGAATGAGTGGTGGAGCGCGTACCTGAAATACTGTCATTATTGCTGCTGGGAAAGTGTCAAAGTTGGTGGAAGGGGTCCCGTCGTCAAAATTGAACCTGCATAGGGGAAACACCAAACCAACACACACAGGCACATTACTCAGAGGGAAAAGAGTTAGCCAGGAGTGTCTGATTCAGTCCCAGCCTTTCCCAGCAGATGGCACTGTCGGGGAGCGGGGCAGGACTGCTGGCTGCGGGAGGCACTCCCAGCTACTGCAGTCCCAGCCTCTCTCTGCAGGAGGCGATACAGGGGCACTGGCTGGGACCAGCTCACTATTAGTCCGGTCCCAGAGCTTGGTGGGATCTTGGAAAGGCAACAGGTTGGCTGAGGGCTTGGCTCGGAGGGTCCCCCCAATTACTCACTGGCCCCCAAAGAGCTGCATCCCCAAAAGGGCAAAGACGACGATGAAGAGGAAGAGAAGGAACAGCAAGCTGATGATGGACTTCATGGAGTTCAGGAGAGACACCACCAGGTTCCGTAGGGAAGCCCAGTACCTGTGGAGAGCGACCAAAGGAACCACAGGTGAGCCCCTGGCAGCGTGTGATCGGGTGACGGCAGACAAGTGCACACATATCGATGGGCAGATGTACACGTGTGATTGGGTGTTTGTGTCTGTTGCCGTGTTATTTGCTGGCTGCATGAGACAAACTCAAATGTGCCTTTAGATCGGAGGTGGGCAAACTGTGGCCCATGGGACACTCTTGCCCGGGCCTTGAGCTCCTGGCCAGGGAGGCTCGCCACTGGCCCCTTCCCTGCTGTCCCCCCGCAGCCTCAGCTCACCCTGCCGCCAGCACTCTGGGCGGCGGGGCTGCAAGCTCCTGCCGGGCACCGTGGTTGCGAGAGCCGACGTCCTGCCCTGGTGCTCGAGACTGCGCGGCAGCGTGGCTGGCTCCTGGTGCTCTGAGCGGCATAGTAAGGGGGCGGGGAGAGGGGGGATTGGATAAGGGGCAGGGGGTCCCGGGTGGCAGTCAGGGGACAGGGGGTGGTTGGATGGGGAGGAGGTTCTGGGGGTGGGGGCAGTCAGGGGATGAGGAATTGGGGGGTTGGATAGGCATGGGAGTCCCAGGGGACCTGTCAGGGGGCGGAAGTGTGGATAGGAGTTGGGGCAGTCAGGGGACAGGGAGCAGGGGGGGAGGTTGGATAGGGGGTGGGGTCCTGGGGGGGCTGGTTTGGGGTGGGGAGTCCCGGGAGAGGGCGGTCAGGGGATAAGGAGCAGGGGGGGTTTGATGAGGTGGGGATTCTGAGGGGGGCAGTCGGGGGTGAGAAGTGGGAGGGGGTGGATAGGGGGCAGGGGCCAGGCTGTTTGGGGAGGCACACCCTTCCCTACCCGGCCCTCCATATAGTTTCGGAACCCCGATGTGGCCTTCAGGCCAAAAAGTTTGTGCACCCCTGCTTTAGATGTTTATACTGTCATGGCACAGCCTAGGGCTCACAGTTAAAGGTGAACACCAACAAACGGACACACACACGAGCATGTGGACACCCACATGCACTCAAGCATACACACTCTGTAACTTAGGGTTGCCAACATTGCATTTAAAAAATAAGAGACTGTTTTCTTAGCACCCCTGCCCTACCCCTCTTCCCACTGTTATTATAATTAATAATTATTGTTAATAATAAGCAGTACTCTGGGGGGTATTTCTTGCTGCTTTTTGCATCACTCAGCAACTCCCAATCTTGTTGTACAGAAATAAAAAAGCAATGGACGCCCCTTGTAATAAGGGACTGTTGGCAACCCTAAGCGTATCCCCCCCATCCCCCCATACACACACTGGAAGCAAGAGAACTTACTTTGTGATTTTGAAAATACGCAATAACCTGAGAGCTCGTAACACGCTGATTCCAAAGGATGTTCCAGGCTTCATGACAGCCCAGATCACCTCAAAGATGCTCCCTATGATAACCTGCCCGAGAGCAAAGAAGCATATTAGTGGCCTAGAAAACACCCTGGGCCTTGGCTGTGCAGGGACCCTTGGAGCTGTAACCTCCCAGCCTCTCCCACCTAGGGGCTGGCAGCATGCTCAGGACAGGCTGTGTATTCACACACATGCGCTCCAACACCTGTACCCAAGGGCACACGCATGATCACAGGCACATGTGCGCACCCACCTGCCAATGCTCACCTCTGTGCATGCACTCCCACCCTGCCCCCCCGTACCTACCCATTAGCATGTACAAATGCACACAGACACAATCCTGCCTCCAACCCCATGCAGCTGTAAATCCACACTAACTCCACAAGGCCAGATTCTGATCACAGCTGCACTGCTGTAAATCCCGATTAACTTCAGTGAAGTCAACTTCAAGGGAGCTACTGTGAATTTACACGGGTGTAACAAATCACAGAATCCAGTGGAGCTATTCCAGATTTACACAGTTGTAACTGAAACCAAAATTGGGCTCAATGGAGATACTCCGGATTTACACCGGTGTAACTGAAACCAGAATATGGCCCGACGGAACTGCTCCTGGTTTAACGGGTGCAAGCGAGCCCAGCCACCCCTTGCAGGCCCCGTGGCGGGCAAGGAGGTGCGGACTTACGGCGCAGTCGAAGCAGTTGAAGGAGGAGTGGAAGTAAGGCCGCGTTCCGAGCCCGTACATTTTTATAAACATTTCGGACATAAAGAGTCCTAAGAAAATGAATTCTGCATAGTCTGTGTGAGAGAGAGAGAGAGAGAGATGGCTCAGACCTGCCCAGATCTCCCTGCCAGCTCCCTCCCACCCTGCTGCTCTCTCCACTAAGAGAAACCCAGAAATTAAACAGCCCACTGAATGACCCACTAATAATCTCTTCCATTCCTAGAAGAAAAGGAGTACTTGTGGTACCTTAGAGACTAACAAATTTGTTAGGTGCCACAAGTCCTCCTTTTCTTTTGGCGAATACAGACTAACACGGCTGCTACTCTGAAACCTTCCATTCCTAGAGCGCCCTCACCCCAAAGAATCACAGAGTGCTTTGCCATCTGATAGACACTCACATAGGGAGACTGTCCGTTCCCACCAAAATCCTCTGGTGCAGGGGGTGTGGCAGCTGGTTAACAGCACAGAACAGTGCCGCGCAGACAGCAGTCACCCGCTCTGGGGTGGGGCACAGCGGCTGTTTAACCGTCCATAGTAGGGACACCTCCCTCAGTGGTGAAATGCAGCCACCTGTAGGGCTGGGGTGCACCAGAAGTTAAACAGCCATGCCATCGAGGAGAGGAAAGGAGGACTCCTCAATCCAAGTGAACCATCTGAGGGGATGTGAGAAAGAAAGGAGCGTGTGCTCAGGCCGCTGGCCATACTCACAGAGGAAGTCGGATAGCCAATCTGGCTGGCTGTAGTGTACTATAGCAACACACAAGGTGTTGAGTGCTACCAGACTGAGGACTGTCCAGTAAAAGGCCTGAGTTTTGACCATTCGGCGGATATAGAAACGCATCCTCCTCTCCCTTTTGTGAAAAAAGGTGGAGTTTTCCAGCTTGGCACTTTTGATGCTGGCTCGAGCAAAGGGTGAACCTGCAGAGGGAAGAGAGGAAGGTTAGGAGCAGCCCCTGGGCAAAGGCCCCAACATGGCTGGAACAGGTGTTAGAGGGGGCAGTTTATTGGGTTTCCCCATTCCCCGAAATAGCTAACTCTCCACCCGCTTCTCAGTTGAGTAACATGGCACCTGGGCCGAGGATCTCAGTGCACTTACTGGGGTCAGCCTGTAGGACAGAAAGAGAAGGATCCTGCATCCAATAAACTGCAGTGTGTGTGGCAGTGTGACCCAAGGACCTCCGGATGCCAACTGGCAGAGGGCCCAGGAGTATACAGGGGAACAGGGATCCCTGGGTGCACTAAAAGGGGTTATGTAAGGTGGCTACTGAAAGCCTGTGTCACGCTCATCCTCATAATCTTTGCAAGAGGTACATATGGAGAATATGCGAGGAGCAATGCGTATATGCTAAAACTGATCTTCCCTTGGTCTGGGAGTTAAGGCAGGTCACCAAAAGGTGGCCCACATACTCCTGCCAGGCAGGGGAAGGAGATGCTTCTCTCTCTAGCCAGGAACATGCAAACTGCAAATTGTCTGGTACACAATAGACGCCCATTTACAGTCTGAGCAAAATGCAAATTAACAGACTGTGAGGGCTGGAGGAAAACACAAAACCAGCAGGAGTTTATGGGTAAGACAATGAACTTCTGAAACTAGGTGAACCCCCAGTTATTCCTTTAATTGGTGAAGAAAATTGGTGAGTGGGCTTGATCTTATGAGAATGGGTCTCAACCAAACTGGTTGAAAACTCTGGGGACAGAACTTGGGGTATCTTGTAGGAGATAGGGGAGTGCCCTGCCCATTAAGGTTAGTCTCTAGAAAGTGTGTTACGATTTTGCTTTATATATAATAACCATTTGTTTCCGATATTCTTACTCGCTATCACTTCCATCTCTTCTTGTTTTCACTGTATATCTCAAAGTGTGTTAAGCTAAGTGGTGATCTTGCATAGAATCCACCAAGCTGGTGTGTCTAACTCCTTTGGGAACAGCCAATCTCAGAGTTGTGTGAGTGTTCAGTGGAACAGGAGCGCTTGGAGGACCTGGGGTTCAGCGAATGCCTATCACTAGCCTGTACAGACAGAGCGAGGCCTGCAGGGACCTGGGGAGCGGTGCCAGAGGCTGGTGGTTTCAGGGAGCTGGTCCACAGCCGGGACAGATACAATTCCCTAACACTAAGGGCAAGGGGTGGTCAGGTGACTCACAGCCCTGGGAAGCATCACAGCGGCAGACAGGTTTGTCCTTTCCCGCATCACACGGTGCCCACCGTGGCTGCACACAAGGCTGCGGACCTACCCACTGAGGAGATGTCGGCCAGCTGATCATCTGCCTCCTCCGGGTTCAGCAGGTCTGTCTTGCTTTTCTTGATGGTGGCTCTCCGCAGAGCTCCAACAACAGGAACATGGCAAGAGAAACAGACATTATCCTTTGGGTTTCCCAGTCAGACTCTGTACAGTGCCCTGGCTGGAAGGGGCTGGAATAGCCAGGAGCACCCCCTTGGTGACCCTGCCCTGCCCCCTTCTGAGAGGAGCTGGAGAAGCCAGGTGCTCCCCACACAGCCAGTGCTCCTGCCCCACTCCCTACAGTGCCCCCCGCTAGACGAGGCTGCACCAGAATTTCTCTGCTGTTTTTCCTATCTCCAGAACTTTTTGGAACATGGGCAGATGAACAGCACCTGTTTATACTGAGCCCTCAAGCCAGCCCCCTGGACTGCCCACCATTAGTGCAACTGTGTTCGGAAGCCCCCGGGGAGCCACTCGGCATTCAGGGGCACACAGCTTACCATCAAACGGGAGCCTCTGCTCTTCCTCCGTCTCATCCTCCGCTAGGATCACTTCTTCTGAGGGAAAAGAACCGGGAATTAATCTAGGCAACAACACGCCCCTGGAATTCTGGGGAAACTTCTTAAGCTGTGCTGGGATGGGGCCAAGTTGAGTCCGCTCCACTCAAGGGCCGGAGCGAAGGGCATCTACGCTTCCACATTTCAGGGGGGAGGGGCCCCATGGTGCCACATTGAGGTCCAATGCAGAAAGAAGCCACATGGCCAAAGGGCCCCTACCATGGGGCACCCCTCCCCAGGGCATGCAGGAGGTGGCGTGCTGGCTGGAGGGCCCTAGCAAGGGGAAGGCAGGCTGGAATGCCCTGGGAGGGAGGAGGGCTCAGGTGGAAAGGAGTGACTGGGAATATGGAAAGAGGTGTGGGGTCCGCATCATTCACTTCACTCCCACCAGGACACCCACCCCTTGTCCTAGCAGCTGGTCAGTGACTCCATAACCCTGCCCTGGAGGGGTGAGAGGGGAAGAGCAGACGATGTTGCACCAAAGATCAGAGCCAGGGGGAATGTTCACTTGGGAGCCTGCATGGAGCTCACTCAGATTCCGGGGCTCCTTGCTGAGTGGACTGACAGGCTGGGTTCATCGAAAGGGGCCCAAGTTTTCGGGGAGATCTTGGTGTTCCAGATGCCACCTTTGGGCCCAGCCCCACAGATGTGTTTAGGTGCCTAACTCCCACTGATTTCAAAGGTGCCGCAGTACCTTTGGTGATCTGGGCCTTTGAGCCTTTGGGTGGGTTGGCAACTCAAACTGAAAGCCAGGGCAGGGGATGCGAACCAACCCGACACATGCTTCCCAGAGGCAGGGAAATAGCATCTGCCATTGCTGGGCAGAGGCCCAGAGAGGGGCAGGGACCTAGTGCATTAGAACTGAGAAGAGTATGCTTCCCCCATCCCCGGCTGGCATTGTGGTAGAAAGGAGTCCTCACCCGCTTTGGAGATCCACTCCATGTAGCCGTTGAGCTCCCTCTCAATCTGCTGCTGCCGTCTCAACTTGAGAAACGCCCGCCGGTTCTCCACCCGCTCTCTTTCCTTGGCAAACTCCCTGCAGGCATCAAAACAGTCAAACTGTCTGCCAGGCTGCCCTGCACATGTCTGAGCAGGTGGGTATCACAAGGAGGGGGCAGAATGCACCTCCTCCCCTGAGAAGGTGCTATTTGGGGCACCCTGTGCATGCGGAGTGTGTGTGTGTGTTTACCTGTGTGAGAAGGGTAAGTGTGTACATGTGCCTGGTATGTGTGACCGTGTCCGTCTATGCGGTATGTGTGCGCCCATGTATCTACATGGACTGTCAGGGGTGTACACATAGTGTGTAAGTCGTGCACCTACACGTGTGTCCGTGTGTACGGATATACGTGTGCCCACGTCTGTGGGTGAGCAGCATGGCTGTGGGTGCAGGGCGTATGCCAGGGAATCCAATAGCAGCCATGGCAAAAGCCCATTGGGTTTGCTCTGACCCCTTCCCGGAGGATCGCACCTAGGACTTCTCCTCTGCAGATCTCCCAGCTCTTTACAAGGTGGGTCAGTGTCACTCTCCCCGCTTTACAGGTGGGGTAACTGAGGCACAGAGCACAGAAGTGACTTGTCCAAGCTAATGCAGCAAGTCAGTGGCAGAACCTAGGAATCCTGACTTCCAGGTTTCCCCGCTCAAACTACCAGAGACCACTCCCCTCCCAGAGCTGGGAAGAGCAGCCAGGTGCCCTGGCTTCCAGTCCCATGCCCTATTCCCTACAGAACATCCTGGGCCCCTGGAAGTCAGTCGAGAATGCAGCCCAGGGCAGGGGCCACACACTTACCCAGACAGCACCCCCAGCACAAGGTTCAGCATAAAAAAGGAGCCAATGATGATGAGGGGGATGAAGTACACCCAGTTCCAAGTGTTCCCTGAGGCATCGTTGCTCTGGGAGAGAAGGGAGTGACTCAGCCAGTGCGGGCTGCCAGGGCCAGGCTGTTCCTTCCCTCCAAGGAGGGGCTGGTGACCACGGACCCCAAGCAGCCGGCCAGCTCAGCAGGCCCACTCCTAGCCCACTTCCAAGAGAGCTGAGTCTGCTGCCCAGCCCCCATTAGGCTTAGGGTGACCATATTTCCCAAAAGGGAAAACTGGTCACACCCTGGGGCTAGCCTGAAGGCTAGCCCTGGCCAAGCTGGCATCAGCCACTGGCCCAAACTCCTCCCCCATGCAGGGCTGGCCTGAACCACCCACCCATGCTGCTCAGCCCCCAGGCCCACATGGGGCCATCCCGCAATGCTCACCCCCCCCCCCCGGCTTGTGCCACTCAACCAAGCTGCTACCCCCCGCCTCTCGCCCATGCAGGGCTGGCCTGGCCAGAACCACTCGCCCGAGCCGTCACCCCCTGCACGTTCCTCCGTCTCCTGCTAGGGGTCGCATGCCACTTTTTGGGCAAAACTGGGCATCAGTTGGCAAGTGCAAATGGGACAAACGCCAAGTTTTGCCAAAAAAATTTGGGACAGCTGGGACAAGGCTTAAAAAAAGGGGCTGTCTCGGCCAAAACGGGACGTCTGGTCACCCTACATAGGATGGGCCCTGGCACCAGTGGGGTTAGCACAAACAGCCCCCAGCAGCCACAGACGGACTAGGCCACGGGGACTGATTACCTGTCCTGCTGCTCAGGTTGGGGCGCCTTGGCAGGGGATGGGGAGAACATGCCCAGCTGATGTCCCTACGCTCCTCCCAAAGCCAGGGCTAGAACCTGGGGTCCCGACTCTCAAAGCCCTGCTCTGCCTGCTAGGTTACTCACCTCCCGCCAACACCCTGGCACTAACTGCTGCTTGCAAACAAACCATAGGCCACTCTGCCGGCTCCCTCCCACAGCCACTGCCCTGAGGCGCTCAGAGTGAACCCGGCTGCTCCCCACTTTGTGCCTTGAAAGCAGACATTAGCAGCAGGTCATGGGTTTGCTCCAGGGAAGGTGCTAATGGACTCTTCTCCTGACTGGCTTCTTTGTCTTCCCCTTTGTAGTGCCAGGGGCTGGAGGGGCAGGAGCGGGGATGGGGCGCTTTGTGAGCCTCCGCTCCACGAGCTGCTAAAGATTCCTTGTCCCCATTTCTCGCTGCTAAATATAGGCCAAGGAACAAAGTGAGCGGCAGTCTCCCGGCTGCTCAGCCTAATGAGAGCCCAGAGTGCAGCAGAGGGGTCTGGTGACAGTGGTGCCTGGGGAGTGGGGAGCATGTGAAGGGGCCTCAGGGCCTCTACAGACTCTGCCATGCCCACCATCTCCCCGTAACTGCAAGGGGCAGACTGGGTCCAGGCTCCCCTGCTGTGGCAGCCTTGTTAGGGCAGCTCCTCCACACCCGTCCTGAAGGGACCTGAATTCTGCAAGGTGCTTGTGTCCTGCCAGATGCCTGGTCAACAGCTTGGCCTGTGGCATGGCCAGGGTGCCTCGGGATCTGCACTAGGAGCTGGGGGGGGGGGGGGGGACTCCCAGCTTGCGCAGACATACTTGGGCTAGCTGTTATTGAGTAGAGCCACCAGGGCAGCGGCAGCATGAGCTAGCTGCCCCGAGCACAAACCCACTTGGGGCCCATGGGAACATCCTCGGGGCAGCAAGTCCGTGGCTGCTGCTTCTAATGCGCTATCTGCACACGGGGTGGCAGGAGTGCATCTGTATGAGCTGGGGATCACACCCCTGACTTACAGTGTAGACGTAGGCTCAGCAGAAGGTGCAACAACCCCCCACGTCACACCCCAAGCCCTCTGAGCCATCCTGCCCCCAGGCACTGCTTCCCAATTCGGCTGGCAATTTAGGTCCCACTCAGAGGCAGATTGCCATTGCCTCTTGCCAATGGTTCGGCTGGTTCAGTGTCTGGTCCCCGCCCCCCTTTTCACACTGTAAAACAACAACAGAATCCTCTGTGCTGAAATGCAGCTGTCTCTGGAGGGGTGGGGGGTGCAACAGCTGCTTCGCAGCCAACGTCAGCCCCATGGTACAGTCTGGACAGGGCAGCAAGCACTGGATGGTGGTAAGACAACTGTATGCGATACACATGTTTTCTGCTCTCCTCCTTTGTGAGAGGCTGGAAAGAAATGACTCGCTGGTTAATTATCCAGGGCTCCTTTCAAATCTAGCAGAAAAGGCACATGACGAAGACAAAAGGGAGCAGGGTTCAGAGGAAGCAATTACCCACAAGGCCAGGAGTTCGTGGGATGGTCCAGAGCGATTGGGTTGTCGATGACAGAATGCGTCATAAGGGCTTGTTCCACCGATGGATTGGCTCAACTGAACTGCACTGCTGCATCATGGGGGGTTCTGGGTCTCAGGCCCCCCCCGATGGGTAGTTTTATCCCCTAGTCACAGGGGCAAACACATTGGCGCAGAGCTGATGGGGAAGTTGCATATACTCCTCTGACTGTCGCTCTATCAGGCATATGAGCTGGCTTGCGGACATCTGGGTCATTGCCATGAAGCAGAAGGTGGGCTGGAGGCTTGTGAGATTGTAATTAAGGTACATCATCACCCAAGGGCCTTGAATTGTAAAGTAATTAATGAACACACCTCCAGGGGAGGTAAGTGGAGACCATAACCAATATGGGGAAACTGAGGCACAAAGAGCAGCAGTGTGATTTTCCCAGTCCCCAAGGGGAAGTCTGTGCTCAGGATAGAACCCAGGAGAGCTCGCTGGAGCAGTAACTCATTAACTCTCCCCTCCGGAGAATATTTTCATTCTCAAAGTGAATTTCATTGGAGGATGGGAGCACCAGGCTGGCAGCCCCAGGGGATGGCCTGCTGCGTTTATCCACAGCGTGGCAAGCACGGTCAGCATCTTCCCTCCCATGCTCATGGCCCCTATCAACGTGCCTCAGCCCTCTCCTGGGGAAACCCAGCTTTGGGGGCAAGAGAGGACATAGGCACGCAGCTGCTAGGAACTTGGCTGAGACCCACTTAACTAATTTCACATAGGGACCAATGGTAGCACACCTCAGTCACAAGTGAATGGAGCTGAATTCAAACCAAGGCCCTAGAAGGGAAAGGCCACAACAGCCCATCTCCCAGCCTCTTGAGCCAGCCATGCTGGGCACTAGATTGGAGCGGCACCATCTACCTGGGTAAGGCCCTGTGAAGCATTCCCTAGTCCCCCAAGCCAGCCAGTCTCACTGCCATGGGGCCAGTTTGGAGGTGCACCCCGCTAGAAGAGAAAGGCCCAGAGACATTCCCTGCCTTCCTGAGCCAGCCAGTGCCCCTGCCCCAGGGCCAGCTTGGAGCCAGTGACTCCAAGAGGGGAAAGGCTCCATAGTGCCCCTGAAGTGGAACCTGAGTAGAACCTATGCCCTGGATGTGCATCCCACCCCCTGTGCACCTGCCCTCCTCCACAGTTGCCCACGCCCACCCACGCAGACGTGTCTTGCAAAGCCCTTGTCCACAGGCCCGCATAGGTGCTGGAGCAGAGCCCTGCATGGGACTAGTCTTCAGTCCTGCTCCCGCTATCGTGGCAGTGGGTCCTGCAGGATCCCAGTTCTATTGCAGGGCTCCATTCTGGAGCTCCTCCTGCTCCCACCTGCAGCAGACTGCCATTGCTTCTGGAAGGTCAGCTCTCGCCAAGAGGACTGGCGCAAAGCAGATCCTAAACCACCACCAGTTTGGAGGGGCTGACAACAGCTGACTCACGGAGCAATGCTGGCTGCTACTAATCCACTTGGAAGCCTTTGGGGACTAGAGAGAGATGCAGGCGGCGCTGCTCCCGCTGCGGTGGGCCTGGGACACGAGGTCTCTCTCCTGCATTAGTGTGATTAGCTCATGGAACTAGGAATAATTTATGTTTACATTGCGCTTTCCGTCCCCAAGTGCTTCATGGTCTCTAGAGAAGGATCTGCCACCCACCACCAGAATGCAGCTACCTCTGCGGGGGAGCACGGCAGCTGTATAACGGCCCACACCCACACTGCGTAGCAGCTTTTGGCAGAAAGCGAGAAGAATCCTGTGTCACACACAGATTTCAAGGGAGGGTTTGGGGAGGCCAAATGGAATTTGAGCAGGAGCCTGGGGCTAAGGCTGCTACTCTTGGGGACAGAGCCACGGGATTCCAGTGATCTCACTGTAGTGTTTTATCCAAAAGGCAGATGCTGTGGGCGTGCAGCTTCCCTTCCAAGCAAAGCATTGAGCTCAACAGCCCTTAAGGGATAGGAGAAGTGCCCCCTTCTGGATCATCAAGGCAATTTCCTGCTGCACCCTGGGCTTTCCTTCCTGGTCTCCACCCAGAACTAACTGGCCAGATCACCGTTCAAAGCACCTCTCGTCCTATTCAGTCTCATACCCAGACAGCTAAACTCAAGCTCCCCCAGCCCAGCTACGTGCTAATGCACCACAGGGCTGTCCTTGCACACACCAGACATACTCAGACACCTACACACTTTAGTGTTAACACACACAGACATATTACAACCATGCTACCATAACCTGGCACTTACACAGTTGCCAATTAACACACCTACTTTTCCACAGTGCTCCCTTCACAGGTTCTCTCACAAGGTCCTGCCCTGCCACTCACACACTACAGTGCCATGCTCACTAATGAGCTCCCCTCTTGCAAGCTAACACACTCAGCCACAGTGGAACAGGGTCACCCCCTCCAGAGCATCCCTCATGACATGGGACAGCTCTGCAGCATCCCTACCTCAGTTTCCCCTTCCAGGGTGGGTCCCCTCAGCCTTCCCCACATTGGTCACATGACAGCCCTCCAGCTAGTCACTAAATAAACTTGAATGCTTCCAGGATAATAAGGGTTCAACTAAAAATCCTAACAAACAACAGGTTCTTCTGCCCCTCTGGAGCCCACTTTCTGGATTCAGTTTCTCTGCCCCTTCTAGGCTACCATGAAACCCTTCCCCACTCTGTCACAGAGCGCTAACTCCCCAGCTGCTTCCCCTGGAACTCCTCTCCCAGTCTACAGGTCCTGGCATTCCCCGCTCCCTGCCCCGCAGAGCAACTGGTGCTTTTAGCTGAGCCCTACCTCCCAGGACTTTCTCCCTGGAGGCCCTTTATCCTCGCAAGTTCCTACTGTCTCCCCTACCAAGGAACTCCCTGCTTTCTCCTGGGGCCAACCTGTCTCCCTGAAAAAGAATTCCCTGGAACACAGTTTGCTCAGCCCTTTTTAGGAGACCCAGGTGTTCTCAGGTAACCCATCGCCTTAGCTCCACCCCCTCAGGCTACAAGGCAACTAATTATGGCACAGGTAGGGCTGGTCCCATTTGCCCTGTAAGGGCCAGTGACCGTCTCTCTCTCACTCGCACACACATCCCTGTCACCTTCCCCAGCAATCCAGCGACCCCTGGCTGTGCATGGGAGCTGTCTGAAAGGCCCCCTCTCGCACCTTTCCCCTATATGCCACCACCAGGCAGGCCCAGCTTCATCCCCCATTCTCCAGCCTGCCACGAGGCCTACGGGCTCCAGGCCAGGCACCGCCCTCTCTCTTTTTCTCTTCTTCTCTCTCCCCTTCTCCCCCACCCCACATCTCTGTGGAGCACTTTATCCTTTTCCCTGGCTCAGCAGAACGCCCCAGCTCATTAATTCTGCACGCATGGCCAGCCGCGTGCCTGGCCTCTTGGTTGTGAGGACCCCATTGCACTTTGGATCAGGGACAAAATGCTGAGAGAGAAGCAGGCTGTCAGCATCCTGGAAGCAGGCTCCCCTTAGGCTGGGCACTGCTGCCTGGCAGCTTCTTAACTGCAGTCCAGGGGAAGCCACGAGCCTCCCTCTGGAGTCTGGACACATGTCAGCCACAGGATGCCTCTTGGGTCCAGTGTCAGGGCTGTGAGGGGGCTGGCTGCCTCGGGCTGATGGTTATTGGCCCAGCTGAGAATATGCCCCAGTAGATTCAGGACTTGTGAACAGCCAGGTCTGTTCTGGTCTCACTCATGTAACTCAGAGCTGAGAAACGGGTTGTTTTGGCCAAGAAGATTTGTGCCTCTCTCTAGGGGCTGCAGTGATTCTACAGGGCAGGACCAGGGCCAGGAAGGCACAGTAGAGCCAATGTCCATATTTGGTGGATTCAATGGACCTGCAGTACAGAAATGACAGCCGTGCCAAGTGAGTGCGGTGACCCTGCAGTACAGAGACGGCACCCGTGCCAGGTGGGTGCAGTGACCCTGCAGTACAGAATCAGTGCAGGTAGCAGGCAGGTCAAAATGCTTTACAACCATTAATTAACAAACTCACCCTGTGAGATCATCACCCCCATTTTACAGATGGGAAAACTGAGGCACAGCAGGGCAGTGACTCCCCCATGGCCAAACCATAAATCAGCTGCAGACTCAGGAAGAGAACACAACAGTCCTGATTCTCAGCGTTATGCTCAGACCGCTAAGCACAGCTTCTTTATCCAAGTAATGAAAAGCAATATGTGCAGGGAACCCCCTACCCCTCATGAGTTTCCTGCCCTGCCCCCCAGATGCCAGGCAGTGAAGGCCTTAGAGCCCAGGGCTGCTGCAGGCAGGGACTCACATAATAAAGGAGTTCGGTCCACCCTTCCATGGTGATACACTGGAAGACAGTCAGCACAGCAAACAGGATGTTATCGAACTGCGTGATCCCGTAATTCGGGCCTTCCCAGTACTCACGGCATTCTGTCCCATTGGGGCACATGCGGGCTGGTTCTTCTGTCCCACATGGAACATCGACCTTGATTTCGCCTGCAGGGTGGGAAAACAAAAAGGACTGATATCCCGATGGCAGGTGGGCAGCCCTGCAAAAGTCAGGTAACCCCATGGCTGGCGGGTAACCTTACATCTGACAGCTAATCTGAGGGCTGGTGGGTTACCCCACAGAAGCCAAGGGCTTCTCCCTACATGGCCCCTTCTGGCTTGTCAAAAAGCTGAGGTAGTAACGATACCAAGCCCTTCCCGGATCCTTTTGCTGGAAGACCCCAGTGCGGGGCACAGGAATTGTGTGCAGAGAGAAAGCAGTTGACGTTCAGGAGCCTGGCATCCAAAGAGCCAGCCTGGTCTCTACAAAGGGAGGGGGAATGGACAGAACCTGTGTCTGAGGGTATCAGGAAGGAGCCCTGAACCTGCTCCTGTTGGAGTCAGTGGCAGCAGGGCTGGGCCCTGTGCTCTTCAGGGGATGGGAGCCTTGGGGAAGGAAGCGTTGGGGCACCTGGTCATCCCCACACATGCCATGCCATGCAGCCCTCCTGTGTACAGCACTGGCAAGCCCTCCCTGCTTCGCCCTCCATGATCCCAGACATACTCCCTCTCTGAAGGGGACTGGGATCCCCACACTGAGCTCCAAACCCTTCCCCTCCTATTTCTCTGACCCTCAGCACCACAGCATCTGAACATCTCAAAGTCACTCCTTGACCTACCAGCCACCACCCTGGGGTATTACCCCATTGCACAGATGGGGAGCAGAGACACAAATGACTTGCCCAGTTACACAGGGAGGCCATGGTTAAGCCAGGAACTGGACCCGCGTCTCCTGGGTCCTGGTCCAGCATCTCTTCTTCTACTCCCAAAGCAGGGAAGGGATGGTCCCTCTCTACAGTGCCTTATGGAGACCCCTCCTGGGACCCTGAGCTGAGCTCCAGCCCCGACTCCCAGACACCCTGTCCTGGTGCAGGGAGGGGCCCTGCACTGAGTGCTGGTTCCCTCCAGATTGGTAGCCGGGATTTGCAAATACTAATTCGAGCCACTTCTCTCGTGTCTGCTGGGAGAGTCAGACTGCCTGGGACACTGCAGGTGCTTCCTCCGTCCCCCTCTCCTTCCCTCCCCAACCCCCTTCTCGATGACATGGCCGCGTTGCAGAAATAGCTCTCCCTCAATTAACACCATCTCCATCAGGGGAGAGAAATAATTAGGCCATTCCATATTGAGCGCAGGCCAGGGGCCCAGGGAGGAGCGGGAGAGAGAGAAGGAAAGAGACTAGTGGGGATGACAGGCAGATTCCAGCGCCGCACCCTGGGACACTTGGCCAGGGAAGGTGCTGTCACTCGTTGGCTGGGCTGCTGCTCACAGGGCTGGTGCCAGCTGGGTTCATACCACCCTCTCTCACACACAACAAGGACTGGGATTTTCCAGCTGAGGCTCTTCAAGCCCTTTACAGATGTTCCTTCATCTAGCCTTGATCCATGTCAACATGCCCTCCACATGGTAGGGGGGGAAACCAAGGCACAGAGAGGGGAAGTGACTTGCCTGAGGCCACATACCAGGTCAGTGCCAATGCTTGGACTAGAACCCAGATGTCCTGGCTCCCTGTTTGCTGCTCTACTCCTTAGACCATTTTTCCTCTAAGAGCTCGGAGTAGAACCTCCAAGTCTCAAGCATCCTGCTCTATGCCCAACCCCTCCAAGAGTGGGGATTAGAACCCAGGTGTCCTAGCTCCCAGACCCCTGCTAGACAAACATTCCTCCCTATGTGGAACCAGCAGGCAAGTAAAGGGAGCTTGTGCTGGCCCCTTTCTGCCACTTGACTGGCAATTCCCTGTGTCACTCACCTACGGGACCCCGATCCAAACGCAGGGGACAGGTGATGCGGGCACTGGACCTACCTGTCACCAAGTCAAAGCAGGTGGTGTGAAATTTTCCCATATAAAATTCTAATCCTATGATTGCAAAAATAAGGATTGCAAAAAACAAGAGTAGGCCAATTTGTAGCAGAGGTATCATAGCCTTCATGATGGACTTCAGAACAACTTGTAAACCTGGAGCGGGAGAGAGCGAGACAGGGTGTCAGACGGCTGCTCCCACGGCAAAGGCAGGGCCATGGAATTCTGGGGCCCCGGGGCAGTGAGGGGTGTGACGAAGTGGGACTGTTCTTAATGTTTCCTCTGAATAGTGTGGGGGTGCCTCAGTTTCCCCTAGGCAGTTCTTAAGTATCTAGGGGGTGGGGTAAGGGTGTATGATCATTGCAGAGCCCTAGAGGGCAGGTGTGTGCAGGGGTCTGGACACAGAGAATGGCCGACACCCTGTTTCCTGGCCACTGATGGCCTGGGCCCTTCCCCCCCTGCAAGGTGAGAGCCGAAGGGTTGGAGAACAAAGGAATCAGGTGACCACCTGGCCCGGGAAAGGAACAAAGCCCAGAGGAGGAGGGACTGGAGGGGGTTTTCAGTTTGGGGCTGGCTGGGACATGGAGTGAAGTGCAGACGTGGTTGTCTGGCTCACTGCCCCCCAAAATGGACCCAGCTGAGGGGTCCCGTTCTCTGCACCTGCAAGCTCTGTTTTAGACCATGTTCCTGTCGTCTAATAAACCTTCTGTTTTACTGGCTGGCTGAGAGTCACGTCTGACTGCGGTTGGGGGCAGGACCCTCTGGCTTCCCCAGGAGCCCCGCCTGAGCAGACTCGCTGGGGGAAGCCACGGAGGGGCAGAGGATGCTGAATGCTCCGAGGTCAGACCCAGGAAGGTGGAAGCTGTGTGAGCTGTGTGTCCTGAAGACAGGCTGCTCACAGAAAGGCGACTGCCCCAGAGTCCTGACTGGCTTCATGGGGAGCAGTTCCAGAGCATCGCCCGGGGACTCCGTGACAACTGGTGGCAGTGGTGGGATGTACTGCACCCCGTGGATGGTGCTTCCTGCAGTAAGTGACTGGGGAGCAGTAACACGAAGGGGGATTGCCGAGGACCAGGCCTGCTGAAGGCTCAGAGAGGAGCGGTTTCGGGGGCGGTTAACCCCTGGGAGTGTGAGACCAGCGAGAAGGACTGTGCAGTAATGGGGTCCCCTGGGGACTGCAGTGAGCAGTCTCAGAGGCGGAGGAGTCTGCAGCTCGACCCTGGCAAAGAGGTGGTGACCTCGAGAAGGGCTGGCACACTAGGGGTTCTCCCTGGAAACCGTGGGGAGCTGAGAACACACGGGCCTGTGAGTCCACAACAACTTGGGAGGAGCGGAGTGATGGCTGTCACTGTCTCCTTAAGAAGGACATTGTAACACTGTGCAAAAAGAGAGGGTTGAGCGTTGGAAAGTTCACCAAAGCAGAGTTAATCGTGCAGCTGGAGGAGGATGACCGCTCTAAGGAACAGATTCCTGACCCCAACTGGGGCTATAGCAGGATCTGGGAGCAGCTGAAGGGGAGCCAGGCATCCCCAAGACTCCTGTCCCCGACCAGACGGGGGTCTTCACGATCGGGTTCCCCATCGGGGGATCGAGACGGACGGGATTGGAGCTGAGTCCGAGAGAGCAAGAGGACCCTGGGAGACAGCGAGAGCCCGAAAAGAGCTGCAGAAGCAGCAGCAGCAGCATGAACTGGCGGTGGGGGAGCGGAGAGGCCTAGGGGACCTCCCGGGGTGAGTGGGGATAGATCCCGGGGGCCAGTTCCCAGGGAACCTCGAGACTAAATTGCTGCCCCTGGTTAAGGAGGGGGTGTGTGGATGCCACCTCACTGCCTTTGAGCAGGCTGGCGATTTGAACCAGGGGGACCCTGCGGAAAAGCCCCGGTGTCTAGCTCCCTTGCTGGGTCCCAAGGCCATAGACTCCGTCAGCCAGATGGTTGGGGATGTGGACAGGCTCCCACCCTGACCCCAACCTATATGTCTGTGTGGAGTTTCCTGGGGCCAGGCCCCTCGGACCTCCAGTGGGGCAGAAGGTGATGGTCAATGGGGAGACATTCTTGGGGTGGCCAAAGGGCATGGGCTGCATAAACCTTCCCACATGCGGCCTGCGAGTGCTATCGCCACCCCTGACCTAAGGGAGGGCGTGAAACTGGAAGGGCCTGGTGTAACTCCTACCAAGGAATGGGAGAGATGCTGGGGCATCCATGGGAACGTTGGTGGCTTCGAACTTCCCCAGGTCACGCTAAAGTGACCCCGCTCAGTTCGATCTCGAAGGGGGAGAGATGTGACGAAGTGGGACTGTTCTTAATGTTTCCTCTGAATAGTGTGGGGGTGCGTTTCCCCTAGGCAGTTCTTAAGTATCTAGGGGGTGGGGTAAGGGTGTATGATCATTGCAGAGCCCTAGAGGGCAGGTGTGTGCAGGGGTCTGGCACAGAGAATGGCGACACCCTGTTTCCTGGCCCTGTGGCTGGGCCCTTCCCCCTGCAAGGTGAGAGCCGAAGGGTTGGAGAACAAAGGAATCAGGTGACACCTGGCCGGGAAAGGAACAAAGCCCAGAGGAGGAGGGACTGGAGGGGGTTTTAGTTTGGGGCTGGCTGGGCATGGAGTGAAGTGCGACGTGGTTGTCTGGCTCACTGCCCCCAAAATGGACCCAGCTGGGGGTCCGTTCTCTGCACCTGCAGCTCTGTTTTAGACATGTTCCTGTCGTCTAATAAACCTTCTGTTTTACTGGCTGGCTGAGAGTCGTCTGACTGCGGTTGGGGGGCAGGACCCTCTGGCTTCCCCAGGAGCCCGCCTGAGCGACTGCTGGGGGAAGCCACGGAGGGGCAGAGGATGTGAATGCTCCGAGGTGACCCAGGAAGGTGGAAGCTGTGTGAGCTGTGTGTCTGAAGACAGGCTGCTCACGAAAGGGAGGTCTGACGGCTTCTGGGGGCGTTCCGAGCACCCGGGGACCCGGACAAGGGGAGAGTCCCTCACTTTACAGCTGTGTGGGGACCCCACCAAGGATACTGTGCTCAGCAATGAGACTCCACACCAGGAGGGCAGTAGATCAGTTAGTTAGACTAGAAACTTTGGGGGCCACGCTTATCTTTGCGTTCTGTGTTTGTACAGCACAATGGGGGCCTGGTCCCTGACTGGGGCACCTAGGTGCTACCATAATACACCTAATAAACGTACAGCACCCAGCACAATGGGGTCCTCTCCATGACCAAGGCTCCTACACACTGTCATAATCAAGCATCACAGAAGGGGTCATCCTCTTCTAGGCAGCACTGGGGAGACACCTCCCGCCCCCCGCAAGTGAGGCCATTTGGTTCTGGACTCCTAGGTCCCTGAGTAATGTTTGCAAACGGAGAAGTGCTTCAGAGACCAGCAGCAGTCACTCTCTGAACACACAAGGTCAGACAAGCTCTTCTAAAACCTCTCTCTGCAGCAGCTCCTGCCAGTTCCCAGCTTCAGTATGAGAGTAGCAGGGCAGCTGTTGGGAGCTGAGTCCCACTGGGGGATGACAAAGCCCAGGGCTGGGTGCCGGATCCCATAGGGAGGTAACAGGGCCTGGGGTTGGGTGCCGGGTCTCATTGGGGGATGACAAGCCCAGGGTTGGGTGCTGGGCCCTGTGAGGAGGTGGCAGGGACCCGTGGCTGGATCCCAGGTCCCATGGGGAGCACAAGGACTAACTCACTTACTTGGAATCCCCGACACCAGCTTTAGTGGCCGGAGCACACGAACTGCCCGCAGCGTTCGCAGGTCGAAGTCAGAGCCGACTTTTGCCAAGATGCTGCAAGAGACGAAGGGGAGAGTGACAAAATAAGGGGCATGCTGGGAAGTGAGGCTGCCTGCCCTGCGCGGGGAAAGCTCCCCTCTGAGAGGAACATTGTAATTTTGCCATGGGAGGGGGGGAGAAAGGCATGTGTGGATGGGGCTACAGTAGGAACTGGTGGAAAGAAGGGGTCTCACTGCAACTGGGCAGCCAAGACTCTCAGGGTCAAATTCTACCCGCAACAGAGCTGGGAACAGAGCCCAGGAGACCTGATTCCCAACTCCCTTTGATCAGACCGCGAGCTTTCACTCCTCTCCCCGAGCCAGGGAGAGAACCCAGGAGTCCTGCTGTTACCGGCTAAAGTGAAGGGGGCCTGCTTCATGAAAAATAAAATCGTCATTTACTTATTTCTTTCGCACATTCCTTCCACGGATCCCACAGTGCTCTCCAACAGAGGAACACGCAGGAATAACTTGCTCAGCACTGAGGGGTGCAGCAGCTGGTTAACAGCGCATGGCAATACCGCACAGCTGTTCTGGAAGTGCATGATCCAATCTTCATGTGAAAACCCAGGGGGAGTGGAAGGAGGCAGAATTCAATTATCTGTCTTGACATTTGGCCAGGATATTGGAGCTAATATCCCGACTCTTAGGAAAAGTGCCACAGGATCCCATGAGCAAAAGCTGACAAGAGCCTGGTTTCATGGCATCCAAGAAGGGGCCAATCCAATGTCACCTCAGTCACACTGGGAATGTCACTCTACTGCCTGCAGCAAAGCGAACCCTGGCACCATGCTGAGGCAGTGGGGGCAGCCCTGGCTGACTGGGAAGAGCGTTCCCTATGGAACCCATCTCAGCCCCTGGGTTTTCCTTGGAGGTTTTCCAGGCCTGCATATACCTAGCCTGTGAATTCAGACAGGATCATAGCGCGGATGGCCTCAGTGGTTATAACCAGCCCGGTTATAACATACAAACCTGTTCAGATTGTAGCACTGAGCATTTCAGATCAGACTCATAACTGGTTTCATCAGCCCAGTATCTAGAGCTTCCTTAAAATGCTTCCCTGCAGTTTTCAGTGGGATACAGGATTCTCCATTACCTTCTGACCTAAACTCTCGGGTAGCGTGGCTGTGCAGGTGTTATCAGCAGCCACCTTCTACCCTAGAAGTCTCTGCATTTCCGTGCTGGGGGAGCCATCCCAGTACAGTGTTGTTGTGAGGCTGTTAAACAGCTGCCACTTTCACCCCACCCAGAAGTGGCTGCACTTCGAAGGAAAGTGAATTGTTCCATATTTAGATCTCTTGGGATGAAAATGGCTCTGGAAATGGGAGTTAATCTAGCCCTGTGTTTGTCTCTTTCTTATGATAATTAAAAGCTGAATCACAGGGGTTCAATAAGTAACTCTGGTTACAAAGCTTTTATTCTTCCTGGCTACGAGACATGAATCAGCAAAAGGCACAACTCCAGTGAGAGGGGCGTGTGTGATAAACAGATAGATCCACACACTCTCCCCGAAGGACCATAGCTCAGAGATGCTGCGGCCTGGGCTCCCATTGTCAGCTTTAGACCTTGGTGGATGTAGGAAGGGAAGGGGATGCTGGGATAGGGACCCCCGGCATGAGGGTTACAAAGGATTTGGGGGCACATTTGGGGGGTTATGCCCTCATTTCAGACACTTCTCTGCTGCCAAGGTGCAAGCTCCTGTCCCAGATGCCCCTGTATTCTTACACACCCAGCACACACCCCTGCTGCCCTGTCACACCCCAGTGCCTCTGATCCAAACCCTGCCTGCCTGTCCCTTCCTTCCTGCGGTTACGTTCACCCCTCCAGAGCATCGCCAGGAAACCAATAATCCAGCAACTCCTTCGCCAGTTGTAGGGGTCGCTGGAGGTCCATCAATCATTCATGGGCCTTAGTGCCGCTCCTGAAAACACCTGTCCGGATATGAAACATTTGCTGTCCTTGCCACTCACCAAGGGTTTGGAACACCAGCGGGCTAAACTGGGGACGTTCCCCCCAATATCTCCCCAGCAAAGCTTTGGGGTCCAGATACTCCAGGAGGCAGATCATGATCAGCTCTAGGTTTGCGCATGTCTAGAATCTGGCCTCTTTTAAACACATCCCTGAGAGGTTAAAACTTTGTCACAAGCCTCCAGTGGCAGTGTGGTCCACGATTTGGTTCACAGATGAGAAAATCACTCGTCTAGGATGCCGTATTTGGGGGGTGGCGTGGGTGGGGCTCGCGCTCTCAGACGCCGTATTTGGGCGGTGGCGTGGGTGGGGCTTGCAGCCTGAGGGGTGGGTGCGCCTGCCTTGGGCAGCCCTGTTCCGTTTGTTTCCACGGGTCCCAGTTCAGTGAAACTCTCCCCATCCAGCGCTGCCCTAACCAGGCTCTGACTCTGCAGCAACTCCACTGAGCTCAATGGTCTCGCTCCTGATTTACACCCGAGCTGAGTCAGACCCAACAGTCCCTGCAGCTTCAACTCTAATAGCAAGATGCTGCCTGCTGTGTGGCTGGCCGACCAAGCGGTGGCGCCTGCCCATCGGGGCTCAGCCCTGCAAGCCAGTAGGAGACAGAGGCAGGTTAGATTCAGGAACTGACAGGCGCGTCCCACGGGCTTCTGCATTTTGCTATTTTTAATTACAGAATTAGCAAGGCCACCATGGCCTTTGATGCCTTTATATACGATCGTCAGGAGTGTATTTATAGAAGAATTGAACGTTGATGTTAACAGCCTCTCCCATAAAAGCATCGGGGGTGAAACTCCTCTCACCTCCCTGGAGCTGGGAAGGGAAAGGTGGCAGGATGCATTAAAAAAGGGGACAGCAAATTGATGGCACCCTGGGGAAGTATGAAAATCCCTGCAGAAGGGATCCAGGGTAATCCTAGCTCACCATCCTTTCAACCCAAAGAACATAATCGGATATAAAAATTATATGCCAGGATCACCAAAATGCAGCCTCCTCTGGGGTGGGGCACAGCAGCTGTTTAAAAGCTGCGCAATAATGAGCTACTGGAATATCAGTGCCGAAATGCAGCCACCTCTGGGGTGGGGCACAGCAGCTGTTTGACAATGCACAGCAACACTACAAAGGATTTGCTCATCAAACGATGAAATGCAGCCACTTCTGGGATGGGAGGCGACATGACAATTTAACTGGGTTACGCAATGGTTTTGTCAATCTGCCTAAGCATTTCTAATTGGACCATCATCACGAATCGGGCTGCGAAATGAATGGGATTACCACATCTAACTGCAGGAGTGGGACACAATGGAACTACTGGTGAGTCAGGATCTGGCTAGGACTTCACATTTAGCACCTCCATCAGGAGCTTTAATAGACACACATAGTCAAGACCTTGGTTGGTACATTTCATTCTACGGATAACAACACGCCGGAGCACTGCGGTCAAACCCCCTGGAGCACATCACTCCCTGCCTCACCCTTCGCTGTCTCCCATCCACCCCACAGACCCTGCATGATGCTCTTTTGCTCACAGGCAATTCTAGGATCACAGCACAAAGGGGTATCACAGCATTATTATTCAAAAAAAGTGAAAACAGGTGTAGGGGATCGACTGAAACATTGTCCTGCCCGTTTTGGAACCCAAACAAGACAGCATCATGCAAAAGCGGCTAGAAACAGCAAGTTCTCCATCACTCAGCACCTTTAATCAAGACCGGATGTCTTTCTAAAACATACCCCCGAGTTCAAACAGGAATCATAGGGTGGGTTCGCTGGCCTGTGTTCTGCAGAAAATCAGACTAGATAATCAGAATGGTCCCTTCTGGCCCTCAAATGTATGAAATGGGGCTCAAGCCACCATAGCAGGATCCTGCTGTGGGGTCTAGATCTGGGGTGTGGGTTTTAAGAACAGGTTAGACCAGCACAAGTCAGAGATGGTCGAGATATTCTTAAACCTGAGCCAGTGCAGGGGGAGGGACTCCATGACCTCTTGGGGTCCCTTCCATCCCTACATTTCTCTGATTCAAATCCAACCCCAGGGTGAAGTAAATCTGATCCTTAACATCATATGTATTATAATCCAAGGTGTCTGTAGCGGCGGGGTGGGGGTGGGGGGTGGGGAAGGATTTTCAGCCTGACAGTGGCCATTTTGCTACTTTGGTCTGTTCTTGTCAATTGGGCTGATTGAATGGTGCCAAAATCTTCACAGCCTGATTCTCCTCTCACTTAGGGCCATCAGAAGTTAACCACACACACACCACTGTCCCCGATCCTCTCTGGCCGAAGGGATCCAAGGGCTCGCTAGGCGTGCTGAGCCGAGGGGGGGTGGGAACCAGTGCATCTTAGAAGGTCAGGTGAAAGCCCAGAGCCTGACTGGAGGGGTGAGGAGGCCCTGAGAATGGAGAGCCATTGGGATCGGTCTAACAGGAGCTGTAGGACGCTATCTGCTGAAATAGGGACGTTTAGGGGAGGTCTACACTGCAGCTGGGAAGGTGGCTCCTCGCCCGGGCCGACAGACATGCCCTAGCTCTGCTCAAGCTAGCATGCTATAGACAGCAGCGTGGATGCTGTGGCACGGACAACGACTTGGGCTAGCCACCTGAGACCAAGCCCACCCGACCCCCGGGTCCTAGCTCAGGTGGCTAACCCGAGCCTTCCCCCATGCTGCGACATCTGCACTTCTCTTGTCAGATGCGAGTCTGAGCAGAGCTAGTACAGGTCTTTCTCCCCGGGCCGGGAGGCACGCTCTCAGCCGCAGTGGAAACGTCTCCTTCGGGACTAAGCAGAGGCTAAGGCTTTCTCAAAGGCCTCGAGCAGGGAATCAAAGCCAGCTGGGATAAAGGGCTGTCCAGTCGAACTGCCCCTGGCTCTGGGGCCAATAGAAAGCAAAAGCTGGGCCACCCTAACCAAGACAACAACCTCTTTCAGGAGGGCCCTGCCACAAATCAGAGAGACAGCGTGCCTGGGCCCAATGGCTTTACTGGGCCTTGCCGGAGAGGGCAATGAGGTTGGACTCCCACAGATAGTGGGATTCTCATATTTTGGGAGGGC